CCAGACTTCTGCTCCGCATAGGAGCATGGGGGTAACCTTAGCCTTATATACTTTAAAAAGCGGGTCTAAGGATTCTGGTTGACTATGATTTGTAAATGCCCACACTTGCATCATGGATAAGCAACTGTCCAATCCTCCAGATGTTGTGGAATTACAACTACAATTATTCCTTGACATTAGATATGGTAGAAACTGAACTCTAACATGTACAGGATTACAATTTGCTCACTTTGGAGATATACCCACATTACAAAAGCACCTTTAAACTACCACGTTTCTTTTGGGAAACTGGCTGGTTTTCCTATGACTTTCCAAATTTCCAACATAAAAATATTATGGCCATGGCCAAACACCAATGCAGGTTGAATATCCCTTATCAACATTTCTTGAGACCAGAATTTTTAAATTTTGGAATACCTGTTTGTACACACATATATACGTAGGTACAAACATTGGAGAGCAATGTCCAGTCTTCATAAAATCGTAAAGAGTAGAGACATCACACTGGCAACAAAGATCCGCCTAGTCAAAGCCATGGTATTCCCTGTAACCTACGGATGTGAGAGCTGGACCTTAGGGAAGGCTGAGCGAAGGAAGATAGATGCTTTTGAACTGTGGTGTTGGAGGAAAGTTCTGAGAGTGCCTTGGACTGCGAGAAGCTCCAACCAGTCCATCCTCCAGGAAATAAAGCCCGACTGCTCATTGGAGGGAAGGATACTAGAGACAAAGTTGAAGTACTTTGGCCACATCATGAGGAGACAGCAAAGCCTAGAGAAGACAATTATGCTGGGGAAAGTGGAAGGCAAAAGGAAGAGGGGCCGACCAAGGGCAAGATGGATGGATGGCATCCTTGAAGTGACTGAACTGACCTTGAAGGAGCTGGGGGTGGTGACGGCCGACAGGGAGCTCTGGCATGGGCTGGTCCATGAGGTCACAAAGAGTCGGAGACGACTGAACGAATGAACAACAACACAAACATAACATTGGAGATGGGACCCAAGTCTAATCACAACTTTTTTTGTTTCATGTACATCTTCTATACATAGCCTGAATGTAATTTTATATACAATAGGCATGGGGAAACTTCAGCTGTTAGGAACTGTGGGAGTCAAAATCCAAAACACCAAAACAAGTTGGCCCATACCTGATGTGCAATATACAATATTTTAAACAATTTTGTGCATGAAATAATAGTATGTGTACAGTAAAGCAAAGGTGGCACTATCTCAGCCAACCATTAGTATCCTGGATAAACTATGCCCAACCTGTATACTGGGACTGCCTGAATGAGCACTTTTGTTTTGCACTATGAAACTAGACAGCATAGCGTGATGACTTGAGTCCTGGAATAGAACTAGGGAGATCAGGGTTCAAATCCCTACTCTGAAATGGTAACCCACTGGATTAACTTGAGCAAGCCACACTCTTTCATCTCAGAGAAGAAAAAGCCAGCACCCTCTGAACAAAGCTGGCTAACAAAACCCCATGACAGATTCACCTTAGGGTTGTCACAAGTCAGTAACAACTCCAAGAAACGTAACAACCCCATGACAGGGTCAACATAAATTGGACATGACTTGAATGCACACAAGAAGCAACAAACTAAGAAAATTGGGGGGGGGGGGGGGGTGCAACTATATGATCATCACTAAGCTGGGGATCAGTCTTATAGCCTCATCACACTAAAGCAGGGGTCTCCAAACTAAGGCCCAGGGGCCGGATACGGCCCTCCAAGGTCATTTACCTGGTCCTCACTCACAGTCAACCTAAATCTGAAACAACCTGAAAGCACACAACAATCCCATCTCATCAGTCAAAAGCAGGTCCACACTTCCCATTGAAATACTAATAAGTTTATATTGGTTTAAATTGTTCTTCAATTTAATTATTATATTGTTTTAAAGTGTTTTTGCACTACAAATAAGATGTGCAGTGTGCATAGGAATTCAAAAATGTTTTTTCTCAAATTATAATCTGGCCCTCCAACAGTTTGAGGGACTGTGACCTGGCCCTCTGTTTAAAAAGTTTGAGGACCCCTGCACTAGAGCATGGCTCCCTTTTAAATCCAGTTTCCGCTTCCTGCAGAATTCTGAGGCTTGTAGTTTAGTGAGGTCCAGGACCCGTCTGGCCGAGCAGTTTAAAGATCCCTCCCTGAACTGCAAGCTCCAGAATTCTGCAGGAGGTAGAAACTGGATTTAAAGTGGATCCTTAATGAATACAATGCCGTTCACTTATGAGCAAACACTCACAGTAGAATCATTTTGTAATAGTCACTTTGTTGTTGAAATACAATCACACAAAACAACATTCACCAAAAAAGGGTTTCACCTGACAAGTTAACTCCCTAACTGAGATCTTCCGGGGAGGCCCTGCTCTCGATCCCGCCTGCGTCACAGGCACGGCTGGCGGGGACGAGAGATAGGGCCTTCTCGGTGGTGGCTCCTCGGCTGTGGAACACCCTTCCCGTGGACATCAGGCTAGCTCCCTCCCTGTTGATATTCCGCAGGAAGTTAAAGACCTGGCTGTTTAAGAAGGCATTTGAACAAGAAGTGCAATGACTGGTAATTTGACTATAGGAATGGAACAACAGAAATGTTATCGGATTGTGGGTTTGACGATGAGACGACTCGGAATGGCTTCTGTAGTAATGTTGATGTTTTGATGAGATGTTTTTTGATAATTAATGATTGTGGATTATTTTACACTATGTTTTGTATTTTGCACCTGTTTTTCTATGTTGTACACCGCAATGAGTCGCCCTTGGGCTGAGAATTGCGGTATATAAGCGAAGTAAATAAATAAAGATTTATAGCTGAAGGCTGAATGCACATAATCAAAAGGTAATCCCATCCCCTTTTGTAACTTTAAATCACTTCAGAACATCTTCATCTAAGGCCCCTTCCACACTGCTGTATAAAATCCACATTGAACTGGGCTATATGGCAGTGTGGACTCAGATAATCCTGTTCAAAGCAGATATTGTGGTTATCTGCCTTGATATTCTGGATTATATGGCTGTATGGAAGGGCCCTAAATTAACTTCAAGGGTGGCAAACCTAAGAGGGGGGCTCTCATTGTTTGTCTCTTATAAATAAAAATATTATTTTAACAAGCAATCCAATATGGAGACCCTCTTTAGTTTCATGTCATTTCTACTGGCTGAAAGGGTAAGAGATACTTTTTGGATGTTGTGATCCATGTGAAAAAAATAACTTGATTGACAAAAATGCCTTGGGCAAGTCATCTCTACTAACTAATACAGATGTTCTAATTGTAATGAAACATAGCCCTGTACCCTGGAAATTAATACGTTTCTTATATTTTTCCATTTTCACCATAGTATTCAGTCTTTTCCTAATTTACACAGCTATAGCTAATGGGTCATGATATGTCCAAGTGAAAACTATAATTTACTGTAGTTTTGTTTTGCTTCATAAAGGGAAGACAATATTAATAGGAAAAAATGTCTCAATCTAAATGTTAACATATTTTCTGTTAAACATGTTTTTTCATTCAATAAAGTTTGAAAACTCAAAAAAAATGTGGACACCCAATACTATTATTGGTATAGTAACTGACTTGTGGGAGGAAGAAAAGGTGGCCTTTCCCCTTCGCACTGAGAAATGAAAAAGATTCCAACACAAGATCAACTAAACACAATACAAAGACACACAAACTTCCGGTTTGGTGGACTGAAGAAGACAATTCCTTAGTGAAATACACTTAAAAGCTTCACAATATATAGCATCCAGACACAACACTTCCACAGCCTTCAACAAAGCCATATAACTCAGAATATCAAGGCAGATAATCCAGCATATTTGCTTTGAACCAGGTTATCTGAGTCCACACTGCCATATAATCCAGTTCTGTGTAGAGTTTATATAGCTGTGTGGAAGGGGCCTATGCAAGTATTCCCAAAAGATACTCAGTGTTCCTTCTACTGCCATATAAACATCCAGATTATCTGCTTTAAACAGGATTATATGTCAGTGTAGGCTCTGAGCCCTTCCAGACAGGCCCTAAATCCCAGGATCTGATCCCAGGTTTTCTACTTTAAACTGGATTATTTGAATCCACACTGCCAGATAATCTGGGATAGACAGAAGACCTGGGATCAGATCCTGGGATATAGGGCCTGTCTGGAAGGGACCTCAGATAATCCCAATTCAAAACAGATGATGTCCTTTGACAATCTGGATTATAGGGCAGCGTAGATGGGGCCTAATGGCCCTCCCAGACAGGCCCTATATCCCAGGATCTGATCCCAGGTTTTCTGTTTATCCCAGATTATCTGGCAGTGCAGACTCAGATAAAGCAGAAAACCTGGGATCAGTTCTGGAAGGGCTCTGAGACAAGCATTTGAGATCAGGGGGCCTTCTACATCCCTATATAAAATCCAGATTATCTGCTTTGAACTGAGTTACCTGAGTCCACCCTACCAGATAACTCAGTTGAGGGTGGGTTTGATACAGCTGTGTGGAAGGGGTCTCGAAACACGCCAAGTTTACCACACGCCGTTTCCTGTATGGCCTGGGCAGGGAGCCTGCAATTAGGCAAGGCCTATGAATGTTTACAGCCTGCTCAGTGGGTTGTTCTTCTCCTCCCTTTCGGCCTGCCTTTCCTTGCAACCCTCTCTGGCCTTGCGCCCCATTATCCCCGTCTCGTTCCCCGCCCCGGCCTCCCCCGAAGTGGGGAGGGAAAGGGGACAATGGGGCCCGCCTCCTCCCGCTCCTCTGAAGCCCTTGGCGGGGGATCCGCGCCCCTCGGAGTGCTCTCCCTCCGCGGCTGCCTTCGCTTGCTTCCGGGAATAACAATAGAGGCCTTGCTCGGCCTGGGAACCTGGCCCCGGCAACCACCCACCGGGCTGCCTGGCTAGCCGGCCCTTCGGAGGAGCCTCCTCTCGGCCGCCCCCGCCCGGCCCCGTCCAAGGCGGCTCCTCCGCCGGAACCCCCCGGCACCCTCCTCCCGCCCGCGCCCACTCCGGTCCGGATACTCACGGGCGGGGCGGCACGATGGCGACGGATACAACGGGCCCCCCTCCCCCGGGCCTCTCCGCCTGCCTCTCACTCCGACAACATGGCGGCCCGCTCGGGCCTCCCCGCGCCGCGCCGCATCATGGGAAGGGTAGGCTCAGGCAGCCCGGACGGGGAGGGAGGGGAAGACTTGCTCGCGCGCAGGCGCACTCCCGCCAAAGGCAGGCACACAAACAGGTAGGCCCAGTTCTGTTCGGAGACCAAGACCAGTCGCTTGGACCCTAGAGGCGGGTAGCCTGTGATGGTATATGTACATGCAATGTTGTTGTTGTTCATTCGTTCAGTCGTCTCCGACTCTTCGTGACCTCATGGACCAGCCCACGCCAGAGCTCCCTGTCGGCCGTCACCACCCCCAGCTCCTTCAAGGTGTCCATCTGAACATTAGGAAGAACTTCCTGACTGTGAGAGCCGTTCAGCAGTGGAACTCTCTGCCCCGGAGTGTGGTGGAGGCTCCTTCTTTGGAAGCTTTTAAGCAGAGGCTGGATGGCCATTTGTCAGGGGTGATTTGAATGCAATATTCCTGCTTCTTGGCAGGGGGTTGGACTGGATGGCCCATGAGGTCTCTTCCAACTCTTTGATTCTATGATTCTATAAGGTCAGTCCAGTCACTTCAAGGATGCCATCCATCCATCTTGTCCTTGGTCGGCCCCTCTTCCTTTTGCCTTCCACTTTCCCCAGCATCATTGTCTTCTCTAGGCTTTGCTGTCTCCTCATGATGTGGCCAAAGTACTTCAACTTTTGTATTGTCGAAGGCTTTCATAGCTGGAATCACTAGGTTCTTGTGGGTTTTTTGGGCTATATGGCCATGTTCTAGAGGCATTTTCTACTGACGTTTTGCCTGCATCTATGGGAAGCATCCTCAGAGGTAGTGAGGTCTGTTGCTTGCCATAGATGCAGGCGAAATGCCAGGAGAGAATGTCTCTAGAACATGGCCATATAGCCCGAAACATGCAACTTTGTCTCTAGTATCCTTACCTCCAGTGAGCAGTCGGGCTTTATTTCCTGGAGGATGGACTGGTTGGATCTTCTCGCAGTCCAAGGCACTCTCAGAACTTTCCTCCAACACCACAGCTCAAAAGCATCTATCTTCCTTCGCTCAGCCTTCCCTAAGTTCTCACATCCGTAGGTTACTACAAAGAATACCATTGCTTTAACTATGCAGATCTTGGTTGCCAGTGTGATGTCTCTACTCTTCACTATTTTATCGAGAATTGGTCATTGCTCTCCTCCCAAGAAGTAAGCGTCTTCTGATTTCCTGGCCACAGTCTGCATCTGCAGTAATCTTTGCACCTAGAAATACAAAGTCTGTCACGGCCTCCACGGTTTCTCCCTCTATTTCCCAGTTGTCAATCATTCTTGTTGCCATAATCTTGGTTTTTTTTGACGTTTAGCTGCAACCCGGCTTTTGCGCTTTCTTCTTTCACCTTGATTAGAAGGCTCCTCAGCTCCTCCTCGCTTTCGGCCATCAGAGTGGTGTCATCTGCATATCTGAGGTTGTTAATGTTTCTTCCAACAATTTTCACCCCAGCTTTGCATTCATCAAGCCCCGCACATCGCATGATGTGTTCTGCATACAAGTTAAAAAGGTTGGGTGAGAGGATGCAGCCTTGCCGTACGCCTTTCCCAATCTTGAACCAGGTACATGCAATACATAATAATAATAATAACAATAATAATATCTATATAAATAAAAATGTAATGTTAGTTCGTGCTACCATCAGAACTCAAAAACCACTGGGGGAATTGACACCAAATTTGGACACAAGACACCTAACAGTCCAATTTATGTCCTCCACTCAAAAAATTGATTTTGTCATTTGGGAATTGTCGTTGCTGGGATTTATAGTTTACCTACAATCAAAGAGCATTCTGAACTCCACCAATGATGGAATCCGGCCAAATTTAGCACACAGGGCTCCCATGACCAACAGAAAAAACTGGACATTGACCTTGAGTTTGGAAATTATAGTTCGCCCACATCCAGAGAGCACTGTGGACTCAAACAATGATGGATCTGGACCAAACTTGGCATGAATATTCCATATGCCCAAATATGAACACAGATGGAGTTTAAGGGAAATAGACCTTGACATTTGGGAGTTGTAGTTGCTGGGATTTATAGTTCACCTACAATCAAAGAGCATTCTGAACTCCACCAATGATGGAATTGAACCAAACATGGCATACAGGACTTCCATGACCAACAGAACACACTGGAAGGGTTTGGTGGGCATTGACCTTGAGTTTGGGAGTTGTAGTTCACCTACATCCAGAGAGCACTGTGGACTCAAACAATGATGGATCTGGACCAAACTTGGCATGAATATTCCATATTATTTATTTATTTATTTTATTTACCTTACTTATATACCGCTGTTCTCAGCCCGAAGGCGACTCACAGCGGTTCACAACAAATACGAACAGCAAAAATTCAGTGCTACAGTATAGAAACAGTTAACAACCTAACACATTACACAATTAATAAACAGTTACTACAATACCCATTCACTGTCGTCTCGTCATCAAAAACATGTTCTAGATTCGTCATCCATTGTTCCATTCCAGTGTTCATTAACCAATCATTGCACTAATTATTGGAACGCCTGCTCAAACAGCCAGGTCTTCACTTTTTTGCGGAATACCATTAGAGATGGTGCTAGTCTAATGTCCGTAGGAAGGGCGTTCCACAGCCGAGGAGCCACCACCGAGAAGGCCCTATCTCTCGTCCCCGCCAGCCAAGCTTGAGAAGCAGGCGGGATCGAGAGCAGGGTCTCCCCGGAAGATCTCAAAGTCCCCAGCAGAGCTTGAGAAGCAGGCGGGATCGAGAGCAGGGTCTCCCCGGAAGATCTCAAAGTCCTGGTGGGTTCATAGGCAGAGATGCGGTCGGATAGGTAGCTTGGGCCGGAACCGTTTAGGGCTTTATGAACACAGATGGAGTTTAAGGGAAATAGACCTTGACATTTGGGAGTTGTACTTGCTGGGATTTATAGTTCACCTACAATCAAAGAGCATTCTGAACTCCACCAATGATGGAATTGAACCAAACATGGCATACAGGACTTCCATGACCAACAGAACACACTGGAAGGGTTTGGTGGGCATTGACCTTGAGTTTGGGAGTTGTAGTTCACCTACATCCAGAGAGCACTGTGGACTCAAACAATGATGGATCTGGACCAAACTTGACACAAATATTCCATATGCCCAAATATGAACACAGATGGAGTTTGGAGGAAGTAGACCTTGACATTTGGGATTTGTAGTTACTGGGATTTATAGTTCACTACAATTAAAGAGCATTCTGAAACCCACAAACGCTGGAAATGGGGCAAACTTCCCACACAGAACCCCCATGACCAACAGAAACTACAGTGGTCATCCAGTCCACTGCTGAGAAGGCCCTGTCTCTCGTCCCCATCAACCATGTTTGCGATGGTGGAATTGAGAGCAGGGCCTCTCCTGAAGATCTTAAACTTCTTGATAGTTCGTGGCAGGAGATACGTTTGGACAGGTAGTCTGGGCCAGAACCATTTAGGGCTTTAAAGGTTAAAACCAGCACTTTGAATTGTGCTTGGAAGCTGATCGGTAGCTAGTGAAGTTGGCGTAACAAAGGAGTTGTATGTTTCCTGTACGTCGCTCTGGTGAGCAACCTGGCTGCCGATCGTTGGACTAGTTGAAGTAGAGTCTCGCTTATCCAGCCTTCGCTCATCCAACATTCTGTATTATCCAACAGAGTCTGCCTCCTGCCCTGATCCAGAACTGTTTCAATACACTGCTAAGTTTTGGTGCTTAATTCATAAATACAGTAATTACTACAGAACATTACCGTGTATTGAACTGCTTTTTCTGACAATTTGTTGTAGAACATTTTTGGGGCTTAATTTGTAAATCATAACGTAATTTGATGTTTAATACGCTTTTTCTTAATCTATCCTTATTATCCAACATGTTCACTTATCCAACATTCTGCCGGCCTGTTTATGTTGGATAAGTGAGACTCTACTGTAGCTCCAAAGGGGGTTCTTCATTGTGTCTTTCTTCAGGAGGACATTAAACAATATGTTGGAAATTTAGATTTATAATGGTCAGACTTTCCATTTTAAGCATTAAATCCTCATGTTGAAATAGTATTTCCTTCTAGAGATCTTTTGAAGGGTTCCCAGTATTTCTTAAACTCGGAAGGGTCTTTTGACTGAAGGTATCCCGTCAGATATATTTTTGTGCATTTTGGTTGGCCATTATATGCTTTGCTTTTTTTATATAGTTTTTGGAACTTAAGGTTTGGTATTTTGTTCCATGGTCAGCATTCTTCCTTTGAGTGTGTTTCCTGGATGTACGTTTGTACACCCATCAGATCTATACCCATTTTCTTTACCTTCAAACAATTTGCATTTGAAAACTTGCTTCCACAGACCTATTTTCTCAGAAAATAGCCCATGTTGTTCAAGAAGAGAGGTGCAAAATGGGGAAAGCTCCAGGCAGGGCCGTAGCCAGAAAAAAAATTCGGGAGGGGTTGAGATTTTCGGGGGGGGGGGTTGAAAATTTCGCAGGGGGGGGTTGAAACCTGCCTCCTAGCTCACGCTGAAGCAAAGAGCACAGCAGGGGGCAGAGCAGCCTTCAATAGCCTGCAGCTCCGCCCCTGTCAACCACCTCCACCAAGTCTGGCCTCCTTAATGAGATCATTCAACACCCCCCCCCCACTTGGTTGCTTCGCTCACGCGCTGGGCCTGTAAATAATTGTCTTTAAAACAGGATGTGTAACCTTTGCCCAGCGGGAAGCCAGGGGCCCAAGGAGAAGTTCTCAGAGGTTTCCACCACAAACAGTCTTTAGATGGCTTGAGAAGTACAACAAAGTCTTTTATTAATGAACAATCAAACAGAAACTTCTCTTGTCTTCAGTAAAGTTAAGCAAATGATTCCAAGCTTTTAGGCAACTGGTGAATTCCTAATCTTGCCCACGAAGGACAGGCAACTGTCTTCAATAACTTCTTCTTTAAAGGAAAATCCCCGTTTTAACTTCTCCCAGGCTGACTGTAATCTAACCCTTACTGATGTGGGCTCCGCTACCAGGTCGAACTGTCTCGAACGCCGAGTGGACCTACCAGCAAGGCAGTAGATGTTCTCCAGCTGGAGTTCTTTGGTCTTTAGGGCTGTTTTCCTGGAAATTCTTTGGAGACTCTTAAGACCTTTCTCCCCCGGAAGGTCTTAAGGGTTGAAGCTTTTGTACAGGGGAAGCTTGCACACATCCTATACATAAGCTTACCTTGCTGAGACTAACTAAAATGGCTCCCTTCCCTTCCCAATTGCCCTGAGCAAGGGGCGGGACCAAAACTTAACAATGATGGACAGGTGACTTGCCCTATGACTGCAACCAAAGAAGCCACCTATCTGCAGAGTCCCTGAAACCTAGGACTGCAAGCAAACATTTAATACAAAGCAAATAAAGTTGGAGCTCCTGGTACAGCTGTACCAGAACAACTACATCGGCTATTGCTGCAAGTAATGACAGTGTGAATAAATTGCTAATATTTGCTTGAGATAGTGCTTGCAGTTCTGGAGGGACTCTTGATTTTTTGCATCTCATAGACTTAGCATGGGGATTTGGTTAACCAGTTAAAATTCATGAGTAAACCAGGTTTTTTTAAAAAAATCTGAAACATTTCGGGGTGGGGGTTTGAACCCCCAAACCCCCCCCCCCTCGCTACGGGCCTGGCTCCAGGTGCTTTCAAATTACAGCTTCCATTATCCTGCATGCTGTGAAACATACTGAAAGTTGGAATCCAGCAGCATGTGGGGAGCATATTTATTTATTTATTTATTTATTTATTATTCGAACTTATATGCCGCCACTCCCCTGGGGCTCGGGGCGGCTTACAAGAACAGGCTAAAATCGAACACAATTTAAAAACAATTTAAAACAATTTAAAACCAGCAATATCAGAGATCAAAGGCCCGTCGAAATAGATATGTCTTACATGCCCTGCGGAAAGCTGATAAATCCCGCAAGGCACGGACTTCAAGTGGCAGAGTATTCCAGAGTGATGGTGCCACTGTTGTAAAGGCTCTGCGTCTTGACACTGGGGACTTCCAATAGATCTTGGTCCTCAGAACGGAGGGATCTCTGGGGTTGGTAGGGGGTGAGGCGGTCCCTCAGGTACATCGGCCCCAGACCATCAAGGCCTTAAAGGTGAGTACCATCACTTTGAAAGTGATCCGGTGCTCAATTGGTAACCAATGCAGCTGCAATAAGATTGGTGTTATGTGGCATCTCATCGGAATTCCCGCAAGAAGCCGAGCAGCAGCGTTTTGTACCAGCTTGAGCTATGGTGTTTCCCACCCTCTTTTAGAAATATAAGGGCTCCCTAGTGGTGCAGCAAGTTAAACCGCTGAGCTTCTGAACTTGCTGATTGGAAGGTCGGTGGTTTGAATCTGGGGAGCAGGGTGAACTCCCGCTGTTAGACCCAGCTTCTGCCAACCTAGCAGTTTGAAAACATGCAAATGTGAGTAGATCAATAGGTACTACTTCAGGGGGAAGAATTTTACAATTTTTAAATTACTATATATACTCGAGTATAAGCCTAGTTTTTCAGCCCCCTTTTTAGGCTGAAAAAGTTCCCTCCGGCTTATACTCGAGTCAAGGTTATTTATTATTTTACTTTGTTATTAGTATCATTTTATTACATGAGTTATTTTAATATATTAATTATTATTATTATTATATTTACATTACTTGACCCTATTATTATTTTATTACATTTATTATTTTATTCTATTTATTATTAGTATTATTGATTTACTCTTTATTATTATTACATTTCTTATTTTACTTTATTTTTATTGTTACTGCATTTATAATTTTACTCTGTTATCACTGTTATTACATTTCCATTATTTTACTTGGTTATTATTATTATTATTATTATTATTAATTTCCCTGACACAAAAACACAGTATGACACAGCAAACGAGGTATATATGCTGGATTTCATTATTATTATTATTATTATTATTATTATTATTTTACTATCTTTATTATTATTGGAAAGATACATAAGCACATTTACACTGAAGATTAGAATAATGGTTTAATCAGAGCTGGACAGTCTTATCTTAAATTACAGTTTTATGTAAATACTCAAAAACATTAAACCAACTGACGCCTCAATTAATGTAATTTTATTGATATCTATTTTTATTTTGAAATTTACCCATAGCTGCTGCATTTCCGACCCTCGGCTTATACTCGAGTCAATACGTTTCCCCAGTTTTTTGTGGTAAAATTAGGTGCCTCGGCTTATATTTGGGTCGGCTTATACTTGAGTATATACGGTAATTAAAAAACTCACAGAATGGTGGATCAAAAGAAACCAAAGAGCCTCAAAGGAAGTACAAAAACACCATTCATTTTAATAATTTTCAGTGCACAAAATCAGAAAAAGTCACAAATTTAAAACAGCTATTATTAAACAGATCTTTTAGAGTTATACAAAGAGGGGAAAATTGACATTACAAATGCAATTTTATTTTAAACCAACCCAAGTTTTAAAAAAAGACATTTCCAAGCACCAGTGCCTGAATTTGTGACATTTTCAAAGACAAGGAAAGAGGTCAGAGTGCAAGAGGAAAATGAATGCTTCTATCGAACCGGTAATAGTGGCAATTCAGAGGCCATCCTTCAGTAGACACACACTTTATACATGTTTAAATAAAGGAGATGGAGCACATCATAACTTATTTCAATACAATTTTCATTCATTTTTCAATCTGCTTTTAAATCTTAAAAATAGCTAAAGTTCCAAACAAATGGGTCAGGCTGCATTTTGGCACCTGCTGATCTGGAATGTATATCCCATTGAAATTACTGGGACAAGCAAACATTTGGAGTGGCCTCTCCCAATCTAGTGTCCTGTAGATGTACTGGACTGCAACTCCCAATAACCATTCTCATTGCTATGGCCATTCTGGCTGGGGATTATGGGAACTATAGTCCAGTCCATGTGGCAGGCACTAATTAGGGAGATTCTAGTGTCTAAGATCAGGCTGCATTTCACAATTACGCTGTCAATGCAAAAGGTGCTAAAAAGATCAACATCATAACCACTGGCTACAAAAAGCAGCGCATCACTGTGATGCTATGTTATCACCGCTGATGGTCGGAAGTTGCCACTGTATTTGAGTTTAAACAGGAAAGCGTGCCCAAGAATGAGACTTTCCCCAAAGAGGTCATTGTGCAAGTACTGAAAAATGGCTGGATGACAAAGGGTTTATGGAAGACTAAGTGTTGTGTGGGAGCAACATCCTGGATGTCTTCTTAGCCCACCTACCATGATAGTCCTTGATGCCTTTCATGGACATTAGTCAAATGAGGCAAAAAGGTGGTGACTTGATTATGGTTCCTGCTAACGTGACTAGACTACCCAACTGCATCTCAGTAAACAAACAATTTAAGTCAGAACTTCTTGAAAAACAGAGTATAAATCCTGGCTATCAATTTAGGGCCTTTCTCTTACACCTTCCAGAAAAAATCAAAACAGCATTGAAAGGGACAGAATGGGTTTCAACAACTATTTCTTGGTAAGCAATTGAGAATTTGTAGAAGTGGTGCATCCCAAAAGCGGAAATGCTCCAGCCCAATTCACTCTGCACCAGTCTGCAATGGGATGTTGGAAAGGGTGACATTTTGAAGCAAGGGGAAGGGGATACCCATTTTCAAAAGGAAATCCAAAGACAAAGCAGCCGTTAGCAAATAAATACACAAACCCCTTGGACGAGGAATTTATCACAGTCAACAAAATAGTTTCCAGCATGTTATGGGAAGCATCATAACATATTATCAGCCTGCGCCGAGGATCTTTTTGAGATGAAAAAAAAATGCAGTGAAATCCACATACTTTTCCAAATACATACTTGTTAAATCCATTCTTCATGTTTAAGACACACATTGCTTCCCGATACTCGTCTTATTCATTTTCAACTGAGATTTAAGATAAGGTCATGGTACTTTTTTGCTGCTGGGGTCTGCATGTTGACAGAACCTTACCCATGAGTTAGTAGGGTTGATATATCTTTGCTCTTTCTGTGATTGTGATACCCTCTCCTTTTCTCTGATCAGCAAGCCATAAAGATATGAATATGTCGCCCAACCAAGTATTTCCTTGATTTTGTTGTTGTAGGGGGATTGCAATGTATTATTGTGTTGCAATGCCATTTGCTCAGAAACACATAAGACTGCAGGCACTGATCTGGAACAAGCAGGGAAGAAAATAGATGATCCGGGTCTTCTTCGGAAAGAGCTTCTCCTTATCTCTCTGAAACAGTATTATTTGCCCTAGTTCGAGGTTCATGATGAGGGCTTATACCAGCAGCACTACAAACACTGACCAGCAGGTGGAGTGTTTACCTTCATTTGGTTCATTGGTCTTGGAATAGCAATAATTTAATCTCTGCTCTGTGTGAAAACTCTTATGTCTCTCCAAATGCAAAAGTTAAAAAAAGCAGGAGAAGGCAAGGAGCTGTCTGTTTTCTGTCGGCCGCTGCAAATATCTTCCCTGGCTTTTTTTATTTTTCATGGTTTATTACATGTGGTGTCCTGCGCTGGCTCGCCGTTTTGCAAATTTACCCAAGAGACAGTTCACTGTAGGTAAGGAAACAGTTATCCAGAGCTAAACAAACAAACAAACAAACGAACAAAAAACAAAAAGGATTCATAGCAAGGCACAACACCTTCCAGAAATGCAGCCCAAGATCTTGTATCAGGCATGGAGCTATGATATCATACTTATTGCACCACCAAACCCACGATAAAATCCAGGCAGCTGTTCTGCGGCCCCTTCTACACTGCCATATAATCCACATTAGCACAGCAGATAATCCACATTATCATCTTTGAACTGGATTATACGAGTCTACACTGCAATATAATCCAGTTCAAAGCAGAAAACTGATTTATTTATTTATTATATACCTTGTCTTTCTCCGCATGCGGACTCAAGGTGGCTTATAGCAAAAAACGTACAAATTCCAACAGTTAAAATTTGTAAACAAGATCTACCCTAGCAAACCTTTTGTATCATTATCCCAATACCCCCATGCATATGGGATATATTGAGCATGATGATCAGATCATGATATGAATAAACATAACAGATATATAAACCCATTTTTCCTACTTCCAACAGACCTCACTACCTCTGAGGATGCTTGCCATAGATGCAGGCGAAACGTCAGGAGAAAAATTGCCTCCAGAACATGGCCATATAGCCCGGAAAAACCTACAACAACCCAGTGATTCCGGCCATGAAAGCTTTCGACAATACAGTTTAAATAATGTACCAGTAAGGCCTTCTTGCGGACCTCCCTGAGAATTGGGGGGGGGGGCTGAAGCCCCTCAAGACCCCCCCCCCCAGCTACGGGCCTGATGAGGGGCCTACCGGCAGCGCAGGCCCCTCTGGACACCTCCCCGGATGGGTAATCAGAGGTCCTGCTCAAATGCAGGGTGAGGCAGCATAACTTCCTGTTTTAAAATGCACGCCATTCAGTCGGTTGAAGACATAGCAGAGCGCTAATGGTCTTGTTCGAGTGGCGGGAGTATGAAGTTTTGTCCTGACACAGTTCAGTCGCCATCATGGAACAGTGAGGAGCGTGCTTTTGCCGTTGAAGTTGTAGTAGAGTCTCCTGGTACTGTTACTACTGATAGTATGAGTGGTAGAAGAGAGAGAAGGTGTGCTCAGGAGTTAAGGGAGGAACAGCAAAGGAAGAGGATTCGGGAAATACTTATGTCACTCACTGACGAAGATTCCTTTGAGGGGTTTTCTGAAAGTGAAATGAGTGAGGAGGGGGAAGGAGTTTCAGTGAATGTAAGCAGGGGAGTTAAGAGGTCTACTCGAGAGTCGGGATCCAATGAGGAGTGTCAAAGGAAAAAGATCCGGGATATACTTAATGCTCCCACAGAGGAGGAGGATTTCATGGGTTTCACTGGGAGTAACGGGGCTGGGAGTGACAAGGAGGATGGGTCATTGGACTGGACCAAGGTTCAAGAGGTTCGAGATATCTGTACTCAACCAACATCTAGTGACACGTTTGCAGGGTTTTCTGGTGGTGGGGATTGGCAATCTTGGGATACTGTGGACTCATGAGGAAACCTAAGTCTTGACAAGCAATGGAAGAGTTGGAGGGATGGGTGTTGGCGTTCAGCTGTAGAAGCTAAACCAGCTGAAAGTGATGATGACGGGGTGGAGGGCAGCTCATCATTGAGTGAGGAATTGTAGATAAAAGTAAGCATCAAAACGTTAGAACTTTGCAGAAGGCAAAGTGTTGGTTTCATGCCTTGGGTTTTGTCGCTGCCACTTTCGTGTTGGGCTTGGGTCCTGGATCTGCAGGTTGCTGTATCCCCCATGTTTGAACTCGGCTTGGATTCCTGTGAGTGTGGTTTTCTCCCTTCCTTGACTTCGGACTGCTTCTGGACGACGACAACGCTGACTACATGGACTTCGCAACTTCGACCTTGGCTTTCTTCGACTTTGGACTGTTTTTGACTTCGGCTTTTGCTTCACAGACCTTTGTTTGCTTACCCTTTGTCTGCTGTGCTATTTTGGGTAACTTTGGACACGACTCAGTTTAATCCGGATTATATCTCTGTTTAATCTGGATTATTTTCTAAATTGGTTTTTTGAGCTAAAACTTGCTGCTGCTTTTTTTGAGCTAAAACTTGCTGCTCTGAATCCTTTGTTTGATTTAATAAACTGTTTCTTTTGGACATATTACTGAGTCTGGCTCTTTAAAGGCTTCTGGGTTCTGACAGTTGAGGTCTACTTTTCGAGCCGATTTGGTGTGGCCAGCCCGCTCTCCAGATTTGGTCCCTTGTGATTTTTTTTCTATAGGGTTTTTTGAAATCCTGTGTTTATGTGAACCGTCCAAGGACCCTCTACAAGTTTTAAAGACCAACATCCAGGAAGAAATTGCCAACATAACACCTACTATGCTGGCAAGAGTCATGACAAACGCCAGAAATTGGTTTACTTAGTGTATGGAAAAAGAGGGGGGGACGTCACCTACCTAATTTGATCTTCAAAACTACACAAAACAAAACTTTAGGTATGCGCCTACATTATAAAAAAATAAAAAATTCTGATTCATACAATGGGTTTTATTAAGTTTTGAAAAAAGGAAGTTATGCTGCCTCACCCTGTATGAACATCCTTTATAGCTAGCAGGGGCATCAGAGGCAGAGAATGCATTGTATCTCACTTCATTGCAGGTGGAAAAAACATCCCCACATTAAGGGGAGAGCATCTGGTGAAGGGTGTCATCCCAAGGCTATAGAACTACTCCATGTGGTTCCTTAATCTCCAGGTATGAGAGATACTCACGTATATAAAGGCTGGAGCTGCAGGTGAGACATCTTTTGAGGTGCCTGGTAACCATAGGAATCAAATCCTCCAATGAAATCAACTGTGGAGCGAAAGACAAATGGTGAGAACTCATATTCAATGTACAGAGAATAGATGGGTCCTTTAGCCCAGAATGAACAGAATTCAGAGTTGTCAGATCTACTTTGTTTTCTACTAGGCTTGGGCGGTTTCATTTGTTAATTTCGTAATTCGTTATTAATTCGTATTTAAATTAGCTTACGATCCAATATTGAGCCATGCAGGACTACTGTGAGGAGTAATTAAAAATCGAAACAATTTTTCCAATTTATTTCGTATTGTTTCGTAATTGGTTCAAAATTGTTTCGTAATTGTTTCGTAATTATTTCCGTATGTCTGGTGCAAGTTTTATAGTTGTTGTTTGTTTTATCAGTGATAAAAAATAAATTATCACACCAACAGTCAACAACAGAGGGAGAGGGAAGCTTCAGAAGTCCCTCCTGTCCCATTTGGAGGGTTTTTTAGCATATTGCGCAATCGCGTCCGCCATTAACGAATCGATTCGTAATTTTACGAAATTTCGTATGTTTCGAACTTTTTTAAAGGAAAATTTTGGAATTCTTTAAAAAAACGAAACGCAAGGGCCCCCCTAAAAACGAAACGGGTTTAGAACCAAATTTTTCCGTAGTTACCCAAGCCTATTTTCTACCTATAATTCAGAAACAATTTTGCCTCTTCAAGAAAGAAAGTCATCATCTTAAAATTAAAGAAGTGGACAGGTGGAATCATGTGGAAGGAGATTTCTCTTCTTAGGAACCAATTGACGTGGCAACCTGATATGAGGTCAGTGGTCAGTTTTTGGGACTGTCAAGTACCATGACTTCAATGCATAGTTAATGGTAAAAGATGATGGGGACAGAAACCAACAAGTGGAAGCTCTAAAGTAGCCCCATGATGAATACATAAGCATGCAATGGGTCTCAGGCTGAAAAGGGTCTCTCACTTTAAATTACAGCCACCAGTAAAAATGGGCAATGTTTCGAAATGATGAGGGTAACAAGACAAAGATATGTGGAAGAATCAATTTAGCATCTATAGATGTATTTTGAAAATACAGAACAGGTGTAGTGTAGTGATTTGAGCACTGGATCTTGACTTTGGAAACCAGGATCCGAATCTCAACTCAGGCCCTTTCTACATTGCCATATAAAATACAGATGTATGGCAATGTAGACTCATATAATCTGCATTATCAAAGCAGATAATGCATCTGCTTTGATACTCTGCATTGTATGGCAGATTGTATGGCAGAAGGGGCCTTAGCCATGGCAACCCACATGACAAGTTACACTGTCTCAGCTTCAGAGCGAGGCAAAGACACATCCCCTCTTAATAAATCTTGCCAGAAAATGATAAATTGGAAGCAACATGGAAGGTACACAAGATTTGGGTTGTTGTAGGTTTTTTTGGGCTATATGGCCATGTTCTAGAGGCATTCTCTCCTGATGTTTCGCCTGCATCTATGGCAAGCATCCTCAGAGGTAGTGAGGTCTGGTTGGAACTGGGAAAAAGGGTTTATATATCTGTGGAATGACCAGAGTGGGACAAAGGACTTTTGTCTGTTGGAGCTAGGTGTGAATTTTTCAACTGACCACCTTGATTAGCATTTGATGATCTGGCAGTTTGGTGTGGCTTGTTAGTGCCTGGGGCAATCTTTTGTTGAGAGGTGATTAGATGTCTCTGATTGTTTCCTCTGTTGTTTTGCTGTTGTAATGTTAGAGGTTTTTTTAAATACTGGTAGCCAGGTTTTGTTCATTGTCATGGTTTCCTCCTTTCTGTTGAAATTGTCCACATGCTTGTGGATTTCAATGGCTTCTCTGTGTAGTCTGACATGGTGGTTGTGAGAGTGGTCCAGCATTTCTGTGTTCTCAAATAAATTGCTGTGTCCAGGTTGGTTCATCAGGTGCTCTGCTATGGCTGATTTCTCTGGTTGAAGTAGTCTGCAGTGCCTTTCATGTTCCTTGATTCGTGTTTGGGCACTGCGTTTGGTGGTCCCTATGTAGACTTGTCCACAGCTGCATGGTACACGGTAGACTCCTGCAGAAGTGAGAGGATCCCACTTTAAAAACCACCATGTCAGACTACACAGAGAAGCCATTGAAATCCACAAGCAGGTGGACAATTTCAACAGAAAGGAGGAAACCATGAAAATTAACAACATTTGGCTACCAGTATTTAAAAAACTCTAAAATTACAACAGCAAAACAACAGAGAGGAAACAATCAAGGACATCTAATCACCTCTCAACAAAAGATTGCCCCAGGCACTGCCAGGCCATCAAATGCTAATCAAGGTGGTCAGTTGAAACATTCACACCTAGCTCCAACAGACAGGAGTCCTTTGTCCCACCCTGGTCATTCCACAGATATATAAACCCTTTTCCTAGTTCCAACAGACCTCACTACCTCTGAGGATGCTTGCCATAGATGCAGGCGAAACGTCAGGAGAGAATGCCTCTAGAAAATGGCCATATAGCCCGAAAAAAACCTACAACCCAGTGATTCCGGCCATAAAAGCCTTCGACAATACATTACACAAGATTTGTTTTTTAAAAAATAATCACACACTCGGGCCCCTTCAACACTGCTTTATATACCAGAATCTGATCCTAGGTTATCTTCTTATCCCAGGTTAAATGGCAATGGAGACTCAGGGTGCTTCCAGACAGCTTCAAAATGTGGAACAAATAAGAGGCAAAACATCACAGAACTTGACAACAATTCCAGACATTGAGCTGTCAGTCCTGGTCAATGCTCCCCCACCATCCCGACACCTTCGTTTGTAGCAGATTTTAGAAATCTGCAAGATGGACAGGGGACAGCCAGTGGAAGTTCACTTTTACTTTTAACAAAAATAAAGCTTCTGAGATGCGCTGAGCCTCATATGTTCTGATGCGGATATCTGAATGTGCACAAGCTGACATCTTATGGATTTAACATTAAAATGGTTAGAATCCTCAATATTTTATGAAAGATGTGTTAAATAAATAGAGAGGAAGACTTAGTTGTAACAATGATAATTTAGTAAAAGAACTCCCCCTACATTCCCCAAAAATTCTGGCACAACCTGTGGATCACAACCCCAAAAATTCTCTTTGTTTTTTCCTCGTGACATATTAGACTTTTGTAAAAATTCAACTAACCAATAACTCCTTATTACCTCCCCCCCCCCCCACCGTTTTTCCTTTTCCCTCCCTTGTTCCCCCCACCCCATGCGTTCCTAGTAAATTTTTAATGAAAATTATTTGTTTGATAAGAATCTGCCCAGTGGGCAAGACGGCCACTTCTGTGGTGTGATTAAAAACCACAGTACTTACAGCTGTCTTCTTCTTCCATGAACACCTTGCTGACGTAGCAGGCACAAACAAATCCGAAGAGCTTCAAAACACAAATAAAATTTTCAAAAGGAGGAAGGAAATTATTTGATTATTTGAAAGCATGGAAACAGAGGCACCTTTCGGAGAGTCTTGAAAATTATCACAATGAAGCTGAGCAACATAATTAGATGAGGAAAACATCATGTATACATGTCTAGCAGATTCATCTAATCCAATTCAAAGCAGAAAACATGGGATCCGACACTGGGATATTGGGCAGTCTGGATTCAGCTTCTGTTATTATACCACCAAATTAAGCATTTCTTTGGGTTGGGGACACTGAGCAGGACTTTTGGCAAAGGTCTGAAAGTACAGGCAAGTTAACACCGGAAGAGATAGGCGTTAAGGTATCCTTGTGCTTTTGCTTCCAATTTTTGTCTTTATGTCATTGAACATCAAGCATGGGAAAAACGTCTAGGTGAACTGGAAAGAATGCTCAAAAATGAAATGCAAAGATACAGAATGGGTGACGCCTGGCTCGAGAGCAGTACGTGTGAAAAAGATCTTGGAGTCCTCGTGGACAACAAGTTAAACATGAGCCAACAATGTGATGTGGCGGCAAAAAAAGCCAATGGGATTTTGGCCTGCATCAATAGGAACATAGTGTCTAGTAGGCCTGGGTAACAACGGAAAAATTTGTTTCTAAAATCGATTTGTATTTAGGGGTTTTTTTTGTTTCGATATTTAAAATAATTACAAAATTTTCCTTTTAAAAAGTTCGATATTTACGAAATTTCGTAAATGGTAAAAAATTAACGAATCGATTTCCGAAACAATAACGAATCGATTCGTTAATGGCGGACGCGACCGCGAAATACGCTAAAAAACCTCCAAAACCTTCTGAAGCTTCCCTCTCCCTCTGTTGTTGACTGTTGGTGTGATATTATAATTTTTTTTCACTAATTAAACCATAAAACAGGCCCAGACATGCGGAAATAATAACGAAACGACCTCAAAACAATAACGAAACGAATACAATATCGAAATACGAAGCATTTACAAAACGTTTTTGAAAATTCGTTTTTTTAATAATTGCTCCAGAATGGTTCGTTATAGTTTTGTAATTGAAAAAATTAACGAATTATTAACGAATTACGAATTAACGAAACGAAACCGCCCAGCCCTAATATATAAATCTCCTCTATTCTGCTTTGGTTAGACCACACTGGAATATTGTGTCCAATTCTGGGCACCACAATTCAAGAGAGATATTGACAAGCTGGAATGTGTCCAGAGGAGGGCGACTAAAAAGATCAAGGGTCTGGAGAACAAGCCCTATGAGGAGCAGCTTAAAGAGCTGGGCATGTTTAGCCTGAAGAAGAGAAGGCTGAGAGGAGACATGATAGCCATGTATAAATAAGTGAGATGAGAAGTCATAGGGAGGAGGGAGCAAGCTTGTTTTCTGCTGCCCTGGAGACTAGGACGCAGAACAATGGCTTCAAACTAAGAAAGGAGATTCCATCTGAACATGAGGAAGAACTTCCTGACTGTGAGAGCCGTTCAGCAGTGGAACTCTCTGCCCCGGAGTGTGGTGGAGGCTCCTCTTTGGAAGCTTTTAAGCAGAGGCTGGATGGCCATCTGTCAGGGGTGATTTGAATGCAATATTCCTGCTTCTTGGCAGGGGGTTGGACTGGATGGCCCATGAGGTCTCTTCCAACTCTTTGATTCTATGATTCTATGATTCTTTATGCCATCTGAACTAAAGGCATTGCCCAGCTATCTCCTTTTCTATGGGTGTGCATAAAATATACTTCTGCTCAGGTCCAGGCTTATTCTGTAGGTCTATTTTTAATAGTAGTAGTAGTAGTAGTAACTTTATTTTTATACCCTGCCACTATCTCCAGAAGGGGACTCGGGGCGGCTTACAAGGGAACAAGCCCAAAATTACAGATAAAAACAGAAACACATTAAAATCAAGCAAATAAAAGCATAACACAGTTAAAAAACATCATCAGCAAACATATTATGTTAGGCACACAAAGCCATCATGCAAATAATGCAACCTTTTCCCATGAAAGCAGAGGCCCTGTCTGTGCAGAGTGATCATCAGCCTGAATCCAGGGTTGATCCTAATTAGAGTTAGAATTGACATTGACTGACAGTTGGCTTACTAAGTTCCCGTTGACTCGGGTCACTGAAATCTATCCATCCCCAGATCTTTTGAGATCACACTTGGAAAATCTTGCAGGCTTCATCATGTTCACAAAACAATATTCATAAATAAATAAATGCATCCTATTTCTTTTAAAACATAATATTTTCACCTTGCCCAAGTGAGCGTGTTTGGGAATGGAGTGTTAAGAGTGATGTGATGTTCTTCTTTGGCAGACAGCAAGCGAAGCACAGAATTGACCATAGAGGAGCTACCGCAGAAATACACAGAATTTGCCTGTTATGCTTATTAGTGGCACAATTTGTATTACCACAACATTTATCCTCCATTTATCTACCTAAGAACTCGATAACTTCATTTTGAACAACACCTCCCAGAATCCCCCAGTAGCACAATCAGATGGTGAAACGTCAACTCCCGTATTGGTTATTCTTCCCAAGGACTCTGGGAGTTGCAATCTCAAAAGCAATGTTTGTAATCTTTGATCTCCCTCTGCTTCTCTACTTCCATTATGAACTGTCCATAGTGTAATAACCTTAGTTGAGGTTAGAATAGCTGCCATGGCCTCTTTGACTTTCCTGTGCCTGAAGGGATGGGTTTTCCGAGCAGTATCGGATTGTTCTGAGTTATCTTTTAGTTGTATTTTACTGAACTGCTGTTTTATTTTTTCAGTAAATAAATTGAAAAGCATATATTCATAACAGATTTTTGCTGCAATCCCATAGCGTTACCTAGGAGGAAATCCCATTGAACTCAAATGGTTTTATATTTGAACAGACCTGAAAAAAATTACTTTTTGTGATGTATGCTGGCGAAGGGATTTAATTTTGTTTTGCAATAGCACAATGACAATAAAGCGATTGTATTCTATTAATTATGATTGCTGGTGGTCAAGGAAGGCATAGTATTTAGTCCCTCCTGATTACAATATTTAACACAATGTTTGTTCCTGGGTTATCAATGTCATTTTCTAATTGGTTCTATCTTAAAAACATGGAAAAAGTTTATTAAACGTTGTTTCTGCGGGAATAACATCTCGCTATAGCACATTTTACTCTATTTTTTCAATGAGTATCTCATTGGGTCTCAACCAATTCAACAGAGTTTGTGACAACTACAAAAAGAAACTTTCTGGTGTATAACAACTCCTTTTAAAGTTTGTTTGTGCGAGAATAACAAACTTTGTTTCTGCGGGAATAACATCTCGCTATAGCACATTTTACTCTAGTTTTTCAATGAATATCTCATTGGGTCTCAACCAATTCAACAGAGTTTGTGACAACTACGAAAAGAAACTTTCTGGAGTATAACAACTCCTTTTAAAGTAAGTACCACACAATTAAACAGAAAATCACACTTTCAAACCAGGAACAGAACATTTTTCAAATTTTGCTACATAGCGTTGTTATATCGCATTCATTTTAATGTGTCTCCTCCCACTGGGACTTAAATAGATGTAATCCTTGGGTTACAGTTTTCAGAATCCCACAGCCAACATGTAAGACTTGGGAGGTAGTCCAAAAAAGTAACTTTCCAAAACTCCGCCTCAAGTATAAGTCTGATTCTTTTCAGGAGAAGGGAACCCCAAAGGGAATTCTGTTGGGAGATCATGGGTGTGCAGAATCACCTTAAGAATCCCAGCCTGAAGATTCAGCTGGAGATGGCTGCTGGTACCACTTACCGCAAGGAATATCTGCATGGCACTGCTCACCACCTCTATGTATTGATAATCAAGCAAACATCCACTGACAGTGATGACGTGATGATCCTCAAAGGCCAGCTTGGAATTGATCACTGGGGTCACCAGGCAACCAGGACCATTCTCCATCCACCACGAACGATGCAGTGAAGTGTTAAAAGTCATGAGGAAGTCTTGGTCCTGGGGAAAAGGAGGCACAACAAAGCAAATAATAATAATAATAATAATAATAATAATAATAATAATAATATACTTTATTTATATTCTGCTCTATCTCCCAGAGGGGACTCAGGACAGATTACAGGTACATATGTGGCAAACATTCAGTGCCGTTATACAATTGACAAAGACAGACAGTACATAAACAGAGGCAAGGCTTCCCTCTTTTTATCTCCGGTGTCTGGCTGTGCTCGACTTGGCCATGGGGAGGTGCTGTTGTTCCATTTTCCACACTGAGGAGCCTATCGTCCATGGATGCCTTTCCTGATCGGATTTTTTGCCAGCATGTTTTTTCCGGGTGCCTTTTACCTCCCCGCCAAAGGGGTACCTTATTTATCTACTTTCATTGTTGCTTTCGAACTGCTAGGTAAATAGAAGCTGGGCTGATGGCGGGAGCTCACCCTGACCCGGGCTTGATCAGGCGGTTTAACCCATTGTGCTAGACCGACCCTGTGGGGAGCCTTTGGAAAGGTTGGTGTGTTTGAACATCAATCCTATTGATAAGGGTGATACAATTTTGGCTACAGGTGGATCACACTTGGAAAAAGTTTTCACTGTTAGGGTTTCTTGGCCCAGGTTGCCCAGAACTCCAGGGTTTTGTGAGAGATTTGTCAGGTATTTCTTCAACTTGAAGCAGAGCTTCTCAGCTCAAATATCAGAGCAGTATTAAAGTAATGTCTATATTAGGCATGGACAAACTTTGGCTTTCCCTCCAGGTGTTTTGGACTTCAACTCACACAATTCCTTACAGCTTCAGCCCCCTTCCTTTTCCCCCCTCAGCTGCTTAAGCAGAAAAGGAAAAGGGACTGATGCTTTTAGGAATTGTGGGAGTTGAAGTTCAAAACACCTGGAGGGAAAGCCAGAGTTGGCCCATGCTGGGTCTATAGTATGTGAGCAATACTGCACTAAAGAGCAGGCGCAGGAGCTTCCTTTATTCTTTGTTGCAGCTATTACAGTATTCACAGCTCTCTCCAGAATCCTCCAATTTGCCATACATCATCACCCAACCCCAACTTATTCTGTTGGTATTCTTATATACACTTGCATGATGTGATGTTCCATTCATGCTTTCATTATTTTATACGCCTGATGCAGACCTAAAAAAGTGGGTGCTAGAAACAATATCATACGAAAGCTGACTGGCACAACCTGGGGATCACAACCAGATACAGTGAAGACATCTGCCCTTGCGCTGTGCTACTCTGCTGCTGAGTATGCATGTCCAGTGTGGAACACATCTCACCATGCTAAAACAGTGGATGTGGCTCTTAATGAGACATACCGCATTATCACGGGGTGTCTGCGCCCTACACCACTGGAGAAATTACACTGCTTAGCCGGTATTGCACCACCTGACATCTGCCGGGAAGTAGCAGCCAATAGTGAAAGGACCAAGGCAGAGACATCTCCAGCTCATCCCCTGTTTGGGTATCAGCCAGCACGCCAACGACTTAAATCTAGACATAGTTTTCTAAGATCTACAGAGACACTCGCTGGAACACCTCAGCAAGCGAGAGTCCAAAAGTGGAAAGCTCAAACCCAGCACTTCAACCAATGGCTGATACCAAATGAGAGACTCCCTCCTGGGCACACAGAAGACTGGGCGACTTGGAAGGCATTGAACAGACTGCGCTCTGGCACCACGAGATGCAGAGCCAACCTTCAGAAATGGGGCTACAAAGTAGAATCCTCGACATGCGAGTGTGGAGAAGAGCAAACCACTGACCACCTGCTGCAATGCAACCTGAGCCCTGCCACATGCACAATGGAGGACCTTATGCAGCAACACCGGAAGCACTCCAAGTGGCCAGATACTGGTCAAAGGACATTTAACCAGCTACCAAACTCACAAGTTGTGTATTTTTCTGTTTGTTTGCTTTGTTCTGTTAGAAATGTAATATAATGGACTGGTTGCTCTGACACGACAAATAAATAAATAAATACGACCTAACTTCAGGTTGTCATTATTCTCATGTTTAATCGCTGTAACTGTGATTCAGCACTTCCAATACTTAAATTAACCCAAGACCTGCTTTGGGTCCATCCTGGAGAAAGGTGGCATAGAAATCTCCCTAATAAATAATCATAAATAATAGGTAAAGGTAAAGGTTGTCCCCTGACATTAAGTCCAGTTGTGTCCGACTCTGGGATGTGATGCAAATCTCCATTTCTAAGCCAAAGAGCCAGCGTTGTCCGTAGACACCTCCGAAGTCACGTGGCTGGCATGATGATTTAGAATAAATGCATTGCTCTTGATCCTGTTTTGGACTCCAGCTACCAGCATTCCTAACTATTGGACACGCTGGCAAGAGCTGGAGCCCCAAACACCTGGAAGGTCACAGGTTGTGCAGGCCTGCTCTAAAGCTAATTTTACCAAGCAACATGATATATTTCTCCCTTATTGGTATATAGTACAGACATTCCAAGATGATACAGAAACAGGACCTCTTACCCTCTGGTTATATTGCAGCTCTAACACCCTATCCAACAGCCCAGTTTGCATTCTGTTTGGCACCATGAGAAACACCAAATATTCTGTTTGGCACCATGAGAAACACCAAACACTACAATATTGGCAAATCAAAGAGAAGTATAAATTGGATAAAGAAGTAGGGTTCTCAAATGGTAGAGACTAGAAACAGAAAGGAAACTAATAACAAAACTATACAAACAACTTTTAGAATGGCAATTAGAATCTAGAGAAGACAAAAAATACATGAAAAGATGGAATGAAAATTTAAGAAGAAGTATCAGACAAACAGAGTGGAAGGAAATTTGGAGGAAAAGATTAAAATACACATACACCACCGACCTTAGGGAAAATTGGATCAAAATGTCACTAAGATGGTATCTAACCCCCCAAAAATTAGGAAAAATATATAATAACACAAGTTCGACCTGTTGGAAATGTAAGAAGAAAGAAGGTTCCTACTTTCACATGTGGTGGACCTGTGAAAAAGCGAAAGCCTATTGGAAGAAGATACAAAAAGAAATACAAAACATGTTAAAAATAAAATTACCAATGAAACCAGAGCTGTTCCTATTGGGAATGTACGATAACAATATAGAAAAAAATAAAGACAAAATACTATTTTTAGCGATAACGGTTGCAAGGATGTGCTATGCAAAAAAATGGAGGCAAACAGAAACACCAGAAGAAGATGAATGGAGAATAAAAATGCTGGACATTAGTAACCTAGATAGGCTTACCTTTCTACTATTGAAAAACAAGGAAACTGGAAGAAAAGAAACAGACTGGAAAGACGTCACTGAATACTTAAGGGAAAAGAAGAAAGAGACAATGATCTAGAGGGAAAAGGAGAAATTAAGAAGGAAAACCAAAGAAGAGGGGAAAGAAAATTAGAAGAAAAATAAAAAGAACTTTGTCTTTTTTCTTTTTTTTTCTTTTTTCATTTTCTATTTTTATCTCTTACATTGAGATAAGACTGACTGAACAGAAGATTTTCGGAAGACACCAGGAGGTCAGGATACTCCTATTTTTGGCCTTTTATTTTAACCTCTTTTTTATCTTTTTTATTTTCATTTTCTTTCTCTCCCCTTCCTTTCATCCTCCCCTCCCATTTCTTTATCACCTTCCGCCCCACTCTCGCCTACCCTTTCCTCTCTTCCTATGCTAAGTACTACTCCCTATTTTTTTCTTCTTCTTTCTCTACTTCCCCCTTTTACTTTTTACCTATATACATACTTGTATGAAAAACTTCAATAAAGATTATTTTTTTAAAAAAGAAACACCAAATGTTTTTAAAATGCTGCAGAATGATGCAGTCGCCTCCTGGTCTGTCAGTTCTATTTAAGGTGACCGATCACAGCAGAAAAAAATGATAGATGGGAAGCCTTGTGATTGTCAGGTGGATCGCTGGTCTGAGAAGGGTAAGCACTCAAAACGATTACAGGAGGAATTACCTGTGAAAGGTGTCCCACTTCCAGGTAAAAGCAGATGATGAATGCATTCCATCCAACCCATAGAATGAGCCATACTGCATACTGGGGTGGGATGCGCAGGAGAGAGAAAAGAGGCAGAGTGTCAGTTACAAGGGTATGACATAAAGTGTGTTAAAATCAGAAGAGTCTGGGCTTTTCTCTATATAATTATCAACTGAAGGTACTACTTTCCGCACCTAACACTCTCTAGTGAGATAGCTAACAAGGCCAGCAATTAAACAACCTAGGGACTTGTCTGTTGTAGTCTGGCAAGCGTCAGGATTTTTCTTCAGAATTTATTTATTTATTTATTTACTGCTCTTATATACCGCAATTCTCAGCCCGAGGGCGACTCAGGTGCAAATTACAAGACATAGTGCAAGATATCCACAATCATCATTATCAAAAAACATCTTATCAAACATCAACAATACTACAAAATTTCTACTACATTCCGAATCGTCTCATCATCAAACCCACAGTCCGATATCATTTCCGTTGTTCCATTCCTATGGTCAAATCTCCAGTCATTGCACTTCTTGATCAAATGCCTTCTTAAACAGCCAGGTCTTTAGCTTCCCGCGGAAAATCAACAGGGAGGGGGCTAGCCTGATGTCCACGGGAAGGGTGTTCCACAGCCGAGGAGCCACCACCGAGAAGGCCCTATCTCTCGTCCCCGCCAGCCGTGCCTGTGACGCAGGCGGGATCGAGAGCAGGGCCTCCCCGGAAGATCTCAAAGTCCTCGTAGGCTCATAGGCCAAGAGGCGGTCAGTTAGGTATCTTGGGCCGGAACCGTTTAGGGCTTTATAGGCCAATGCCAGCACCTTGAATTGAGCCCAGTAGCAGATCAGCAGCCAGTGGAGCTGGTACAGCAGGGGACTTGTATGCTCCCTGCGTCCCGCTCCTGTTAGTATCATGGCTGCAGCACGTTGGACCAGTTGGAGCTTCCGGGCCGTCTTCAAAGGCAACCCCACGTAGAGAGCATTGCAGTAGTCTAAACGGGATGTAACCAGAGCGTGGACTACCGTGGCCAAGTCAGACTTCCCAAGATACGGGCGCAGCTGGCGCACGAGCCTGAGCTGTGCAAATGCTCCCCTGGTCACCGCCGAGACCTGGGGCTCCAGGCTCAGCGATGAATCCAGGATCACACCCAAGCTGCGAACCTGCGCCTTCAAGGGGAGTGTGACCCCATCCAGCACAGGCTGTAACCCTATACCCTGTTCGGCCTTGCGACTGACCAGGAGTACCTCTGTCTTGTCTGGATTCAATTTCAATTTCAGAGGATGAGGTGTTTCAAAATGAGGTGTCTGTGAGTGTTCAGGGAGATTTGGAGGCAGGTCAGGCTGACGTTTGGAATTCTGTAGATCTTTCCCAAGCAACCAGGGAAACTGAAAGTACCAGTTCCCTGGAGAAAAGGCCTTGGGAAGACGAGGAGGGCAAGGAGGTTTCAAGGGAGTGTAAATTAGATTTGAGAATGCAGGGCGTGAAAAGCAGGCAAACTAGGTCTTCCCAGCGGATTTGAGATAAGACCTTGAAATCCAGGTGCGTTCGACATGATCTTATGGCAGCCTGGATGGGCTTAAATTAAGTGTTTTGGCTTCAAGTATATTAGAGGAGACAATGTTGCTAAATGGGAATCAGTCTCTTGTTCATGTTTCCATGTTCCTGTATTGCCAAGACTCTTCTTCTGTGTTCCTGTCTATACTTATGTACTTTTGGAAATTTTACCTGGAAGAGATTCCTGTGTTCATATTCATGGAAATACTTTGGAGTTTTGGGATGCTTTGATTGCATTGGTTCTGGGATTTTCCCCTGGCATTGTTGAAGTACTGCTACTCAGGCCTGTAGCGAGGGGGTGGTTTTAGGGGTTCAACCCCCCCCCCGAAATGTTTCAGATTTTTTTTAAAAAAAACTGGTTTACTCATGAATTTTAATTGGTTAACCAAATCCCCATGCTAAGTCTATGAGATGCAAAAAATTAAGAGTCCCTCCAGAACTGTAAGCACTATCTCAAGCAAATATTGACAATTTATTCACACTGTCATTACTTGCAGCAATAGCCGATGTAGTGAAGCAACCAAGTTGGGTGTGTGTGTGTGTTGAATGCTCTCATTAAGGAGGCCAGACTTGGTGGAGGTGGTTGACAGGGGCGGAGCTGCAGGCTATTGAAGGCTGCTCTGCCCCCTGCTGTGCTCTTTGCTTCAGTGTGAGCTAGGAGGCAGGTTTCAACCCCCCCCCCCGAAATTTTCAACCCTCCCCGAAATTTTCAACTCCCCCCCCCTGAAATTTTCAACCCCTCCCCCCCAAAATTGTCAACCCTCCCCGAATTTTTTTCTGGCTACGGCCCTGACTGCTACTGAACTCTGGCTTATTTTGTGTATTGCATTTTGTATCTTGACCATCTCGTTTGGATTTGCCTTTTTCCCCTTTTTATATCATTTCTTCAATCAACATTTTATTATTGGGTCACTGGCCTCTGGGTGAAAGGGTGTCTCAGTTTTAGGGTGCAACATTGTCCATCAACCAGCCACTTTCTTTGTATTCCACCTGTTCCCCAAGTCTAGAAATCAAGGCAGCATTCACAATTTTTAAAAAAACACATGCAAAACACACAGAAATACTGATATATTATTAAACTGTCCGGTATTATCATTATTACTGTTATTATTATTATTACTATTACATTTATTTATATCCTGCTTTTTCTTTCCATACAGAGATTCAAAGCAGCTCACAAAGCATGACAATACAACTTCAAATATATAAATATTAAAACAGTCCTGACAGGGCTAGATGTGCCTTCAAGAATGTATTATGGTTTTCCAAGACAAGGAAGGCCCCAAATTGGGTGGGAAACAGAGTCTATTGTTTCTAAAGGAGAAAAATGTCGCATTTAACTCACAAAGTATCTAAGCTTAGGCCTGAAAAGGATATCTATGTCTTATGGACTTATCAGGGCTTTCTCAGGCAAGGAATATTTAAATGATATTAACGTCCTTAATATCTATAGCAGTGGTTCTCAACCTTCCTAATGGCGTGACCCCTTAATACAGTCCCCCATGTTGTGGTGACCCCCAACCATAATATTGTTTTCATTGCTACTTCATAACAGTCATTTTACTACTGTTATAAATCATAATGTAAATATCTGATATGTGGGATGCATTTTCATTCACTGGACCAAACTGGGCACAAATACCCAATACACCCAAATGTGAATGCTAGTGGGGTTGGGCGAGGATTGATTTTGTAATTTGGGAGTTGTAGTTGCTAGGATTTATAGTTCACTTATAATCAAAGAGCATTCCGAACTCCACCAGCGATGGATTTGAACCAAACTTGGCTCCCATGACCAATGGAAAACATTGGAAGGGTTTGATGGGCATTGACCTTGAGTTTGGGAGTTGTAGTTCACCTATATCCAGAGAGCACTGTGGACTCATGCAATGGTGGATCTGGACCAAACTTGGCATGAATACTCAATATGCCCAAATGTGAACACTGGTGGAGCCTGGGGAAAATAGACCTTGACTTTTGGGAGTTGTAGTTGCTGGGATTTATAGTTCATTACAATCAAAGAACATTCTGAACTCCACCAACCATAGAATTGTCTCAAACTTCCCACATGGAATCCCCATGACCATCAGAAAATACTGTGTTTTCTTATGGTCTTTGGCAACTCCTCTGACACCCCCTTGCGACCCCCTCAGGGGTCCCGACCCCCAGGTTGAGAAACACTGATCTATAGCATTCTAGACCTGAAAGTAGTATTCCTGCTGACCTGACTCTAGGCATGCTCACTTGGGGATTCCAGAAGTTGAAATCAATTCCAATTGATTCAGCTGCTGAATCAAGGAATTCCAAACTATACTTTTAAATAAACCAAAAAAAAAAAAAAGAAAGAAAAAGAAAGAAAAGAAAAGAAAAGAAAAGAAAAGAAAGAAATGCCAGGTGGTGGTGATGATGATGATGATGATGATGATTTGAAATACAACCAGATTAATCCACAACAAACATGATCACTCTGCTGGCTTTTGTGTTGGATCACATGTTGGACACTTCCCAAGTGTCTAGGACTGTGTGATGTATCAGCGAATAATGCGTGCAGATCCCAAGTAGGGTAGCCTTTTGTAGCTGGCAGATGCTAATTTTGTCAGCGCAGATTGTGTTTAAGTGCAGGCCAAGGTCTTTAGGCACTGCACCCAGTGTGCTAATCACCACTGGAACCATCTTTACTAGCTTGTGCCAGAGTCTTTAAATGATCATGTTGTTGTTGTTGTTGTTGTTGCTGTTGTTGTTGTTACATTTATTTATATCTGGCTTTTTCTCTCCAAACAGAGACTCAAAGCAGCTCACAACTAAAAGCATTACAATACAACTTAAAATATATCAATATTAAAGCAGTCCTGACAGGGATAGATGTGCCTTCAAGTCCATTGAAGAATTTATTAAGACTTTCCAAAGCAAGGAAAGCCCCAAATTGGGTGTGAAACAGAGCCTAGTGTTTCTAAAGGGGAAAACATTGCATTGTATGTCTGCTTGTATGTCTCCATCAGCGTCCCACCTCCTTTATCTTGTTCATGCCTAGCATTATTTTTTAAACTTCTATTACATTTGGCCCAGCCATAGATTTTAAATGTGCACTGTACCTTGTTTAATGTTTATGCTATTTGTGTATGAGATTTATTTTAATTGCTTTGTATTGTGTCTGTTATTGCTTGTATTGCTTGTATTGATGTATTGTGGGCTCGGCCTCATGTAAGCCACACCGAGTCCCATGGGGAGATCGTAGCGGGGTATAAATAAAGTATTATTATTATTATTATTATTATTATTATTATTATTATTATTATTATTAAACTCACAAAGTATTTAGGCTTAGGCCTGACAGGGATATGGATATCTTATGGACTTCCCTAGGCAAGGAATATTTAAATGATATGAACTTCATTAATACTGCATCTGTAGCCTTCTAGAGCTGGAGGTATTATTTCTGCTGACCTGACTCTAGGCATGCTCACTTGGGGATTCCAGAAGTTACAATCCGATTCCAATTGAATCAGCTGCTGAATTGAGAAATTCCAAAGTATGCATTTAAATCAAACCAAAAAGGGAAAAAAATGAAACACCAGGCATGCCATTATGACTCCCAACTCTGACCAGGGCCACGGCTCAGGAAAAGGTTCTAGAAAACGACCCAGAAAGGGGTTTTGCCACCTTGGTACCTACCAATATGAGGTGTTTGGATCTGTACTGAATGGTGCCAAAGATGCCCAGGATAACAGCCATAATGTGTAAAAAATTGGCGAGGATCGGAACCCACTGATAACCCAGGAAGTCAAAAATCTGCCTTTCCAGGGCTGTGATCTAAAAGAGAACAGAAATGGAACAGAGTGGAGAATTCCTCATTCAGCAACATCTTACACAACAGTTTTTTAAATAGCGCAATATACCTTATGCTAGACCAGGCATGGGCCAACTTGGGCCCTCCCTCCAGGTATTTTGGACTTCCAACTCCTACCATTCCTCACAGCCTCAGACCCCTTCCTTTTTCCCCTCAGTTGCTTAAGTGGTAAAGGAAAGGGAAGTGGCTTGAGGCCGTTAGGAATTGCGGGAGTTGAAGTCCAAAACACCTAGAGGGAGGGAGGGCCAAAGTTTGCCCATGCCTGATATATATAATAGAATAGACCGGAACAGAAAAGAATAGCTTGATTGCCATTGTGACATGCCTTCTTTTTCCCTGGTTACAAGACACTCACAATGCCCAAGAGTTTGCCCGTAGTTCTGCAACCGATGGGAGAGACACAGGGCCGACCCATCCCCTTTCCCCTGGGATGATGAGTGCAAGGGAAAGGGATGTTAGCAGCGCTCCCTATGGATGGTGAACCAAGTCACATCAGTCCTGGTTGCACTGTCCAAAGTGCAGGGCTGCTCCTGAGCATTCACTGGCTTCTCTCAGCACAGAGATAAATACTTCAAGCCCTGGGTTGCTGTGAGTTTGTCGGACTGTCTGGCCAATATGTTCCAGCAGCATTCTCTCCTGACATTTCACCTGCATCTGTGGCTACTGGCATCTTCAGAGGTTCTATTGGAAATTAAGCAAATCGCGTGTAGATATACCTGTGGAATAATATCCAGGGTGGGAGGAAGAACCCTGGTCTGTTTGAAGCAGGTGTGAATGTTGCAATTATCAATCTTAATTAGCATTGAGTAGACATGACATTTGCAAAGCCACTCAGTGAGGGTATCTGCATAGAGGTAGCCTGGCCTTTTTGCCTGGAGGCGCCCTCTGTTTAGGAGGTGTAAACTAGCCCTTGATTATACAATAATGTCCAGGGTGGGAGAAAGGACAAGAGGGATCCTCTCCCCACTGGAGAGGTCTATTTCATGTCGTGCAGATGTGGACAAGAAGTCTACATGGGGAACTCCAAATGCAGAGGCATTGCCCAGGCATGCATCAAAGAGCACGAAAGGCACTGCAGAGTGATTCAACCAGTGAAGTCAGCCATAGCAGAGCACCTGAGGAACTAACCTGGACATAGAACATTATTTGAGAACACAGAAATGCTGGACCACTCTCACAACCACCATGTCAGGCTACATAGAGAAGCCATTGAAATCCAGAAGAAGCAGGTGGACAGTTTCAACAGAAAGGAGGAAACCATGAAAATGAACAAAATCTGGTCGCCAGTATTAAAAAGCACCAGCATCAAGACAATAAATAAGGAACCTCACCCAGAAACGGGAATTCCAGGCAGCAAGCAACCGGAGGCCAGTTTCCACTTCCCAAACAGAGGGTGCCTCCAGGCTAGGCCGCCTCTATGCAGAGACCCTCACTGATTGACTTTGACAACTTCTTGGCTACTCAAATGCTACTCAAACTTACTAACTGTAACATCCACACTTGCTTTAACAGACAAGGGTCCCTCCTCCCACCCTGGACACTATTCCACAGGTATAATCATAGAATCATAGAGTTGGAAGAGACCTCATGGGCCATCCAGTCCAACCCCCTGCCAAGAAGCAGGAATATTGCATTCAAAACACCCCCTGACAGATGGCCATCCAGCCTCTGTTTAAAAGCTTGCAAAGAAGGAGCCTCCATCACACTCCAGGGCAGAGAGTTCCACTGCTGAACGGCTCTCACAGTCAGGAAGTTCTTCCTCATGTTCAGATGGAATCTCCTCTCTTGTAGTTTGAAGCCTTGTGCGTGTTTAGCCTGAAGAAGAGAAGGCTGAGAGGAGATATGATAGCCATGTATAAATATGTGAGAGGAAGCCACAGGGAGGAGGGAGCAAGCTTGTTTTCTGCTTCCCTGGAGACTAGGACGCGAAACAATGGCTTCAAACTACAAGAAAGGAGATTCCATCTGAACATTAGGAAGAACTTCCTGACTGTGAGAGCCGTTCAGCAGTGGAACTCTCTGCCCCGGAGTGTGGTGGAGGCTCCTTCTTTGGAAGCTTTTAAACAGAGGCTGGATGGCAATCTGTCAGGGGTGATTTGAATGCAATATTCCTGCTTCTTGGCAGGGGGTTGGACTGGATGGCCCATGAGGTCTCTTCCAACTCTATGATTCTATGATCTCCGCATATTGTCAGCATCATCCTCTCAGGGGCCAGTGTACTTCAGCGTGACCCTACGGGGAGGTGGGAACCATCTGCCAATGAGTTTGAACCTTTTAAGCAGAGGCTGGGTGGCCATCTGTCAGGGGTGATTTGAATCCAATATTCCTGCTTCTTGGCAGGGGGTTGGACTGAATAGACACACTAGACCAGTCAAGCCCATAGCCAGGATTTCGATTCGGGGGAGGGGGGGCTGATTTTGTTTCAGGGGGCTGAGTCAGTGAAAGAGGGTCTAGCCTAGCAAACCTTTGGATCGTTACCCCAATACCCCCATGCATATGGGATATATTGAGTATGGTGATCAGATCATGATATGAATAAACATAACAGTTTAAATAATGCACCAGTAAGGCCTTTTCGCGAACCACCATGGCTACATGTCTGGCCATGTATAAATATGTGAGAGGAAGCCACAGGGAGGAGGGAGCAAGCTTGTTTTCTGCTTCCCTGGAGAGTAGGACGCGAAACAATGGCTTCAAACTACAAGAGAGGAGATTCCATCTGAACATGAGGAAGAACTTCCTGACTATGAGAGCCGTTCAGCAGTGGAACTCTCTGCCCCGGAGTGTGGTGGAGGCTCCTTCTTTGGAAGCTTTTAAACAGAGGCTGGATGGCCATCTGTCAGGGGTGATTTGAATGCAATCTTCCTGCTTCTTGGCAGGGGGTTGGACTGGATGGCCATGAGGTCTCTTCCAACTCTTTGATTCTATGATTCTATGTGGATTACTTGTGGGGGGGGGGTGAGTTTATTTCGGCGGGATGAGGATGGATTGAGAGTGATGAATTGGGGGGCTGAAAGTACGAGTGTGACGGATATGAAGACGGAGTGGAGAGTGGCGCGGTGGGCTGAAGTCTATTAGAGGGCTGGGCTGGAATGATATCTGAACGGGCTGAAGAACTTCTGAGGTTGCGTTGGGGCTGACTCTGGGTTATGATGAGTGATGATGCAGGTGGCATTTATTGGGAGGGAGGGCGATGAGTGTTGCGCATGCGCGCTTCGCTTCCAGAGATTCCCTGCAGTGCCATGCCTTTTGGCGCGGAGGATCGAAGGATATTGGTGGGCAGATAGGCCTGAGTGTATGCCCCCTAGTTTGTTGGGAGGGGGGGGCGGGGACTTGACTGAGTCTTGGGAGTTTTGACTCCGTTCTGACGGGCTTGACTGGGGCGTACTGGGAAAGGAGGGCTTGAGTGATGCTCTGTGGGGCTAGAATGGGCTGGTTGGCTCTCATGAATGACGTTCTGAGATCTGTGATCTTGAGATGAGGGGGGCAGGGGGTGGTTGGCCGAGAGGACTGATGGAGTAGGTTGAGTCTGCACTCTGAGGTCTACATGTCGGGCGGAGAGGGTGACACCTGACGTCCTTGATGACTGAGAGGTGGGAGGTCGGGCCATTGCAGTCCTGTGATGTCTGTGAGTCTGAGTGAAAGAGGGTCTCCCCTAGCAAACCTTTTGTATCATTATGCTGTGAGTCGCCTTCGGGCTTGAGATACAGCGGTATATAAGCAAAGTAAATAAATAAATAAATAATAAATTATCCCAATACCCCCATGCATATGGGATATATTGAGTATGGTGATCAGATCATGATATGAATAAACATAACAGTTTAAATAATGCACCAGTAAGGCCTTCTTCTAATCAAGGTGAAAGAAGAAAGTGCAAAAGCTGGGCTGCAGCTAAACATCAAAAACACCAAGATTATGGCAACAAGAATGATTGACAACTGGGAAATAGAGGGAGAAAACGTGGAGGGCAGTGACAGACTTTTTTGACAACTGGCGAAAGAAGAAGGAAGAAGGAAAAGGGGGAAGAAAGAAGGAAAAGAGGGGAGGAAGGGAGGGAGAGGCATTAAAATGTGGACCCTTGGAGTGGGGTTGAATTAGAAGCATTAGACTAATTTAACATGAACAATGCAAATATTGGAGGCCGTGACAGACTTTGTATTTCTAGGTGCAAAGATTACTGCAGATGCAGACTGTAGCCAGGAAATCAGAAGACGCTTACTTCTTGGGAGGAGAGCAATGTCCAGTCTCGATAAAATAGTAAAGAGTAGAGACATCAGACTGGCAACAAAGATCTGCCTAGTCAAAGCCATGGTATTCCCTGTAGTAACCTACGGATGTGAGAGCTGGACCTTAGGGAAGGCTGAGCGAAGGAAGATCGATGCTTTTGAGCTGTGGTGCTGGAGGAAAGTGCTGAGAGTGCCTTGGACTGCGAGAAGATCCAACCAGTCCATCCTCCAGGAAATAAAGCCCGACTGCTCACTGGAGGGAAGGATACTAGAGACAAAGTGAAGTACTTTGGCCACATCATGAGGAGACAGGAAAGCTTAGAGAAGACAATCATGCTGGGGAAAGTGGAAGGCAAAAGGAAGAGGGGCCGACCAAGGGCAAGATGGATGGATGGCATCCTTGAAGTGACTGGACTGACCTTGAAGGAGCTGGGGGTGGTGACGGCCGACAGGGAGCTCTGGCGTGGGCTGGTACATGAGGTCACGAAGAGTCGGAGACGACTGAACGAATGAACAACAAGCTCACTGGAGGGAAGGATACTAGAGACAAAGTTGAAGTACTTTGGCCACATCATGAGGAGACAGCAAAGCTTAGAGAAGACAATCATGCTGGGGAAAGTGGAAGGCAAAAGGAAGAGGGGCCGACCAAGGGCAAGATGGATGGATGGCATCCTTGAAGTGACTGGACTGACCTTGAAGGAGCTGGGGGTGGTGACGGCTGACAGGGAGCTCTGGCGTGGACTGGTCCATGAGGTCATGAAGAGTCGGAGACGACTGAACGAATGAACAACAACAAACAGTTTAAATAATGCACCAGTAAGGCCTTTTTGCGAACCACCATGAGAATTTCGGGGGGGGGGGGCTGAAGCCCCCCAAGCCCCCCCCCCCCCCCCCCCCCCCCCCCACAGACAGGGCTCACATTAGGTGCTTGTGGGTTTTTTCGGGCTATATGGCCATGTTCTAGAGGCATTTCTCCTGACGTTTCGCCTGCATCTATGGCAAGCATCCTCAGAGGTGAGGTCTGTTTGCCATAGATGCTTGCCATAGATGCAGGCGAAACGTCAGGAGAAATGCCTCTAGAACATGGCCATATAGCCCGAAAAAACCCACAAGAACTGAGTGATTCCAGCCATGAAAGCCTTCGACAATACATTGAACATCTCTTCCAACTCTTTGATTCTATGATCTACTACACTCTACACTTGCCTCACTGCCAAGAGACCTCTGAAGATGACAGTAACCACAGATGCAGGAAAGACCTCAGGAGCTGGAAGACGGCCATGCAGTCCGAAAAACCCACAACAAGGCAGTGATTCTAGCCATGAAAGCCTTCGACAATACTTCCAGCCCGTTTATGCCAGCTGAAGGATTAAACCTCGCTGGGCATTGGGTGTATGTATACCCAGGAGTCCCTTCTGGGCCTCTGTGAGCCCAAGCCGCTCCGATTGTGTGTATGTCGGTAGGAGCCCCGGAGGAAGGAAGCGCTTTGTTCCTGGCTCTTTTGTGCTGTGGATGTCAATGGCCAGGCAAGTCGGTTCCCAGGGCTGGGTGGGGAGGGAGGGAGGGGGGAGGCCCCATGGCTGAGAGGGGCACGCTCTGCTTACCAGCTGCAAGGCGCAGAATCCCACCAGCGTGCCGCGCCCGCTGCATCTGCCCATGGCCGGCCGGCCTGCCTCCCCCGCCGGGCAGCCTCACCCCGAGGGCGCCCCCAGGCGGGCGCGCATCGCTCGCGGAGCCGGGAGGGCCGCCTGCCTGCCCCTCCTTTTCCTTCCTTCCTTCCTTCCTTCCTTCCTTCCTTCCTTCCCTCCCTCCCCTCCTTTCCTTCTCCCTCCTTCCTCCTTCCTTCTCCCTTCCTTCCTTCTCCTTCCTCCTCCCTCCCTCTCCTTTCCTTCCTCCCCCTCCTTCTTCTTCCTCCCCCCCCCCAGCTGTTTTGTCTCTGCCCGCAGCCCCCGAGAGGAGGGGACGGCCCCTTCTCGAGATACCCGCCCCCCCCCCCCTCTGCTTCCCCCTCCCTCCTCTGTGCGTGGGTGGGTGGGTGTGTAAACCCCCCCCCCCGAAATGTTCAGGTTAAAAAAAACCTGGTTTACTCATGAATTTTAACTGGTTAACCAAATCCCCCTGCTAAGTCTATGAGATGCAAAAAGTTAAGCGTCCCTCCAGAACTGCAAGCACTATCTCAAGCAAATATTGACAATTTAGTCACACTGTGTCACAAACTTTGTGTTGTTCATTCATGCAGTCGTCTCCGACTCTTCGTGACCTCATGGACCAGCCCACGCCAGAGCTCCCTGTCGGCCGTCACCACCCCCAGCTCCTTCAAGGTCAGTCCAGTCACTTCAAGGATGCCATCCATCCATCTTGCCCTTGGTCGGCCCCTCTTCCTTTTGCCTTCCACTTTCCCCAGCATAATTGTCTTCTCTAGGCTTTGCTGTCTCCTCATCATGTGGCCAAAGTACTTCAACTTTGTCTCTAGTATCCTTCCCTCCAAGTGAGCAGTCGGGCTTTATTTCCTGGAGGATGGACTGGTTGGATCTTCTCGCAGTCCAAGGCACTCTCAGCACTTTCCTAGAACACCACAGCTCAAAAGCATCGATCTTCCTTCGCTCAGCCTTCCCTAAGGTCCAGCTCTCACATCCGTAGGTTACTACAGGGAATACCATGGTCTCATATTATACCATGCCACAAACTCTGATGTCTCTACTCTTCACTATTTTATCAAGATTGGTCATTGCTCTCCTCCCAAGAAGTAAGCATCTTCTGATTTCCTGGCCACAGTCTGCATCTGCAGTAATCTTTGCGCCTAGAAATACAAAGTCTGTCACGGCCTCCACATTTTCTCCCTCTATTTTCCAGTTGTCAATCATTCTTGTTGCCATAATCTTGGTTTTTTTGAGGTTTAGCTGCAACCCAGCTTTTGCGCTTTCTTCTTTCACCTTGATTAGAAGGCTCCTCAGCTCCTCCTCGCTTTCGACCATCAGAGTGGTGTCATCTGCATATCTGAGGTTGTTAATGTTTCTTCCAGCAATTTTCACCCCAGCTTTGCATTCATCAAGCCCCGCACATCGCATGATGTGTTCTGCATACAAGTTAAAAAGGTTGGGTGAGAGGATGCAGCCTTGGCGTACGCCTTTCCCAATCTTGAACCAGTCTGTTGTTCCGTGGTCAGTTCTGACTGTTGCTACTTGGTCCTTGTACAGATTCCTCAGGAGAGAGACAAGGTAGCTTGGGATGCCCATCCCCAAGAACTTGCCACAATTTATTATGATCCACACAGTCAAAGGCTTTAGAATAGTCAATGAAGCAAAAATAGATCTGTACAAAAAAAAATCTGTACAAGGACCAAGTAGCAACAGTCAGAACTGACCACGGAACAACAGACTGGTTCAAGATTGGGAAAGGCGTACGGCAAGGCTGCATACTCTCACCCAACCTTTTTAACTTGTATGCAGAACACATCATACGATGTATGTGGAGGCCGTGATGGACTTTGTATTTCTAGGCGTAAAGATCACTGCAGATGCAGGAAATCAGGAGACGCTTCCTTCTTGGGAGGAGAGCCATGTCCAGTCTCGATAAAATAGTAAAGAGTAGAGACATCACACTGGCAACAAAGATCCGCATAGTCAAAGCCATGGTATTCCCTGTAGTAACTTACGGATGTGAGAGCTGGACCTTAGGGAAGGCTGAGCGAAGGAAGATCGATGCTTTTGAGCTGTGGTGTTGGAGGAAAGTTCTGAGAGTGCCTTGGACTGCGAGAAGATCCAACCAGTCCATCCTCCAGGAAATAAAGCCGACTGCTCATTGGAGGGAAGGATACTAGAGACAAAGTTGAAGTACTTTGGCCACATCATGAGGAGACAGCAAAGCCTAGAGAAGACAATGATGCTGGGGAAAGTGGAAGGAAGGCCAGCAGAGCACCTGGGCAAGATTCACCCCCAGCTCCTCAAGGGTCAGCCAGTCACTTCAGGATTTTTTTTTCGTTTTTTTTTTTTTTGGCCCTCACACAATTGTCAGTAGAAAAACATGGAATATAAGTATTCCATGTTCCTATTCCTAAATCAACAGAAAGTCTTTATTTGAACTTAATTCAACCCAAGATGGATGGATGGCATCCTTGAAGTGACTGGACTGACCTTGAAGGAGCTGGGGGTGGTGACGGCCGACAGGGAGCTCTGGCATGGGCTGGTCCATGAGATCACGAAGAGTCGGAGACGACTGAACGAATGAACAACAACACAACAAGGGGCAGAAAAGGGAAGCCTGCAGCCTTTGTCTCTACTCAAGACATAGACTGTGTTTTGAGTCATGAGTAAATAGAGCACATAATATTGGAATTGTATTGCCTATGCTTGCGATGCTTACCAATTCTGACAATTTGAATATAGTAGCTTATTCCTGTTTGTATATTCTCTCTTTTTCATAATATCACCCCCATCTTCTGTGTTGATTTAATGTTGTGGCAACAAAAAACACATGCAAGAGGAAATCCTGTTTGCACAGTTTTTGCAAGATATTTTATTCTCTCAGTATAAAAATGACCAAACAACCTCATGAAAAATATAAAATACTAACAACAACTCAAAATTGAATTTTTAACGAAGGCAAAACTATTACGTCTCTTCCAAGCCCTAAAGGATTCTGGACTGTTAGCCTTTTTTAATCGTCTGCATACATGGCCACATTTCAAGAAGGGTTTAAGTAAAACACAGTAGGTTGAGATTTAATTCTTCATAGAGAAATAGTAATGTCGCAGTACAAATACATAGAAATGGGTCAGAGCCATTCTGTAGTAACCCTCTCGGCCATCTTCTGTTTCTCTTCACTGGATTTCTCCCATATACAGTCTTTTGTCACTAGAGGCAGAAAGGACTGGTGGGAATAAAACAAGGGTTATTTGTAAAAAAAAAAATAACGGATTTGTTTTAGTCACATTATCTTTATGAACATGTTTTCAAAAATAACCTCACAAGTATGTCTCTGCTATGATTTCAACCAAGGCTCCGTGTTTTTTGCTATACCAACTATTTTAAATTATAGTAATACCAACTATTTTAATATGAAAAATATTTGTCCAAAAATTGAGTGCACTCCCACCTGACTCCTGGGGCTAAGGGGTATTACCCTGCCATGTTTGGGTCCCTCTGGGCCTTTTTATGAAATGTTATACTCTTTTATTTATTTATTTGAAACAGTTATATTCCGCCATTCTCACCCCGACTCAGGGGACTCAAGGCGGAGCACAACATATATACGACAAACATTCAATGTTTGCCGTATATATGCATAAAACCATAAATATACACAATGCATAAAACCATAAATATACACAAACATTAAAATCACTTATGTCCACTTTAAAATCAGTTGCTTAAAAACCATCTCAGGATACCATTCTATTATTGCCCTCATTGCACTGCCCCAAAGGCTTGGACCCACAGCTAGGTCTCACCATTTTTCTGAAGGACATTTTTCTATGGAACTCCCAGAAGGGAGTTCCATAGTCAGTGATAGTCAATCACTGAGAAGGCCCTCTCTTTCCCTCATCCCTGCCAATTGCGCCTGTGACGGTGGCAGGACTGAGAGCAGGGCCTCCCCAGAAGATCTTAGTCTTGTGGTGGTTCGTAAAGAGAGATCTGTTTGGACATTTTCTCAAAAAACAGGACGTGACCAGAAATCACTACTAGTTTGGGGGGAAAGGCCTCCTCATTTTCAACAATTCAGACACAAAACACTTACTAATGGGTTCATCCGGATGGAAAGTTATTTCATTTATTGAACCAGCGTGGCCGGGAAGCTTGTACAAGATTCTTCTCGATGTAGTATCCCACACATAAACAAACCTGCAGAGTGAAAACATATATATATACACAAATGAAGGCATCCCAAAACAATGATACAACATAAGCATATCCATGATTTAGAACATTCTGAGAGTGCAGGAGGTACGGTTTAGTACAGGCATGGGCAAACTTAGGATCTCCTTTCAGGTGTTTTGTACTTCAACTCCCACCATTCCTCACAGCCTTTTCTCCCCCAGCCACTTAAGCAGAAAGGAAGGGGAAAAGGAAAAGGCCTGAGGCTGTCAGGAATGGTGGGAGTTGAAGTGCAAAACAGCTGGAGGGAGGGAGGGCCTAAGTTTGCCCACGCCTGGTTTAGTATCAAACAATTCAAATGAAACAGGCACATCTATAACCATTTTATGCATGCTGGCCAATCTTGTAAGATCAATTCTACCTTAAAAGGTTGGTATTTCAGATTTGAACTATGCATTAGTATCTTATGTTCTTTATCCAGGGCCAATGTTAAACTTCCTTAGAGTTCTGATAAATTGCTTTCGACAATACTTTCCAGGTAGTCTTTGGTTACATCACAAGTGTTGCTTCCAACAGACATTTAACTTTAATAGTTTTAGAAGGCTCTGTAATTTCTGTCGTTCTATCTTTTCTCATTCTGGCAAGGGCCAACATAGTTCTCTGCCCTGCAGCTTGCATTTCACACAGCAGCAGGCAAGGGCAGGTGTTCAAGGGACCCACATTGAAAATTAATGAAAGTTTGTCAGAAATATTGAAAATTAACAATGTATTTTTTCATTACAAAAATATTGGTCAAGCACTAAAAGGGTTAAAATTGGTGCAATGACTAAGTAAAACCAGTATGGTGATATAAGCAGGTGTGCCCCTGTGTGTGATCACCCCTGTGTGAAAAGAAGCTGAAAACTGTGTTGGGCCTACATGGAAGTGCTGTGTAAGTCCTTTGAGGAGTTTCTGTGTTTGTCTCCTGTGTAAGGTAAAGGCTCTGGATGAATGAAGCTGAAGCTGCCTACCTGCGTGCAATAGAAGCCCAGCGTAGGAGCAAAGAAGATAAGAGCAAGGAAGCAAAGAAGGAAGTGCAATGAACTTTGTATCACAAGAAACTATTTTGTAAGTGCTGCAACTATGTTATTTTTGCTACAAGGAAAAAGCCTCTAAAGGAAGCAAGAAATGGGTTTGTGTCTTCTTGTTCGTTTGATCATTCTGTGGCTGCTGGGTCATACCGCCGCAAGTAAGCTACTCTGTTATATATGAATGGGGAGGGTCTTTTGTAAATAGGCCCACTTGCCCAACAATAAAAGCACTAAATACATTTTTCTTCCTGTAGCAGCTGAATAACAACGCTATTACATCAGCATTTGCTTTAAAACCAGAGAAAGCCATGCCAGCCGAAGTTTAGCGCAAATCCTTCTCAAGTTCAAATGTCCTTATTTTTCCTTTAGATTACCGCATATAAGACGACTGGGTGTATAAGACGACCCCTCTTCCAACGCACACCAAATAAAAAATTTAAAAGCATCAAATTTTATTTCAATATGGTAATTTTCCTATTACTGTACCTGTTTCTGCCTCTCAGATCTTGCACATGTGCACCTGCACCACTTCACTGGAGTCTTCAGAAGTGAGATCTGAGAGGCAGAGGAGGAGGTACGGTAATAGGATACAAGGGCAGGCCAGACAGGTAAAAGAGTTGTGTTTTTCTGGTCCCAGAGCCACTCTATCTTTTTTCCATACCTCGGGTACCCCGGACGCCTGCAGCTTGCTCCGCCCTTTACTTACACCTTCCCAGTGAGGCGCCCCTTCACCTCACCATTGGGACCAAATTAAGTCCACGAAACCTGATGAATGGATTTTCTTCTATCATACTTGTACACCGTTGCCCTTACTGCTTTCACATAGTCACTGCATACGGCAGGGACGCAGCCACTGCCATTTTTGAGCTCCCCCCACAATATGCAGCAACCACAGATTCTCCAATCTGGATTGGAAGTTTCAGTACCTGCTCCATAAGACGACTCCCGGAGTATAAGACTACCCCCATACATAATGCTACTCCAGCATATAAGACAACTCCCATGCATAAGACGACTCCCGACTTTTGAGAAGATTTTCTTGAGTTAAAAAGTAGTCTTATACGCCAGAATATACGGTAATCCAACCTTTCTCTACTTTTTCAATCAAGACAGCTAAATATAGTTTGAAGCATTATTTGAAATAAAGTATTATTGAAAAGAGAAATTAAGATTCAAGATAGATGGAAAACTTATAATAATATGCTAGTGGTAGAAAATTTGCAATGTAGAATGAAAATGATGGAAGAATTCACAAAAGAATTGTCACTGTATAGGCCAGCACTTCTTAAACTTTTTTCCACTCATGCTCCCTGTAAAGTTGTATAAAATTGCATTGAAAATTGAAGTGGGATATGAACTCATTGCCTCCATATATTAGAGCAATGTCAGAGTTGCGAACTTTTGTAAAAGCGCTCAAGACTTGGCTGTTTGGTTGTGCATTTAAGTAAAGTGATCAGATCTAATTTGCCAAATAGTCACTGTAGGATGTTTTTATGTTGAATGTTTTTATATTGTGAAATGCTATTTTAAATTGTAAGTCGCTCGGAGCACCTTGGTGGAGAGCGACTAATTAAGAAATAAAGTGAAGTGAACAAATGAAAGGGTGTATGATTGACTCAAAATACAGGCCATAACATTTTAGCGAGTACAAAACAATTAAACACTTAAACATTGTAAAAATACCACAAATACACATATCAAAATGTATTTCTATAAAAAGATACATATTACAATGTATTTCTATAAAACACATATTAAAATACACAAATCAGAGATTAAACGTCACTGTTATTTTCCTCAAGGAAGGTGGGGCCCTTTACCAACATCACAACCACATTTCAGGGCAAATACGAAGTTTAGTTAGCCATGTTCAAGTGTTGTGATGCAATTTCCTTCCAATTCATGTGGAGCGCTTCCATGGCAGCTCTCCACTTTTGGAAGTCACTTTCTAGAAGTGAGGATTGGTGCAACCAGCTCAATCATGCTTATCTCTGCTTCTCACATAGATTAAATAAATGTTGAAACTACTGAACATGGCTTGTATGTGTTTTAAAATAACAGAAGGATTTAAGGTGAAGGTAACATACTGAAAAGAAATGGGTTACCTGTCTGCAGATCCAGCAGCTATTTTACTCCCATCTGGTGACCAAGAACAGCGCAGAAGATTCTAATGAGCAAGAAAAGAACATGCCACAATGCCAAACACATCTTCATCTCCCCATTTCTATTTGGAAAAAACTCACCCCACTTCAGATAATTAAAATAGGGGAGAAAAACACTTAGTCTGCTGTTATGTATTTATTTGTTTGTTTGTTTACAGAATTTATATTCCTGTCCTTCTCCCCCCGAGGGGGACTTACAAAAGGCAACAATTTGATGCCATGTCAACACCTAATATAAAATAAACATATACGCTAAAACATAAATTTCAAACCATATAGGGATTAAAGCACATTGTTAAAACGACGCAATCCAAGATTATAGTCATGTTTGATTTCCATAAATAATAGTTATTTGATGTGAAGTAGATTGCGAATGATAATGTACAGAGCTCTGATCATGGAAAGAGGGGGGTGTTATGGAGGGAGCTTTGTTTACAATTACACCTGGACCTATTAATCTTAGTCATAATCCTTGTTAAAAAGTTTGAAGCAATTTGGAATTTTGAAAGCCCCCCACTTAAGAATTACCGTATATACTCGAGTATAAGCCGACCCGAATATAAACCGAGGCACCTAATTTTACCACAAAAAACTGGGAAAATGTATTGACTCGAGTATAAGCCGAGGGTGGAAATGCAGCATTTACAGGTCAATTTCAAAATAAAAATAGATACCAATAAAATTATATTAATTTAGGCATCAGTAGGTTAAATGTTTTTGAATATTTACATAAAACTGTAATTCAAGATAAAACTGTCCAACTCTGATTAAACCATTATTCTAACCTTCTTCAATGTAAATATGCTTACATGTCCTCCAATAATAATAAATAGAGTAAAAAAATAATAATAGAGTAAAATAATAAACGTAATAACAATACAGTAAAAAAATAAATGTATCAATAACAATAATAGAGTAAAATAACAAATGTAATAATAACAACAATAAAATAATAAATGTAATAATAATAATAATAACAACAAATTAAAATAATAAATAATATTGACTCGAGTATAAGCCGGGGGAGATTTTTTCAACCTAAAAAAAAGGACTGAAAAACTAGGCTTATACCCGAGTATATACAGTAACTTGTAGCTGCCAGCCATAAACCATTCACATTTCAGATAGTACTATACTCACCTTCTCAAAATTGTGTACATTCCCTTGGAGTACTTTCACACATCTCTCTTTAGGAGCAAAAGGTCGAACGTCCCATATGCGAACTAGAACAAAGTCCACAGGAGCCGTTAAGAGATACACATTTATTGTATGAATATTGTGAGCAGTTGTGCGGCTAAAAATGGCTGGAAATACTTAAAAGAACTCAAAGAGTTGAGAGTTCCAGAACTTGGAAAGCTATCCAAGGACTTTCATTTCATATATGCCATAGCACAATATGGGCAACTGCAAAGAAAAAAACCAACAACTTGACTAGCTGTTTTTGCATGATAGGAGAAGAATTAAATTTCTGCAGTATGCTGTACATTGGGCTACCTTTGCACCAAGTTGGGAAATTCCAATTAGTGCAAAATATGGCAACCAGATTGGTTACTGCTACACCATATTTCCACTGATTATCAATCAGTTTTTGGGCAAAATACGAAATGTTCTCTCTCCCCGCCTGTTTGAAGGCCTGTCCCCACTACTCCGTCTCCTATGAGCTTCTCCCATACAAATATTTCTTTTTCACTTCTATCTCATCCTGAATTTTATCATTTTATCTCGCACATGTGGCCCGCCCTTTGGGATTGATTTTGCATTGTATTATTTTGTATTGTTTTATTGTATTCTTGTGTTTTTATTTATTTAATTGTGATGCTTGTTCTGTTGCTCTGGTTTTATTTTGTTGTAATATGCTGTTGGGCTTGGCCTCATGTAAGCCGCCCCAAGTCCCCTTTGGGGAGATGGTGGTGGGATATAAATAAAGATGATGATGATGATTAGCTGTTCCAGATTTCCTTCAGGATTGCCTTCTCTGTGCAATCTGCTCCATAAAGTCAGGTCCTCTGAGGGACATTTACTTCAATCAACCAGGATTAGTCTGGAAACTGTCCCCAAGAGAGCCTTTTTGTTGACTGCCTACAGACTATGGAATGACATGCAATAAGAGATTCAACAGCTAAACATGCTGTCTGGATTTTACAAAGCATTAAACCTATGTTTTCCAGGATTCATTTTAAACTATGAATTTTTAATTCACATTTTTGCATATATGGATGATTTAAGGCAAACTTGGGCCCTTCGAGGTGTTCGGACTCCAACTCCCACCATCCCTAAGAGGTTCAGGCTATTTGCTTTTCCCCCTCAGCCGCTTAAGTGGAAAAGGAAAGGGAAAAAAGAAAAGGAAGGGGACTCAGGCTGTTAGGAATTGTGAGAGCTGAAGTCCAAAACACCCAGAGGGATGAAGTTTGCCCATGCCTGATTTAAGGTATAACAGTTTGTTTTTTAAGCTAATGTTTATGTGCTTCTAAGAACTTCCTGACTGTGAGAGCCGTTCAGCAGTAGAACTCTCTGCCCCAGAGTGTGGAGGTGGCTCCTTCTTTGGAAGCTTTTAAGCAGAGGCTGGATGGCCATCTGTCAGGGGTGCTTTGAATGCAATACTCCTACTTCTTGGCAGGGGGTTGGACTGGATGGCCCATGAGGTCTCTTCCAACTCTAGGATTCTATGTTTTTAACCTATCTGCTTTAACTGGTTTGATGTGATGAGCAGACTCCCAGTTAACCAGAACTCTCAAGCAACTGGTAAAACATCAAATATATTTTACATAATAACTGAAATACACGTGCAGTATAGTAAAATTGTGTTACATTACGTTTGTCTGTAATTACTATATTTCAATATTAGTATCAAATGAATACAGAGTTGATGCTATGGTACACAAAAGGGTACAGTATTAGACCTATTTTAATAATAACTCACAAGCAGTCAGAACCTACATTTATCCAGCATCTACCAATCCCCATGGGTCCTGGTTAACTGAAAGTCTACTCTCTGTGTGTGTCACAATGTCCACCCCACGTGCATACACACAAACATATATTATTTATGGAAAAGCTTTTGGGTCCATAGTTCTAGGGGATTCTGGGAGAAGTGGTCCTCTTAATGTCAAGCAAAGTCCAATTGCAATGCAGCCTGAGTCTCTTTTGGGAGAGGGGGCGGGATATAAATAAACCTTTATTATTATTACTATTACATATTGTATTCTAATCAACCCTGGGTACAACATAGATTAGACGTGGGTGAGCTATTGCTTCTTTTGGGGAAAAAAATCAAAAGCAGAATAAATCTAGGAATAAGAAGTCACCTGTATTGTCCATTGCATTGGAAAGCAAGTAAGACCCTTCTGAGCTGAGGCTGAGACCTGTGACAGAATCTGTATGTCCTCTCATTGTATACATCAACTTGTTTTGACGAAGGTCCCATACCTTAAAACATATGTGAATCTGGTGAGATACACTTTTATAGAAATCAATAACGTAGAAAGCAAGTAATTGTGGCAGAAATAGAAATATTGAAACTCCCATAAGAAACGTAGACCAGCACACCTCAAAGTTCTGATGTGGGAGGACTGGCAATGTGCCAGAGACTGGAATCAAAGTTATGCCTTTTCACTATACTGTTTCTTTCTTTGCTGAAAAATTCCCACAGACCATTATTGATGAATGAATGGTTTATTGTACCAGCCATAGGCCATGACATCACATAATACACCACCTTTAAAAGTACAATAAGCACTTTCCAATATAAATATTAACACTTATTCCATAGACTGGCTCTTTAAAATTATAGTAGCAGTGACATGATAACAATAACAAATGTCTGATTTGTATCATCCCAAACTATCTCCTTTTCCATTTCTAGCCTCTGCTGTGGACTTTACTAAGCTTGGATTTTTTGGGCTGCGATAGAAGGTTATCAGCAAATTATTACTTCACTTAAACCTTATTTGATCCATGCAGAACCTACTAAAGCCTACAAGCCTGGTAAGGGAAGCTGATTTGATGCAGAATGTAGGAACCTAAACAAGGTCATATCCCTGTCTATTTTTGGTCGTGTCAGGAGCGACTTGAGAAACTGCAAGTCGCTTCTGGTGTGAGAGAATTGGCCGTCTGCAAGGACGTTGCCCAGGGGACGCCTGGATGAATTGATGTTTTTATCATCCTTGTGGGGGGCTTCTCTCATGTCCCTGCATGAGGAGCTGGAGCTGATAGAGGGAGCTCATCCGCCTCTCCCCAGATTCGAACCTGTGACCTGTCAGTCTTCAGTCCTGCCGGCACAGGGGTTTAACCCACTGCGCCACCGGGGGCTCCATCCCTGTCTATATATTTGTATATATATATATTATATATTATAAATTTGTTCAGTCTCATTTTTGTTAGCATCCCTGTCTATCAGAGAAGCTAACAAAAATGAGACTGAACAAATTTATAAAAGCTTGAGTGAAACACATTCACAATATAAGGCCCTCTTAAAAAGGAAGAAATGTGAATATAACAGGCAAAATTGGATAAAGCTGGCTCTGGCAGTTAGGCAAAGAGATGACGTTAAATTCTGGAATGTGGTGCATTCAGGGCTAAGATCACTGCAACCTCATTTGGACTCCCAAATCTTAGCTCTTACATGACAGACCATTACTGAATATCATTGGCTTAGATTACTTCTTTATTCATATATGTATATGTATATGTGTGTATTACAAACCTTATATGTACACACACATAAGGTTTGTAATACTGCTAGAATCCTGTTTCTGCTTCATGCTAATGTTCATTACCTTAGAGTGGTGTATTTTATTTTATTTTTTGCAAAGAGGCAGAAGGACAGACTGGGAGAGTTGCCATGAGCAGAAGAAAAATCTGCCCACTTTCAGCAGGCCAGTAAGCTCTCCCTCTTGACAGAAGCACTAGCCAACTTATGGAAGTTAAGAGATTGCAATGTTTTTCCCCAAAAGACCTTGGTGGATTGCACTCTTCCATGCATCCCTGCTCCACTCACCAAACAAACAGAACTTAAATATCAGCTTTAAAGCATACAAACTATGTGTGACGACTGAAAACACGTCAGCTTACCTTGATGTCATTGTCTATGCCTCCAGATATTATTTGATCACTTGTATCATTGAAAGTCACTGCTAAAACTTGATAGGTGTTTTGAAATGTTTGAATAGCAGCCTTTTTTCTGATGTCCCACAACTGAAAAGGGTAAAAAAAGAGAAGTCATTTTATGTTGCAGTTTAAAATCCTGCAAATATAACTCCAAAGCACCAACCAGGAGAGCCATAGCAAAATACTTTCAAGAGTCTCCTGCCCAGTGGGGTGCCACAGGGTCGTATACCAGACCTGGTGCTATTCAACATCTTTTGTCCATGACTTGGACAATGAAATAGAAAACATGCTTATCAAATTTGTCAAAGACACCAAATTGAGAATACCCCAGAGGACAGGACCAGAATCCAAAATGACCTTGTCTGATTAGCGAGCTGGACCAAAACTAACATAATGATTTTCAATAGGGAGAAATATATTGGACCATAAGCTGTACATGAGTTCATACCGTGTACACTGTTGGGTGCCAGAACTCAAGAAGGAAATTGACAAGCTGAAAGTTGTCTAGAGAAGGGCAACGGAAATGATCAAAGGTTTGAAAGGTAAACCCGATGAGAAATGGCTGAGGGAGCTGTATGTTTTGCTTGGAGAAAAGACAGCAGAAAGGGGATGTGATGATAATAATAATAATAATAATAATAATAATAATAATAATAATAATAATAATCTTTATTTGTACCCCGCTACCATCTCCCCAAGGGACTCGGTGTGGCTTACTCATGTAAGCCGCACAATACATCAATAAACAAAACATCAAATAAAACAATCAATATAATACAAATCATATAAATCACGCAAACAAAAATAAGCAATAAACAACCAACAGTGACATACAAGCATTTAAAAACCAATGGCCAAGCCAAATGTAATAGATTAAAATTAAAATAATGCTGACGTGATGTAAACATTTTCAGAGAGAAGTGAGGGAACATAGTCAGTCCTAACTCAATGGTAAAGTTCATTTTGAGGGCATATTGCTGAGAGTTTTCCTTATTCTGGGAAGGCACACTGGAACAACGACATTTTCAGGCTCCTCCTAAAGACTGCCAGAGTTGGGGCATGTCTGATGTCCCTGGGAAGTGAGTTCCAGAGTCGGGGGGCCACCATCAAGAAGGCCCTCTCCCTTGTCCCCACCAATCGCGCCTGCGAAGGAGGTGGGAGCGTGAACAGGGCCTCTCCAGATGATCGAAGAGATTGTGTGGCTTCGTACACAGAAATGCGGTCACGCAGATAGGTGGGTCCCAAACCGTTCAGGGCTTTGTAGGGAAGCACCTGCACCTTAAATTGGGCTCGGAAAATAAATGGCAGCCAGTGGAGCTCCTTAAACAGGAGGGTTGGCCGCTCTCTGTAAGAAGCACGTTAGTAACTTGGCTGCTGCCCGTTGGACCAACTGAAATTTCTGGGCCGTTTTCAAGGGCAGCCCCACGTAGAGCGCATTACAGTATTCTAATCTGGAGGTGACTAAGGCATGGACCATCCTGGCCAGATCCGACTTCACGAGGTACGGTCGCAGCTGTCGCACGAGTCTTACTTGTGCAAAAGCCCTCCTGGCCACTGCCGATGCCTGAGCTTCAAACGTAAGTGATGAATCCAGAAGGACACCCAGACTGCAGACCTGTGACTTCAGGGGGAGTGCAACCCCGTCCAGCACAGGTTGCCACCCTAAACCCCAATCCGGCTGACAATCGACCAGGAGGACCTCTGTCTTGTCGGGATTGATCTTCAGCTTGTTCCTCCTCATCCAGACATCCAGACACTCGTCCAGCACCCGAGGAGCTTCCTTGGAATTAGGTGGAAAAGAGTAGTAGAGTTGCGTGTCATCTGCATAGAGGTGGCACCCAACTCCAAAACTCCAGATGACCTCTTCCAGCGGTTTCATGTAGATATTGAAAAGCATGAGACAGAATGGAACCTTGCGGGACCCCACAGGTCAAAAGGCCAGGGGTCCGAGCAGGTGTCTCTCAGCCCCAAGGATCCCCTCCATGTCCTCAGGATGAACAAGCTGGAAGGAATCCCACAAAACCAGACAAGCAGATGCCTTGGTCACCTCCTCTGGCACTGTGTTTAAGCTGGTGTCTAACTCGAGGCGTATCTGAGTGACTTTATCTGCAAAATGGTGCGCGAACCCGCAGCACCGAGTTGTCGGGTCGTCAGGGGCCACCTCGGGGTGGTGGTGGTGGGGGGGGTGGTGGTGAAGGAGCTCTCCCATTACCTGGAACAGCTCCGAAGATCTATTAGATGCAGACGCTATGCGGGCAGTCAGGAAGGTCTCCCTGGCTAGCCGTATAGCCATGGTATAGACTCTAAGTGAGGCTCTAGCCCGTGTTCGGTCAGAGACACCTCAAGATTTTATACAGATGCACCCTAGTCTCCTTCTCATGCGCTTCATCATAGCCAACTCCCCAGTGAACCAAGGAGACGGTGTGTCTCTGCGCAACGAGAGGGGACATTCAGGAGTGATCGTATCTATCACCCTGGCCATCTCACTGTTATAGCGATTGACCAGAGCATCAACAGGATCACCAGGCTCCATGACAGGAAGAGCCCCAAGATTCCTCAGGAATCCATCTGGATCCATCAGTCTCCTGGGGAGGACCATCTTAATTGGTCCTCCACCCCTGTGGAGGTTAGAGGTCACAGCAAGCCTAAGACTGATCAGATGGTGGTCAGACCATGACAGTGGAAGAATATTTTGCTCTTCCACTCTGACTGTTCCACTGTCCGCAATAAAAACCAGGTTGAGTGTATGTCCAACCTGATGGGTGGGTCCAGATATAATTTGTGATAGCCCCATGGTCGTCATGGCGACCATGAAATCCTGAGCCGCTCCTGTTAAAGTGGTCTCTGCATGAATGTTAAAGTCTCCCAGCACAATCAGATGCTGGGAGACCAAAGCCGAATTAGAGACCACATCTGCTAGCTCAGGCAGGGAAACTGTTGAGTTGTGGGGTGGGCAGTACACCACCAGAATCCCCAAGCTATCACGGTTTCCCACCTTCAGATGAACACACTCAAACCCAGAAGATTGCGGTACAGCACATCTGACCACGGCGATGGACTGCCAAAAGACTACTGCGACCCCTCCTCCCCGGCCCCCAGACCTAGCCTGCTGGTGCACCCCGAAACCAGGTGGGCATAGCTGGGTGAGATTTACCCCACCGAGCTCATCCAACCAGGTCTCAGTGATGCAGTGATGTGATGACCATATTTAAATATTTGAAAGCATGAACACTGAGTAGTAGGGGGCAAGCTTACTTTCTGGCACTCTAGAGACTAGGACAGGAGCAAGACATTCAAATTTCAGGATGCTAGGAGCTGTTTGGCAGCTGAGTCTATTTCTCAGGAGTGTATTAGATGCTGGATCCCCATATATTGAATGTGGATGTCAGAGAAAGAGAATAAATGTTTGAAAACTTCCACAGAAGCTTGAATTCTGTCCACATGCAATATGGATGCCTGGGAAGAGGAAGCTGCACAACTTTTGAACAGCCAGACAGCTTCACAGGTCTTTTCTGTGGAATCCCTCTCCATGTAGTTAAGAAACGAAAAGGATTTTTATGATGCTTTTCAAACCACACTGTTAAGGAATTCTGTAGCATTACAGGGTTATATTAAGGAAAAAAGTCATTATTTGATTGACAGTTATTTTGCAAGAGATTCTTTTAAACAGGGACAAACAACCTTCAAGGAACCCCAACCCAAAATATATTAATATAGTAGGATGTTGTGTGGTTTTTGGGCCGCATGGCTGTGGTCTAGCAGCATTTTCCTGACCAAGCTCTTGCCTTTCACCATTCAGGGAAGGAGATTGTTCCTTTTCTGATGAGAATTAAGGTCCAGTTATCACTTTGACCTGTAGACAAGATGACCCAGTTTTCTAGGTTTATTTTTGACTAAGAGTTTTAGTTTTCTACATGAATATACGGGGTGCAAAATATTTAGACACACAAACTCTTTCCACACAAACCTAAGACATTTACAGTGTCAATTCCACCCTGGTCATGCCCCCTGGAGAGAAGGAAAGGAGGGAATTTGCTTCCCAGCTGTGCTGAGGGGGCGATGTTTCAAAAAGGTTTCTTAAGTGAGAAGGTAAACGTCTTCAAAGTCCAGTGATGGACAAGTAAAGCACCTGGTCATACGCTGATACAAACACTAACCTTTACTGTTCCATCATCACTGCCTGTACAAACCAACTGAGGTCCACGTCTTGCTGGGTAACAGGAGTTCACAAATGATGTGTGTCCTTTGAGTCTTTTCACTCTCTCTCCCGTTTCACTATCCCATACGGCTACTGTTTTATCCGTGGAAGCAGAGAATAGCATGCTAGGACAAAATAAAATGTTTAGAAGTTAGAATTTCACAAGTATTAAAGGTATTCTGGGAAAAAATACTGGACAACTAGTATGTCATTATAGTAGAACACTAAGAATGACAGGCATTTGACTATCAGAATATTGATCAAGGCTAAAGTGATGGAGTAGAAGAAGAGTGCTAGAGTGAAGCTTTAAGTGTTTCACAAACTCTGCTCCTCCAAGTGTTTTGTACGGTACCTTCTAGAAATCCCAGCCAGCTTACCAGCTGTTAGGAATTGTGGGAGCTGAAATCCAAAACATATGGAGGAGCAGAGTTTGAGAAACACTGTTTTAATCAATTGACCTGAAATTATGCCCATCCAGCACTGTGACTTTTTAGTAAAATAGATGGCACATAGAGTATGGAACCTAAAAAGTAATGAAAGCTTTTGGAATACTGATGCTTTGAGTCTCTTGCAGGAGAGATCAAGTGGGGTATAAATAATAATAATAATAATAATAATAATAATAATAATAATAATAATCTATCCACACACACCACAGCCAAGGGCCAACAGCTAGACTTTGGGATAAATAGCAGGAGTGGAAATCAAGCGGCTTATCAAATGTTGTAGGACAATAAGTCCATGTTGCTCAAGACAGCGCAACCAATGCGGGAGAATGGTGGGAGATGCAGTTTAAGTAGATATAAAAGGCCATGTGAGCTTTACCCCAATCTAAATGTTTGGTTGCCTTTAATTTCCCAAATGAAGGAGAAGGAAGTATTATTCAAGGCCATCTTGATATAAACCCCTCTACAAATCCCCAACTAATATGTGAATAATTCTTAGGGATAACTGCTGCTTTCCTACCACAACAAGTCTGTACAGTCCAATTCCTACTAAGGTTGTTGTACTGGTACCAAGACTAACTCTGCACGAACGGTGAAAAAGTAACACGCAGAGTTATGATACACAGTCACACTTCCAGTCTTGTTCCAGATGCATTTCACTATTATAATAAATTTTCAAAATGTGTATTTTGACACATTTATAAGGTAAGACACCAAGACAGAAAAGTGACAATAACAAAAATGTTCACTCTATATTCTCAGCAACCATAATACAGCTACCATTGTTAGACAAAGAATATTTTTAAGAATACTGACCTGCCATCAGTGTTGTAATGTATTTCCATAACTGCTCCACTATGTCCTTTCAGAGTGGCATAATTATCACAATCGCCATATACATTCCATAGCACTGGAATCAAATGAAATTATAAATAAATACCAGGAGCACCATTGCATTTTCATTGATTATACCCTTTCCATACCCAACGAAATGCATTTAACTGACCTGCCTCTACATCTCATTGTGACAGTGAAAAACCTCTGTTCATAATCCTGTGGCATGACCCCTCCACCCACTTCCATAATTTATCAGACAACACCACGTAAGGGAGACAAAATCACAAACAAGAAAACCTTTAGCTCCTTCCAAGTAGGTTCCCTTTATACATTTTTAAAAGCAGAAGAAAATATTTGTTTGTTCACTCTACATGTATTCATAGGACATAGGAAAATCTATAATCTGCATCCCCAAGTCTGCGCTCAACTTGTACATGTGGTTGATTTATATACATATATATATATATGTTAAAGTCTTGTCAGCCATTCATCCCACTGTGAACAGATGATAAGCAGACTTGTCTACTGATAGTGTGACAAATATGACATTAACACTGATTTGGGTCCAGACTACATTAGTTCATTTGGAGTGTCACTGAAATTAGTGAGACTTCGCTCAGGGTTCATAGGGTTATTGTTGTGGAAATAAGAGCAATTCCCTCCTTCATATGAATAATAATAGTAATAATAACAACAACAATATAATGATGCCCAAATCTGAATTCAATTCAGAGCCTTGTACTAGGACGCCAGTCTGTATTAAATTAAGGTAATCAACAAACAGGAAAAACGTTCAGAAAAAGCCACCATTGGGAAGTGTGGGCCTGCTTTTGAGATAGGATTGTTGTTGTTGTGTGCTTTCAAGTCATTTCAGACTTAGGTTGACCCTGAGCGAGGGCCCGGTAAATGACCTTGGAGGGCCGTATTCGCCCCCCGGGCCTTAGTTTGAGGACCCATGATCTAGAATTTTATATTATTATTTAAACAATGGTTGCAAAGTTTAAATGTTTAATTTGATAAAAAGGTTTTAGCAAAGTAAAAAGCATCCCAATCAGTACATGCTTTAAAATGTTATCTGTTTTCAATATACTAAACTATTAAAAGCTACAGCCAACATGTATAATCTTAAGAAACACCATGCCCTTTCACTTTCATCAAGCAGAAAATGCCTCTTTCTGGAAATAACAATTGTTTTGGTAAATGAAAACCTCATTAATATATTTAATTCTTCAAAGACAGGTTTTTAGACATGTGCAAATGTATACAGACTTAACTAAATGGAATAAATTTCTTAATATCAGGAAGAACACTATGTTTTTATGAGTTAATAGTGCAGACTTACAGATCAACCTGTCAAATCCTGCTGATGCCAAAGTTGCTCCGTTAGGATGAAACTTACAACAGTAAACCTCTCCTTCATGCCCTGAAAGCAGCATTATGGGTGCCTGGAGAGAGGAACATCTTGGAGGGCCCTAAAGTAGGAAAGTGTAACACATTCAAGTCTCTATGGCAACAAGAAGAGAGACATATTTTATTAAATTGAAAGAATAGTATAGGCACTTCACTTCTAATATCTGGTAACTTCTTATCTTGGAGGAAAAGTTAAGCATTATAACCAGTCTAAACCTTTTAATTACATGAATTATCTCAACAGGAGACCCAAGATAAGCACTGGCTGCCCTCTTTCTCCACTCTTTGGAAGGACTTTATAGGTCCCATTGCCTTAATAAAGCTCGGAGCATTCTTGGGGATCCATCTTACCCAGCATATTATTCTACAGAATTATTACCATCTAGCAGAGAGTACAGGGTGACAAAGACAAGGTCAAACAGACCGAGAGGTTTTATCCTATAGCTCTGGCTATGTTGAATCCCACAGATTCGCATTGATGTGGCATTGGGGGCTGTGCCATAGCTATTAGAATGTGGAGAGATGGGTGTGGGAGTCCTTTTGGACCCTCTGCTGACGATGGAGGCCCAGGTCTCCGCCGTTAGCAGAACCGCCTTTTTCATCTGCGGCAGGCTAGATGGCTGGCCCCCTACCTGTCCAGGGACGACCTAGCTACGGTGATCCAGGCCACGGTCATCTCAAGACTGGACTACTGTAACGCCATCGACATTGGCCTTCCTGTGTCGGTGATCTGGAAGCTCAAGTTGATACAAAATGCAGCTGCTCGGCTTCTTGCGGGAATTCTGATGAGATGCCACATAACTCCAATCTTACTACAGCTGCACTGGTCACCAATTGAGCACCGGATCACTTTCAAAGTGATGGTACTCACCTTTAAGGCCTTGCATGGTCTGGGGCCGATGTACCTGAGGGACCGCCTCACCCCCTACCAACACCAGAGATCCCTCCGTTCTGAGGACCAAGATCTATTGGAAGTCCCCAGTGTCAAGACCTTGCGTCTAACAGCAACCAGACGCAGAGCCTTCACAGCAGTGGCACCATCACTCTGGAATACTCTGCCACCTGAAGTCCGTGCCTTGCGGGACTTACCAGCTTTCCGCAGGGCATGTAAGACATACCTGTTTCGACAGGCTTTTAATGTTTGATATTGCTGTTTTTACATTGTTTTAAATTGCTTTTAAATTGTGTTAGATTTTAGCCATTCCTGTAAGCCGCTCCGAGCCCCAGGGGAGTGGCGGCATATAAGTTCAAATAATAAATAAATAAATAAATCCGTGAATCCAAAAAAGAAAAGACTAAATCAGTAGAGTAAGGTTACCTCAATCATATCATGCATAGACAGTCCAGTAGCTGGGAAAGAAATAAAAGTTAGAGCCATGGAGGCATTACTTTTTGACCCACCCGGGTATATGCCATCTATGGGCCAACATGGGCCTTCCCTCCAGGTGTTTTGGACTCCAGTTCCCACCATTCCTAACAGTTTCAGGTCCTTTCCTTTTCCCCCTTAAGCGGAAAAGGAAAGGGAAAAGGAAGGGGCCTGCGGCTGTGAGGAACGGTGGGAGTTGCAGTCCAAAACACCTGGATGGAGCCAGAGACGGTCCAAGTTGGCCCAGGCCTGGTAAAAGACACTGCCTGCCGGCTTCCCCTGCCGTAGAGTCTAACCCGGGAGGCGAGGCCCGAGGCCTGCCAGTGCACTCACCGCGGGCAACAGGGCGCCCGGGGGCCCCGATGGAGGGCCAGCCCCGGCGGCCTCTTGGCGGGGCTTCTTCGCCGCCACCACCAAGGCCAAGTCCGTAGGCGCCTTCCGTTTCTGCGGGTCCAGCATAGCCGCGGAGACACAGAACAGGCCTCACACTGCTACCCGAAAGAGGATTGCGCTCCCTCCTTTCTCATTGGTCGCCTCATACCCAATCGGCAGCTTCTCAGAATATAGAGCACCCCGATTGGACAGCGCTGAGTCCACCCTTTATGTACGCCGTATGCCGATTGGTTGGGAGGAAGGAAGCGCGTCTGTTGGGGTTTCCGGAAAGGCGGACGTGCTGAGTGGCGGAGGACAGCGTCCACAGGCGTCAAACGGCTCTGAAGTAAGTAATTCCCTGGCAGGGAGGGGGCCTTCTCGTTGTTTTTGACTGTCGTCAAGTCATCTTTGCCTTACGAAGAACCCTTGAGTTGGAAGAGAACCCATGGCGAATCCAGTCCAACCCCCTCCTGCCTTCATGCAAGAAAAGCACCACCAAAGCTCCCCCGACAGATGGCCACCCAGCCTCAGTATTTTATTTATTTATTTACTTTGCTTGTATACCGCAGTTTCTCAGCCCGTAGGCGACTCAACGCGGTTCACAACAAGAGCAAAAAGACAATCATAACAGCATACAATTTAAAAACCATTAACAGCATAGTATACAAAGTAATGACACATCAATAACAACACATTAACATCTCATAACTAGAATCGTGATCCAATTCGTCGTCCATAATTCCGTTCCTATATTCATCATATTCATTGCACTGTTTATCCGAATGCCTGTTCAAACAGCCAGGTTTTTAGTTTCCTCCGAAACACCATTAACGTAGGAGCTGATCTAATGTCCATGGGAAGGGTGTTCCACAGCCGGGGGGCCACCACAGAGAAGGCCCTGTCCCTCGTCCCCGCCAGCCGTGCTTGTGATGCAGGCGGGATCGAGAACAGGGCCTCCCCAGAAGATCTTAGAGTCCTGGTGGGTTCATAGGCAGAGATACGTTCAGATAGGTAGCTTGGGCCCGAACCGTTTAGGGCTTTATAGGGCTTTATAGGCCAATGCCAGCACTTTGAATTGAGCCCGGTAGCAAATCGGCAGCCAGTGGAGCTGGTGCAACAGAGTATCATGGCTGCCGAGCTTTGGACTAGTTGGAGCTTCCGAGCCGTCTTCAAAGGCAACCCCACGTAGAGAGCGTTGCAGTAGTCTAGACGGGATGTAACCAGAGCGTGGACTACCGTGGCTAAGTCAGTATTAATTAATTAATCTATATAAATAAAAACCACTGGACGAATTGACACCAAATTTGGACACAAGACACCTAACAACCCAATGTATGTCCTTCACTCAAAAAAATTGATTTTGTCATTTGGGAGTTGAAGTTCATAGAATCAAAGAGTTGGAAGAGACCTCATGGGTCATCAAGTCCAGCCCCCTGCCAAGAAGCAGTACTATTGCATTCAAATCACCCCTGACAGATGGCCACCCAGCCTCAGTATTAATTAATTAATCTATATAAATAAAAACCACTGGACAAATTGACACCAAATTTGGACACAAGACACCTAACAACCCAATGTATGTCCTTCACTCAAAAAAATTGATTTTGCCATTTGGGAGTTGTAGTTCATAGAATCATAGAATCAGAGAGTTGGAAGAGACCTCATGGGCCATCAAGTCCAACCCCCTGCCAAGAAGCAGGAATATTGCATTCAAATCACCCCTGACAGATGGCCATTCAGCCTCTGTTTAAAAGCTTCCAAAGAAGGAGCCTCTACCATGCTCCGGGGCAGAGAGTTCCACTGCTGAACGGCTCTCACAGTCAGGAAGTTCTTCCTCATGTTCCGATGGAATCTCCTCTCTTGTAGTTTGAAGCCATTATTCCGCGTCCTAGTCTCCAGGGAAGCAGAAAACAAGCTTGCTCCCTCCTCCCTGTGGCTTCCTCTCACATCAGGCTCGATTCCGGGGAGCGGCGTGAGCTTCCGCTGTCAGCCCTAGCTACTGCCAACCTAGCAGTTCGAAAACATGCAAATGTGAGTAGATCAATAGGTACCGCTCTGGCGGAAAGGTAACAGCACTCCATGCAGTCATGCCGGCCACATGACCTTGGAGGTGTCTACGGACAACGCTGGCTCTTCAGCTTAGAAATGGAGATGAGCACCACACCCCATGGGCCATCAAGTTCAACCCCCTGCCAAGAAGCAGGAATCAGACATGACTGGACTTAATGTCAGGGGACTACCTTTACCTTTTATCATATCTCCTCTCAGCCTTCTCTTCTTCAGGCTAAACATGCCCAGCTCCTTAAGCCGCTCCTCATAGGGCTTGTTCTCCAGACCCTTGATCATTTTAGTCGCCCTCCTCTGGACACATTCCAGCTTGTCAATATCTCTCTTGAATTGTGGTGCCCAGAATTGGACACAATATTCCAGGTGTGGTCTAACCAAAGCAGAATAGAGGGGTAGCATTACTTCCCTGGACCTAGACACTATGCTCCTTTTGATGCAGGCCAAAATCCCATTGGCTTTTTTTGCCGCCACATCACATTGTTGGCTCATGTTTAACTGTAGTTGCTGGGATTTATAGTTCACCTACAATCAAAGGGCATTCTGAACCCCACCAACGATGGAATTGAACCAAACTTGGCACACAGTTCTCCCATGACCAACAGAAAATACTGGAAGAGTTCCGTGGACAGTGTCCTTTGGTTTTGGAGTTGTAGTTCACCTACATCCAGAGATCACTGTGGACTCAAACAATGATGGATCTGGACCAAACTCTACATGAATACTCAATATGAATACTGGTAGAGTTTGGGGAAAATAGAATCTTGACATTTGGGAGCTGTAGTTGCTGGGACTTATAGTTCACCTACAATCAAAGAGCATTCTGACTGCAATTACCCAGTGCCATGGAATAAGGTGAGTTGTAGTTTTACAAGATCTCCCGCCTTCTCTGTCAAATGGTTTTGGCCCCTCATTGGACTATAACTCCCAGGATTCCATAGCGTTGAGCCGCAGCAGTGCGTCCAAACTGCCCCTACAGTAATTACTGATATTGCAGTTGACTGTGCTGGGGATGCATTGTGTGGTTGCTTTTATTCAAAGTTCTCTTGTTTAAGTTTTGAATAATATTGAATTTTGTATGGCTTCTAACTATGGAAGAGCTTGTTTATGTGGTATTTTAATGTTGTGTTGTTTGGCATTTTTTAATTGGGTTTATATGTACTTACTTGTTTATATGTATGCAGAAGACCCATGGTCTAAACATTAAATAAAATGGAATGGAATGGAACTGTCTCTACAGTATTGCAGGCAAGGTGTTGCCATTCAAAAGGGATATTGAGGGTGAACAAATTGAAACTCAATCCAGACAAGACAGAGGTACTCCTAGTCAGTCGAAAGGCCGAACAGGGTATAGGGTTACAGCCTGTGTTGGACGGGGTCGCACTCCCCCTGAAGACGCAGGTTCGCAGCTTGGGTGTGACTCTGGATTCTTCGCTAAGCTTGGAACCCCAAGTCTCGGCGGTTTCCAGAGGAGCATTTGCACAGCTTCGGCTCGTGCGCCAGCTGCGCCCGTATCTTGGGAGGGCGGACTTGGCTACGGTAGTCCACGCTCTTGTCACATCCCGTATAGACTACTGCAACGCGCTCTACGTGGGGTTGCCCTTGAAGACTGCCCGGAAGCTTCAGATGGTCCAGCGCTCGGCAGCCAGGTTGCTAACGGGAGCGGCTCTCAGGGAGCACACCACCCCCCTGCTGAACCAGCTCCACTGGCTGCCAATTCGCTACCGGGCACAATTTAAGGTGCTGGCTTTAGCCTATAAAGCCCTACACGGTTCCGGCCCCACTTACCTCTCCGAACGCATCTCCTCCTACGAACCGGGAAGAGCGTTAAGATCTTCCGGGGAGGCCCTGCTCTCGGTTCCGCCGGCGTCACAAGTGCGGCTGGCGGGCACGAGAGACAGGGCCTTCTCGGTGGTGGCCCCTCGGCTATGGAATGCGTTACCGGTGGACATCAGGCAGGCCCCTTCGTTACTGGTGTTTCGGAGGAGGGTGAAGACGTGGCTCTACGAGCAGGCTTTTGGCAATTAACTCAATAATGACGGCATCGGACAAGGAATGGAAAAAGGATTTTGAGATCGGAATCTGATTCTAAGTGTGGCGTTGATGATTACGTGTTTGTCTGTATTGTGTGTCTCATACATTGTTTAGTGTTGTTTTTGTTGTAAACCGCATTGAGTCGCCGCCTCAGGCTGATATATGCGGTATACAAATGGAGTAAATAAATAAATAAAATAAATAAATATTGATAAACTGTAAAGATGTCCAGAGAAGGGTGACCAAAATGATCAAAGATTTGGAAGCCAAGCCTTATGAGGAATGGCTGAGGGATCTGGGTGTGTTTAGCTTGATGGAAAGGAGGCCGAGAGAAGGGGCATGAGAGCCATGTTTTACTATTTGAAAGGATGTCACATTGAAGAGAAAGGGTTAAGCTTGTTTTCTGCTGCTCTAGAACACAGAACAATAGACTCAAATGACAGAAACAGAGATTCCACTCAAATATTAAAAGAACTTTCTGACAGTAGGAGCAGTATGGCAGTGGAATATGCTTCCTCTGATCATGGAGATCTCTCTGGAAGTTTTAAAGTAGTGCTTTGATTGTGGTTTCTTTGCATGGCAGAATGGGGTTGGACTGGATGGCCCTTCTGCTTTCTCCGAACTCTTTGATCCTATGGCACATATAACTTGGCCACTGTGTTTTATGCACTAGTTACCTGGAACGACTGCAGTGGCTCCTCCCTATGTGGGGATTTTGTTGAAGATGACTCAGAAGCTGCAGGTAGACTACTGATGGGGATATTTTATAGCAGGTGGAGTTTGCATGTGCCATTGGACCCATTTTCAGTACCCCCCACCATCCCATTTCCCAAATTTTGGCAAACCTGATTTTAAAAAGCCCTTGACTGGGTAAATACAGGGAAACCTAAAAACATAGCCATTTGTGTTGTTGAAGGCTTTCATGGCCTGAATCACTGGGTTGCTTGAGTTTTTAGGGCTGTATGGTCATGTTCCAGTAGCATTATTTCCTGACGTTTCACCTGCATCTGTAGACCTATGAAGATGCCAGCCACAGATGCAGGCGAAACGTCAGGAAGGAATGCTACTGGAACATGCTACTTCATCACACTAGAGAGTGAATCCACTTTAAATGCCTCCTGCAGAATTCTGGGGCTTGTAATTTAGTGAAGCTGTTCAAGGCTCTTCCTTAAGCTACAAACCCCAGAATTCTGCAAGAGGTAGCAACCAGATTTAAAGTGGATTCATTCTCTAGTGTGATGAGGTCGATGGTCATATAGCCCAAAAAACTCATAGGAACCAAGTAAATTTGCCCCCTTGATCTCTAGGGCAGTGTTTATCAAACTGTGCTCCTTCAGGTGTTTCAGACTCCCAGAAATTGTAGCCAGCTGTTATAAATTGTGGGAGCTGAAGTCCAAAACATCTGGAGGAGCAGTTTGAGAAACTCTGCTCTAGGGAACATAGCAAGGCCTATTTAACTTTTTAAATACCCAGATTTGGGACACATGCTGGGAAAATGCAATCCTTGGATGCCAAGGTAATTCCCCACCTCTCCAGTTGTTCATTTCTAGTGTACTGTTGACCCTCCACATTCACATTCTTTTTTTGTAGGTTTCATTATTGGTGACTTTGTAGGTGTTGCTTAACTAGCTTGATCTCTTGCCTACTTCTTCCAACCTGGCACTATGAGAAGTGGGATTGAATATCTGGCTGATGCAGTATTATTGTACCAAAGTTGGAAAGAGAGTGACAGGTTCACACTGTTGGCAAGAGAGGAGACTCAGGGAGGAGCGGAGTGAGGAAGTGAATCAGCTGCCAGCTGCTTAAATTGGTTTCTGTGTCCTAGGAAGGAGGAGGGGTTTTGAAAATCTGACTGAGGCATCATGGTGCCAAGGTAGGAACAGGAAATATGGACCAGGGATGTTGGTGGGAAAGGAGTCTGTAACACACATGATTTTGTGGGGAGTGGGAAAGACTTCAAAAACTCAAGTTTTTGCTTTCACTGGAATATTGCAGCCCTAAACCACGTGCATGCGGAAGCTGGACTTTAGTGATAGCGATTTGAAAAATACTGCTAAAACATTCTTCTGCTGGACAGGGTTGCACTCCCCCTGAAGTCACAGGTCCGCAGTTTGGGAGTCCTCCTGGATTCATCACTTACACTTGAGGCTCAGGCGTTGGCGGTGTCCGGGAGGGTCTTTGCGCAATTGAGACTTGTGTGGCAGCTGCGACCATACCTCGCAAAGGCTGATCTGCCCAGGGTGGTCCATGCCTTGGTCACCTCTAGACTGGACTACTGTAATGCGCTCTACGTAGGGCTGCCCTAGAAAACGGCTCAGAAATTCCAACTAGTCCAACAGGCAGTGGCCAGGATGTTAACTGGGGCTCCTTACAGAGAGAGGTCAACCCTCCAGTTTAAGGAGCTCCATTGGCTGCCGTTTATTTTCCGAGCCCAATTCAAGGTGCAGGTGCTTACCTACAAAGCCCTAAACGGTTTGGGACCTGCCTACCTGCGTGACTGCATCTCCGTTTACGAACCCACGCACTCCCTTCGTTCATCCGGAGAGGCCGTGCTCGCGATCCCACCTGCATCGCAGGCGCGTTTGGTGGGGACGAGGGACAGGGCCTTCTCTGTGGTGTCCCCCTGACTTTGGAATACTCTCCCCAAAGACATTAGACAGGCCTCCACACTGGCAGTCTTTAGGAAGAATTTGAAGACCTGGCTGTTCCGATGTGCCTTTCCAGAATAGGAAACTCCAGTAAGCACTTTATTAGAGTCCCAGAAGCACTTCACCAAAACTTTAAGATTCTCTGCACACTGCACTTCCTTGAAATCCGATAGTTCACCTGTCACATCCAGCACTTTTTAATCTGTACCCATTACTTGGCCCGGCCCTGTTTTTATTGTGTTATGGTGTATTGTTTTGTTGTTTTTACTGTTATTGCTTTAATGTTTTTGATTTGCTTTGAATTGTATTGTTATGCTATTGTTTTGTTGAGGCCTTGGCCTATGTAAGCCGCATAGAGTCCTTCGGGAGATGCTAGCAGGGTACAAATAAAGTTTAATAATAATAATAATAATAATAATTCTTCAGGATGTTGCCTAAATTGTGTAGATAATACCAGTTGCAGTATATTTTGTGTCTGTTTTTGTCTCATTCTAAGGAATAACATAAAACATACAGAAGAAAGGGTAACCAGAAGATTTATGTGATCTCCCAGTAAGCTGCACTAGTTAAGACAATGGAAGTATTTCCAGAACTGTATGACATATTCCAGGGAGAGGTAAGTGTTTTAACTTTGATGTTTTAGAGTGAAACAAGAAGAAACATTATGGAAAACATTGTAACAACTTTAAGAACTGTTGTTGTATTCTGTAATTTCTAGCATTACAACAGTGAAGTTCTGTAATATATGCGCCCATACCTTGGGAAGTCAGACTTGGCCACGGTGGTCCACGCTCTCATTACATCTAGGATAGACTACTGCAACCGTCACGGAGATTAAGATCCTCCAGGGAGGCTCTGCTTTCCGTCCCGCCATTGTCACAGGGACGAGAGAGAGGGCCTTCTCGGTGATTGCTCCCCGGCTATGGAACTCCCTTCCTGGTGAAATCAGGTCGGCCGCCTCCCTCCTGTCCTTTAGAAGGATAGTAAAAGCTTGGCTGTGGGACCAAGCTTTCGGGACAGGGCAATAAAGCGGCAATAGGAAAGATGACCAGGCCAATTAGACTTGACGCGGAGGACTAGGATGGTCTTAAATGGTGTATTTTAATATTTTGATAAATGTTTTTTAATACTTATGTATGTGTATGTGAATTTGTGTCCTGGCATTGAATGTTTGCCGTGTATATGCTGAGTCCCCTTCAGGGTGAGAAGGGTGGAATATAAATGTTTTAAATAAATAAATAAAATTGCAGTCTGAGGAATGGTGAAGGGCTACAATTGTACAGGGTGAGGCAGCATAACTTCCTTTTTTAAAATGTGCGCCATTCAGTCGGTTGAAGATGTAGCGAAGTGCTAATGGTCTTGTTCGAGAGGCGGGAGTATAAAGTTTTGTCCTGACACAGTTCAGTCGCCATCATGCGTTGGAACAGTGAGGGTGTGCTTTTGCCATTGAGGCCTATTTTTTGAGTGGATTTGGAATGGCTGGCCCGCTCTCCAGATTTGGCCCCTTGTGATTTTTTTTCTATGGATTTTTTTGAAATCCCATGTTTATGTGAACCGTCCAAGGACCCTACAAGATTTGAAGACCAACATCCAGGAAGAAATTGCCAATGTAATGCCTGCTATGCTGGCAAGAGTCATGACAAACTCAGAAATCGGTTTACTCAGTGTATGGAGAATGGGGGACGTCACCTACGTAATTTGATCTTCAAAACTACGTAAAACAAAACTTTAGGTGTGCGCCTACATTATAAAAAAAAATTCTGATTCATTCAATGTGTTTTATTAAGTTTTGAAAAAAGGAAGTTATGCTGCCTCACCCTGTACATAGATGGTTTTGTGTTCAGTCTGTGATGTATTCACATTTAAAAAAATAGTAGCCTATGATGGCAAAGACCCTGGAATTTTGGTAGTCTAAGCAGATCACATTGGAGCTGGTTGTGAGTTTTCTTTATTATTATATGGAAGTAATGCTGCAAGTGTCACTTTCTTTTATCACTAAATTGTATTGTTGTTTTTGCAGGTTGCTTCTGTAACAGATTATGGAGCATTCATCAAAATTCCAGGAACAAGTAAACAAGGTTTGAGACTGAGTTAGATTAATTATATTGTGGTTCATAGTGCCTTTTTGTCAGCATGGTAAATAACTAGAAAAACTAAATAAAATCAAAAGTGATTACAGCCCCCCCCCTCCCCCCGTATTTGTGGGTTTGACATTCACAGTTTTGATTATTTCTGGGTTTGTTGACCCCCCCCCCTTCCTGAGATCCAAGATTGCTGTATGCACAGGGCAGGCCTTGGACTTTGGGATGGAAAAACACTAGAAATCCCAACAGCTGCTACCAACCACTTGGGCTGCTGGGCGAACGTGTGCCTAGAGGCCTCGGGCTTTGGTTGGGTAGTGATCCCCTTTGCCAATCATCTCTGGACTGGCAACTTAATGGGCTTCTGTATGTGGTTGGTGGGCCATCACTGACCTTTGTGCTCCCTGGGTCTTCAGGAGAGGCGCAGCAACAGCACTCTCACTTGGCATTTGTTTCCAAAAGTTCATGCAATGGCGGGCTTCTGGAGGTGGTTGTCAGGCCATTGCTGTCATTCTGCCTTCCGCAGGTCTTTGGAGAGAGGCAGAGCAACAGCGATCTCCCTTATCAATCTCCTCTGCTGATGCATAGGCTTCAGAAGGAGGTTGGCGATTCCCATTGATGCTGCTCTGCTGTCCCCACTGTTTTGGAATGCCAGGACCACAGCATTGCTCTCCTGAAGGCTGACACATCTGATTGGGACTTTGGGAGGAGGAAACAGCTGTGACGCCACCTACCATCATCCATGGTCCTCAAAGCAGCCAACTTTGGCTGCTTTGAGGACCCTTCTTCCTCTCAAGGAATGGGTCATCTGCAGGAACTTTTACACAGCGGCCCAGGCTTTGGAAATGCAATGGGACTTGTGGTCTTTCACCCACCCCTTTCCCTCAAGATATGGGGCTGCTGTGTGGATGTGCAGGTGTGGCCCCAGGCTTTGGGAGGCCCCAGGCTTTGGGAGGTTGGTTGTGATTGCTTCTCCCTCTTCTTTTTCTTGAGGCTCGGGTTGCCTTGTGAATATGTGGAGACCTGCCTGCTGGCTCCACAATGAAGCCTGGTTGTACTCCTAGAGATATTGGTACTTCTTCCACTTTCACAGGGTTTCTGTGCCCCTCACCCCCACAAATGTGAAGGGCCAACTGTTGTTTCTTTTTAGAGCACAAACTCATAGTAGTATTTCACTTAAGTGTGTGTACCATTTGTACTTTAAATCTTTCCAAGAGGAACAATCTTTTCTGTTGTATCTCTTTTTAGGCCTTGTACACAAAAGTCATATGTCACATTGCCGAGTGGATATTCCCTCAGAGCTGGTGGATGTTGGTGAAAAAGTGTGGGTGAAACTGATTGGAAAAGAGGTAAGCTGCTGTTCCATTTTTGAGTGTCTGTTAGCTAGGAAGGGTTTCACAATTAAACCAAAGTACAAGAATGATTTCAAAGTAAAGTTAAATTATCTGCGGATTTTCTGGACTGAAGAGCATCAGATTGAAACTTTAAAGTTTGTTATAGTTATTTTTTTGTATGTATATGTGCCTTCAAGTTGCCTGTAAGGTTACAGTGACCGCATACATGTCACATGTTTTCCACGTTCATTTTTTATTGTTTCAGTGTTTAATTCTGTTTTGATGTGTGTAGGCTTTTTCTTCGTTCTTCCATTGCTGTTTCCATATATTTTCTAATGGTGCAAATAATACCCTTGGCTGTAATTGGAGTATGTCAGTTGCAAAGAAAATAGTCTAGATCTCTCTATGGTTTATATGGTGAAATTCTACAGCGTAAGGTCTAAAAGTCCTCAGTAAGACATTAGAAACTAAAATAGGTGGCTTAGTCAGATTTGAAGGAGAACATCAGAAATTCACAAATCTGTTTTGGCCTTTTCCTACCAACACATAGAATCATAGAATCCTAGAGTTGGAAGAGACCTCGTGGGCCATCCAATCCAACCCCCTTCTGCCAAGAAGCAGGAAAATAGCCTTCAACCCCCACCCCCCCCAACCCCACCCCGACAGATGGCCACCCAGCCTCTGTTTAAAAACCTCCAAATAAGGAGCCTCCACCACACTCCGAGGCAGAGAGAGAGAGAGTTCCACTGCTTTTTTTTCTTTGTCGTGTCAGGAGCAACTTGAGAAACTGCAAGTCGCTTCTGGTATGAGAGAATTGGCCGTCTGCAAGGACGTTGCCCAGGGGACGCCTGGATGATTTGATATTTTTATCATCCTTGTGGGAGGCTTCTCTCATGTCCCCGCATGAGGAGCTGGAGTTGATAGAGGGAGCCCATCCACCTCTCCCGGATTTGAACCTGCGACCTGTCGGTCTTCAGTCCTGCCGGCACAGGGGTTTAACCCACTGCGCCACTGGGGGCTCCACCACACTCCAAGGCAGAGAGAGAGCTCCACTGCTGAACAGCTCTCTCTCACGTCTCCAGGGTAGCAAAAAACAAGCTTGCTCCCTCCTCCCTATGACTTCCCATCACATCTTATCCCTGGCCCTCACCATGTCTCCTCTCAGCTTTCTCTTCTGCAGGCTAAACATGCCCAGCTCTTTCAGCCACTGTCTCCTCGTAGGGCTTGTTCTCCAGACCCTTGATCCTTAGAGTCGCCCTCCTTTGGACACAGTATTTCAGCTTAGAGTCAACATCTCCCTTCAACTGCAGTGCCCAGTGTGATTCCAGGTGTGTTCTGACCAAGGCAGACTAGAGGGGGAACATGACTTCCCTGGATCTAGTCACTAGACTCTTATTTATGCAGGCCAAAATCCCATGTATTCCATGGGCAAACACTGGCTAAGAGTCTGTAACGATACTAAATGGATATCCTCCAGAGTATCATAGACAAATGATGTTGTATTTTAATTTATTGTAATAGTGAAAAAAAAAATGAGAGAATTATTGCTATCCAGGATGTCATTTCCCTTCCTCTCTACAACATCTTGACCTGAGCATCATGGTCCTGCTGTTGGGTTTGAAAACTGCAGAAATCCAAAAGTATATTTTCTTCTTTTTCAGAAGACAGACAACAAGCTGAAATTTTCTCTTTCCATGAAGGTTGTTAATCAAGGAACCGGAAAGGACCTCGACCCCAACAATGTTGCCCTTGAGTAAGTGAAATATGTCCAATTCAAGAAAACAGAATGGATGAACTTCTACATACCGTTTGTTCTCCCTCTGCCCTCTTTTTCTAAATTCTTCCTGCTGTATGTTGCTGCTCTCATTGTGGGTTGTCAGGATCTGAAGATTTTGATCCTTTTAGTTTATGTCGAATGATTTGAGAAAATATGGTTTAAATTATTTATTATTTATTTTATTTATTATAGTTATTCCCTGCCCTTCTCACCCCAAAGGGAACTCAGAGCGGCTTACAAACCGCCTCAAGTTGTCTTTGGGCTGAGAGGGGCGGTATATAAATGTGGTAAATAAATAAATACAAGTAGGCCCAATTCATTGCCGCATATTCAAGCGTACAATAAAACAACACAAACATACAGTACAACGAAACATTAAATGAATAATTCTGAATGTGATAAAGACTAGACTAAGCAATGATGAGGCTTGGTAGACCTTCCAAAATGTTTTCAAGTCTAAAACAAAATTCATTCATTTATTTTTAGTCTATGAAATGAATTAACACAAAAGAGTTAATTGTAGAATCGTAAACTCATAGAAGGCAAGTGTGAAAGGCCAACCGTTACAATTTAACTCAGTGGTAGAGAATGTAAGATGGCATGTGACAAAAACATTGCTGAGTAAAGATCTTCTGTTCAGTGTGCCAACCAGCCGTGCTCCTTTCTAGGACATGCCTTTCCCTGCTTTCCCCTCATTTTCTGTCATAGCCCTGAACTTTAAGGTCAGCCCATGAAGTAATTTCCATTACGATTGCACTGTTCTAGATTGTTCCTCTTGTTTTTTTTATTTCTGCAATCCATAGGGATCCATTGTGCTTATGCATACATTTGTGGTATGGACATGTTTGACTATTCAAGCTTTCACATCTGGAGAATGTGTTGACAGTTCTTTATAGGATGGTCATTTTCAGATAATAATGGAACCGAGACAGCCTTGGTCGCCTTAGTTGATGATCTATGCCGGGAGCTAGACGGAGGAGTGTGTCCCTGTTGGTTCTGCTGGACCTCTCAGTGGTCTTCAGTACTGTCAACCACGGTATCCTTCTGGGACACCTTGCTGGAATGGGCCTTGGAGGCACTGTTTTATGGTGGTTCCAGTCCTTTTGGAGGATCGCACTCAGAAGGTGTCTACCTGTTCAACCCCACAACCATTGTCTTGTGGGGTTCCTCAGGGCTCAGTACTGTCTCCCATGTTGTTCAACATATACATGAAGCCACTGGGGGAGATCATCCGGAGTTTCGGGGTGCAGATGACTTCCAACTCTGTCACTCCTTCTCACCTGCTACTAAGGAGGCTGTTCAGGTCCTGAACTGATGCTTGGCCGCTGTGACGATCTGGATGAGGGCTAACAAATTGAAATTGAATCCAGACAAGACAGAAGTACTCCTGGTCAGTCATAAGGCCAAACAGGGCATAGAGTTACAGCCTGTGTTGGATGGGGTTACACTTCCCTTGAAGACGCAGGTTTGCAGCTTGGGTGTGATCGCTTAGCCTGGAACCCAAGGTTTCTGCTGTGACCAGGGGAGCATTTGCACAGTTAAGACTTGTGCGCCAGCTGCGCCCATACCTTGGGAAGTCTGACTTGGCCACGGTAGTCCACGCTCTGGTTACATCCCGTATAGACTAATGCAATGCGCTCTACATGGGGTTGCCTTCGAAGACTGTCTGGAAGCTTCAACTGGTCCAATGGATGGCAGCCAGGTTGCTAACAGAAGCTGCTCTCAGAGCATACAACCCCACTGCTGTGCCAGCTCCACTGGCTGCCGGTTTGCTCCGGGCACAATTCAAAGTGCTGGCTTTGGACTATAAAGCACTAAATCGTTCTGGCCCAACTTACCTGTCTGAACGCATCTCCCCTTATGAAACATCAAGGACTCTACGATCGTCTGGGGAGGCCCTGCTCTCGGTCCCGCCTTTGTCACAAGTATGTCTGGTGGGGACAAGAGACAGGGCCTTCTCGGTGGTGGCCTCGGCTATGGAACACCCTCCTCAGGGATATCAGAACAGCTTCTTCCCTTTTAACATTTCAAAAAACCTTAAGACATGGCTTTTCGAGCAAGCTTTTGCAAGTACAGAGGAGCAGATATAAGATAATAGAACAAACATTATGGGACTAGACAATGTTTTAGTACGGATTTCCTAATGAAGTATGTTTTATTGCTGTTATTATGATTTTATGTATGTTAATGTTTTTAAATTGTACTTGCTTGTGGCATTGAATTTTGCCTTGTAAACCGCCTTGAGTCGCCTGAGGGCTGAGAGGGGCAGTATATAAATACAGTAAATAAATAATGGCTATGAAAAGCATGTAGCAGAGCTAAGACAACCCAAAACAATGTTCATAGTCCTCTTTCTTCAGCTCAGGAAGAATTAGATGGAACTATAAGAAACATTGCAATATACAATGCAACATAGAAATTATGTCAATAGAAGCCTTAGGAGGCCACTTTTAGTATCACATTCTCCGGTGAGAATGAATACTCTTGTTTTTTGTACACAGTCAAGATGCCCGAAGGAAGCAGTCATTCAAGGACTATACGAGCCAGAAAATTACTCTAGAAGCTGTCCTAAACACAGTTTGCAAGAAGTGTGGTTGCCCAGGTATGTTCAGGCCAACTTACTCTCGAAAACATGCTTCACCATAGTTATGCTGTGTGGTTTTTGAAAGTAATGTCGGAACTTCTGGCTTGTATCCATAAAAAAGTCATTGGATTGTTTGCCTTGTGTTTGAAGTGCATTGACTAAGTGTTGCAAGTAGACTAGATAACTCTGCGTCTAACCAATATCACAATATTGTTTGGAGAATAAACAGCTTTAAAGGATGAGCGATATAACAAAATATGTGACATTGGGTTTGAAATGCAGGTTAACTATCCCTTCTCCAGAAATCAGATATTTCAAATACTCCAAAATTGTAGTCCGTTCTAAAATTGTCCACATGAGTGGTGGAGATAGTGACACCTTTGCTTTCTGATGGTTCAGTGAACACTATATTATAATGTTACTTACAGACTATGTGTATGAAGTATTTATGAAACATAAATGAGTGAATAGTAACGACAGGGATAAGTGTAATGAAGCCTGTTTTGTAAATGAAACTGGCACTTTACTGTTTACATTTAATGCGATAATTAATTTCATTGAGTATCTTGTGATAGGAGCCCCCGGTGGTGCAGTGAGTTAAAGCACTGAGCTGCTGAGCTTGTTGATCGAAAGGTCGCAGGTTTGATTCCGGGGAGCGGCGTGAGCTTCCGCTGTCAGTTCGAAAACATGCAAATGTGAGTAGATCAATAGGTCTACTCCGGCGGGAAGGTAACGGCGCTCCATGCAGTCATGCTGGCCACATGACCTTGGAGGTGTCTACGGACAACGTTGGCTCTTCGGCTTAGAAATGGAGATGAGCACCACACCCCAGAGTCAGACATGACTGGACTTAATCTCAGGGGACTACCTTTACCTTTACCTTATCTTGTGATATGTTGTTCAGAAACATGCAAAATATCAGACTTAAGCTGAATCACTGAAGATTTCAGACCTAACATAGCATGCTGAGATGCAACTCTAGGCTCAGTTGGAATACTGAGTATGCAAAAAGCAGAACACAAGCCTATCTCAGGCCCCGCCTATCTCCGCGATCGCATCTCCTTCTAGCTCTAAGATCTTCTGGGAGGCCCTCCTCTCGGTCCCATTACCGTCTCAAGCGCGGTTGGTGGGGACGAGAGAGAGGGCCTTCTCAGTGGTAGCCCCCTGTCTCTGGAATGCCCTTCCAAAGGAAATAAGACAGGCCCCATCCCTCCCCTCCTTTCATAAGAGCTTGAAGACCTGGTGGTTTCAACAAGCCTTTGAAAATGACCAGTTCTAACTCAGCCCTACACATTGTCCAATATGGCCCTATTCTTCCTACCAGTTACCCAGATTCTTTCCTCTAATCAGCCCCGGAATGAACAGCCACAGAACGGGACCTAATATTATTGTTGCCTGCCATAGCATTGCACTTAATTCCCGGGCCCCCTAGAATTTTTGGGCTTGCACAAATCTTGGCCCGGCCTTTAAAAATTTTAATTGGCTTGGACAGGCAGGATTACTTTTAATATATGTGTGTTATGGCGACAATTTTTATGTTTATATTTTGTTTGTTAATCTTATGGTTATGTTGTTTTTACTCTGTATGTTTTGTGATATTGCTTGGGAACCGCTCTAAGTCCCCTCGGGGAGATGGAGCGGTATATAAATAAAGTATTATTATTATTATTATTATTATTATTATTATTATTATTATTATTATTATTGGTAGCTTCTGACCTGGCTATTAAAATGTTCTATCCCAGTGGTTCTCAACCTGGGGTCCCCAGATGTTTTTGGCCTTCAATTCCCAGAAATCCTAACAGCTGGTAAACTGGCTGGGATTTCTGGGAGTTGTAGGCCAAAAACATCTGGGGACCCCAGGTTGAGAACCACTGTTCTATCCTCACATCCACTGTGATGCTAAGGAAGATGCTGAGCCTCAGGCATTCACTATGGTATTAGAACTACAGGCAGTCCCCAAGTTTCAAACAAGATAGGTTTTGTAGGTTTATTCTTAAGTAGAATCTGTTTGTAAGATGGAATAGGAACATTTTAGAGAGAGAGAGAGAGCAAGTGTGCTAGCTTTGAATAGCCCAAGGAAGGGTTAACATCCCTGTGGCATTTGTTTTGCAGTCTGTGCTCCTGATCAGAAGATCTCGCCTCACGTTCTGTCCTGTGTTCATTGGATTTTGAATAAGTTGGCTTGTTTTGGAAACAAAGATTGGAGGCCCTTTCCCCCCTTGATAACAACTGTTCCAGGAGAGGATTTCCCTTCCAAGGGGAAATTTCTCTCATTTCCTGTTGTCTCACCCCTGTTCTTAACTATGAGTCATTTGTAAGTTTGATGTTTATATCTCGGGGGCTGCCTGTACTAAAAACTGATATCTGAAGTCTAGTCTTGATGGATAGTGCTATACAGAAGCCTATGCTGCAGTGCTGGGGGCAAATGAGTATCTGGAAGTTTTTTTTGACTGCTAGAGCTCATGATATCAGGTTGATTCTTGCAGGTAGAAAGAATGAAGATCCTGTTGGGATATTTTAAAGCCTGTGTGGCTGGGCTCTTTAGAATACATTGGTGAACTGCAACTTTCAGCACAACGAATATTAAAGAATTGAAATATTCATCCTGGGGGATGTGTGTGAAATTGTCTTACTTTAAAATATGCATCTCACATTTAAGGTCATTTCGCAAAAGATTGCTTCATGCAGCCCGGAGGGACCAAGTACACTCTTATACCAGAGGAAGAAGAAGCCCTTCCAGAAAACAAAAATGAGGCTCATATATCTGAGAATTCCATAAAGAAGAAGAAGAAGAAGGTAAAATAAACCTATACTTATTGAAAAGGTGCACGAGAACTGAGAGTTGAAAGTGCTAGACATTTGGATAGTTAACCGTTCTGATGGGAAATAAGCTTAATAATATGAATGACCTGGGTTCTAATTATTCTACCTGTGTGCATTTTTATAACTGATCTATGCTATAAGATAGTTGCAGATATCTATAGCTTTCTGGACCTCCAGAATTCCTCTCTAAGTCAAAGCAGGAGAGATCATTTACCATTTTTGGACACACTTGCTTGGGTCTTTTGGTGAACCCAGAAACTTGTTCATTATTTTTCCAGTTTCATTTCCAGGCAGCACTCAGCCTGCACTTCAAGCTCATGACTCAGGAATCAGTACAAATCAAGGCTAATCTTGGTTTAATCTGTAGATTTGCCTCTCTTTGCTTTATATACTGTATATACTAATTTATATACTAGGTTACAGTTGTATTTTTATAGTTTTCTAGCTTGGGTACCTGGCGTTGCCCGAGTTATTTGAAAATTTCAGCTATTTAATTGTACAAAATGCATACTGTGGTGGGCGAACTACAACTCATATCATGCCAGATTCACCCCGAGAAACTGCATCAGTCTTTAAAGTTTGTTATGTTGGGCAAGTTTGCTCTAGAGATGCATCATCGGTGGGGTTCAGTGTGCTCTCTGGCTGCAGGGTAAACTGCAACTCCCACTATGGTGAGTCAGTCATAGAATCATAGAGTTGAAAGAGACCTCATGGGCCATCCAGTCCAACCCCTGCCAAGAAGCAGGAAAATTGCATTCAAAGCACACCTGACAGATGGCCATCCAGCCTCTGTTTAAAAGCTTCCAAAGAAGGAGACTCCACCACTCTCCGGGGCAGAGAGTTCCACTGCTGAACAACTCTCTCACAGTCAGGAAGTTCTTCCTAATATTCAGATGGAATCTCCTTTATTGTAGTTTGAAGCCATTGTTCTGCGTCCTAGTCTCTAGGGCAGCAGAAAGCAAGCTTGCTCCCTCCTCCCTATGACTTCCTCTCATATTTATAAATATGTCTCCTCTCAGCCCTCTCTTCTTCATGCTAAACATGCCCAGCTCTTTAACCTGGGCATTAAAGTCCCCTCAAACCCCTCCAGTAGGTTGAGTTAGTCATGGGAGTTCTGTGTGCCAAGTTTGATCCAGGTCCATCATCGGTGGAGGTCACAGTGTCTCTCCTTGTGGGTTAACTACAATTCCCAGAAAAGGAAGTCAGTTCTCCCCATATCCCTCCAGTAATCAAATGTCAGGATATCAGGTATGTGTGCCAAGTTTGGTTCAGATCCATCGGTGTTTGAGTTCACAGTGCTGTCTGGATGTAGGTGAACTACAACTCTCCCAAATCAAGGTGAATTTCCCCCAAAGACTTTCAGTATTTTTTTTTTTTCTGGTCATGGGGCCTCTGTATGCCAAGTTTGGTCCAATTCCATCTTTGGTGGCACAGTCAAAACACTCCTGAAAGATGGCCATCCATTTCTTCCTTATAGCAACCCTGGGCTATAATATCTACAATAATAATATCTATATATCTAGCATAATAATATCTATAAGTCAATAATAATAATAATAATAATAATAATAATAATAATAATAATATGTCTATGATATCTATATGTCTATAACAATAATATCTACATGTGTATAATAATATCTGTATGTCTATAATAATAATGTCTATATGCCTATAATAATATCTATAGGTCTATAAAAATATCTATATGCCTATAATAATAATATCTGTCTGCTAATAATATCTATACATCTATAATAATAATATCTATATGTCTATAATATCTATATCCTTTGGCTGGGCCGTCCGGGTGGGAGGAAGATCCAGCTGTCTACCCTGGATGGCGAGACACTACGTCCGTCACCTTCTGTAAAAAGCCTTGGTGTCTTATTGGACCCTCTGCTCACAATGGAGGCCCAGGTCTCTGCTGTGAGCAGATCTGCGCTTTTCCATCTGCGTCAGGCAAGGCAACTGGCTCCCTACCTATCTAGGAACGACCTGGCTACGGTGATCCAGGTGAGGGTCATCTCGAGGCTTGACTACTGTAACGCCCTCTACATTGGCCTTCCTTTGTCAGTGATCCGGAAACTGAAGCTGGTGCAAAATGCAGTGGCTCGTCTTCTCACCGGGGTGCCGGCAAGGTGTCGTATCACCCCAATTCTACAACAGCTGCACTGGTTATCGATTGAGTACCGGATTTTTTTCAAGGTGCTGGTATTAACCTTTAAGGCCTTATATGGTCTGGGACCGGCGTACCTGAGGGCCCGCCTATCCCCCTACCAACCCCAGAGATTACTTTAGTCCGAAGACCAAAATTTGCTTGAAGTCCCCAACATCTGGACTTATCATCTGTCCTCTACTAGGCAGAGAGCCTTCTCGATTGTAGCCCCTTATTTATGGAATGCCTTGCCAGTTGAAACCCGATCTATCCGAGACCTACTTGCTTTTCGGAAAGTCTGTAAAACCTTTCTCTTCCGACAAGCTTTCGATGGATGAATAACTCGGGACTATGTCTGTTCTTGTTTTATTGTATTTTAAAGTTAATTGTATTGTTTTAATCTACTGCTGTAAACCGCTCCGAGCCAAATTGGGAGTAGCGGTATACAAGTCAAATAAATAAATAAATAATATGTATACATCTGTAATAATAACAGCTATATAATATCTATAATATCTGTATGCCTATACTAATATCTATAGGTTTGTAATAATATCCATACATCTGTTCCCCTTTTTGCTTGAAAGATATTTAGCCCTGTGCTTCTATTTTTTATCACTTTTATACTAATTTATGCAATAATTTTGATACAAAATAAATAAATAACATCTATAATAATAATACATGCATGCCTTTAATAATAATATTTGTGTCTATAATAATATCTATGCTTCTATAATAATAACAACAATAATAATAATACCTATATAATATCTTTGAACTGGGTTATATGGCAGTGTGGACTCAGGTAACCCAGAGCCCTTCCACACATCCATATAACCCTTTGGCCTCGAGGAGACTGAAATGGGGCCTACATAAGGTTGACACTTTGCCACTTCAGTTGTGTATTGATAGCTTAGAAACCAGCTCTTCCTCTTTTCTTTCTTTCCCATTTCTCCACAATGGGCCACAGCAATGCGTGGCCAGGTACAGCTAGTATTTACATAAAACAGTAATTTAAGATAAGGCTGTCCAACTCTGATTAAACCATTATTCTAATGTTTCAATGTAAATGTGCTTATTTATCCTTCCAATAATAATAGGGTAAAATAATAAATGTAATAAAAATAATAATAATAGAGTAAAATAATAGAAATGTAATAATAATAATAGAATGAAACAATAAATATGGTAATAGAGTAAAACAATGTAAATATAACAACAACAACAAGTAAAATGAATGTGAAATTTATGCTTCATGGCAGAAAGGGTTGGGACTGGATGGCCCACAAGATCTCTTCCAGCTCTAAGATTTTATGAAAATAATAAATAACCTTGACTCAAATATAAGTCGAGGGGGCTTTTTCAGCCTCAAAAAAGGGCTTGGAAATATATGGCACTTTCCATCATTTTGTTGCTGAGGGTGTAGATAAAAGCTGATGCTGCAAAATACAATGTAATAAATGAGTGTTAGAGAAACATTTCCTGATACTTTCTTTAACAGGGCAAAAAGAAACACAAGAGCAAAGTCCCTTCTGAACTGGAAGTTTCTGACAGTGATGATTTAGAGGGTGGCAGCCAGTCAGCCAGGAAGAAAAGGAAAGTGGCTGAAAAAGCCCTCAAGAAGAAGAAAAAGAAGCACCATAAGAAGAAGCACAAGGATTGAGAAACACCGAACGGACAACAGGTCCTCCTAACACAGCATGTATTTCTTGTCCCCGTTGGGCTCCCATCATCGGCTGGAAAGAAGAATCGCTGAAGCAAAGAGAATTGCATTTGCAGTCTTTCTGACCACGCTGTCCTTTTCCTCTTGGGTACAAGTATTCCTCAGGTCAAGGATGGGTCCTGGGCCTCACTGTTGTGACCCCTGAATGTACAACTCTTTCAGCATGACCCCCCCCCCCCAATTGTTCTCAAATACATCTGCAGCAAAAAGCAACTTCCCCAAACCTGTGAAAACATTTCCAAATACCTTCTTCAAGCCTCAAAGATCTTCAGGCATATTTCAGCCAAATAGCTGTATTCCAACCATGATGATAATGGAATCTTTTCCATTTACCATTTTGGCAGAGATACTGCCAGTGAGCAGTATGTTATTATTTGGGCTCTGTTGAAGGCAAGGGCTCATGTGTATTTCGTTCGGTGTCAAGAGGATCAGAAAAGCGACCTCTTCAGTTGCCAATCCTTGCTTTCCATTACAGCTGTTTATATATTTGCTTTTATTCCTGAACTGTAACCTGTACATAACAGTAGGTCCGGTATGCAATAATAAATGCAAAACTTTTGATGGAAAAATATTAAAGTGGTATGTGGCTTCCTACCATTTTCACTCTGCCATGAAAATAGATGCTATGTGCTGAGATAACTTGAGATGGGTTCTGAATGCATACTGTAGGGCGTAAATCGTGCTCCAGGGTTGAATCACTGGTTTTGACATTTTCCTAATGATCTGAGTTATTAAAATTGGACACATTGACTGCAGTTGTGTTTAATAGGCTTGGGTAACCACGGAAAAATTTGGTTCTAAACTCGTTTCGTTTTTAGGGGGGCCCTTGCGTTTCGTTTTTTTTTAAGAATTCCGAAATTTTCCTTTAAAAAAGTTCGAAATATACGAAATTTCGTAAAATTACGAATCGATTCGTTAATGGCGGACGCGATTGCGCAATATGCTAAAAAAAACCCTCCAAATGGGACAGGGGGAACTTCTGAAGCTTCCCTCTCCCTCTGTTGTTGACTGTTGGTGTGATAATTTATTTTTTATCACTGATAAAACAAACAACAACTATAAAATTGCACCAGACATACGGAAATAATTACGAAATAATTACGAAATAATTACGAAAAAATTACAAAAAAATTACAAAATAATTACGAAATAAATTGAAAAAATTGTTTCGAATCTAATTTACTCCTCACACTATTCCTGCATGGCTCAATATTGGATCGTAAGCTAATTTAAATACGAATTAATAACGAATTACGAAATTAACGAACGAACACGCCCAAGCCTAGTGTTTAACAGTGGCCGAGGAGGTCTCTCCCCCAGATTACTTCTAACTGGCATTTTTTGTCGCCTTAGAGCGGAAGAACCATCACCCTCATGATCCTCTGGGTAGACCTTTGCCTTCCCACCACCATGGAGTGAGAGTTGTTTATGGGGGATCAAAAGAAACTGAATACCTCTGTTTCCAATGGGCAGAAGACAGAATGATGTTTGTATGTCATCAACAGAATTTGGCCCATGGAAAATTGTCATTCAGTGTTTGTAATGGAAAGGCAGGCTCCACCCAGTGATTTGTTCCCAGGGAATTCCATTTTGCTCACTGATGCCAATCATGTAACCCTTCAGGCTGCTTCAGGTAAGAAGTCAACATTTAAATACAGAATCACAATAGTTGACCATCACAGATCTCATCAAAACAAATACAGTTCTAGGGCAGTACATTGTAATGATATAGCCATCAGTCAAGCCACTCCAGAGTGGTATTCTACTAATGGAGTGGTGCCACTGAGACAGTAATAATAGTAGTAGTAGTAGTAATAATAATTTTATAATAATTTTTATTTCTTACCTGCCTCTCCTCATGGCATAATCAATAATGTAAAAATGCTATATGTCTAACGGCATTGAATGTTTGTTGTGTATTTGTTCTATGATCTCCCCTGAGTCCCCTTCGGCGGAATAGAAGTGCTGTAAATAAAGAAATAAATAATTGCGAGGGGAAGTTAATTCTGAGTGTTCCCATTCCTGGAGTGCACAGCTACATGAGATACCTTGTTCTCTTGGAAGTTGGCAGGGATGAACCTAACTGCAATAGCAGCTAGAGCAGTATTGGCAGAAAACGGGCAAGTTTGAACAAACATTTGGAGGCCATCTCTCTGTCAATGTAGATGGTACTGTTTCTCTGCTATCCGTCTGTAACCTAGCCAGCCTGGATTGAGTAGTTAGGGTTCTCTTACACCTTGACCCGCAAGAGCTAGCTGTAAAGAAATGGTAAACCCTTTGAAAATCATTCAGATCCTTTCTGACTTGAAGGCTATAGTTAGTCCAGGTCCAGTGGATGTAACCTTAGCTCTTGCTTGTCTGTTGTTAATAGCTGTTTGGTACCTTGTGCTGCCCGAGAATGTGAACAGGATCCTTGGAAAGGTGAAAGCCATAATATCCACTAGATGCTTACCCATCTTGGCTTATCAGAAAGGGTGGGTAAAAGGAGTGATCAGTGCCTCCTTTCAGTAAAGAAACCATTTGTAAGAGCCCTGTCAAGAATGGTCTCCCTGAATCACATGGCATTGGATAATTGTTGGTCAGTCTCCAATATTCTAGTTTAGGGCAAGTCATTGGAGTGTATGGTGACCTGCCAACTCCAGGTGTTCCTGAATGAAACATAGATCCATTCCAGTGTGGAATCAGGTCTGCTTTTGACCTTAACTGAGGCCTCATTAGATTTTAATTGACCTCTTTTTCTTTTGATGCCATCAGCCATAGTTTCTTCTGAGGATACCTCATGACAGAACACTACTTTACAGCGGTTCCATTTGTTGTTGTTGTTGTTGCAGGAAAAAATGCCCAGAAGGTACCACTAGGGGATGTCTATTTCCCACATAGTATCTGAAGAATCAGAAGGTCAACCTTGAATGTTTTTTGGAAGATCTGTGTGCAAGATTTTGTTTCTTTCTGGCCATGTGCATGTGGTCTAAAGGGGTGAGGGTTATTACTTGGGGGCACAGTTGACACCCACTAGTTCCGTATAAGAGCTGCCTCTGTCTTTGATACTCGGTCTCTAAGGGCCAGTCATGCCAGTAAGAAGAGATCAACAGAAGCTCCACAAACAGGCAAAGCCATCAGGCATCTTTTATGGGAGTTTTGAGTGGAGGCCCAGAATTTAGTTTCAGTTCTCTGTAAGATCACTGAACATGAATGGCACTGTAGTCATCTCCAATAGCTGCGGTTTATCTATGTTTTGGCAGAGGATATGGTTAACTACCCTAGATGAGGAACATATCTGAAGAGAACACAATTTCCTAAAGATGGGAAGTAGACATTTGGATAAGTTTGATACACAGAAGTATCTATTTCGCATATTTGTATCCCATCCTTCTCACCTCTGGAAGGGGACTCAGAGTGGCTTCGCAACAGATAATCATTCAATGCCAACAACAGTAATAAATGGTGCAAGCAATTAAAACAATTCAAAGTAGAAGGGTTTGGGATTATTCTGTAATTTTGGAGCTACAGAATCAATTTGAAACTCTCCCCCTTATCAGTGATGGCCAATGAACAGCTTTAAGAGAAATGTCTCAGTCCTCAGGGAACAGGTGACCTTGGAAGATTCAGCACATGGAATAACCCGACAGTTGTCATAGAAGACATGTGCTGGTAGAAGGAGACTCCTTGCTGAGTGGAACACAAGCAGTGGTTTGTGGACCTGATAGAGCAGTGGTTCTCAACTTGTGGGTCCCCAGATGTTTTGGCCTTCAACTCCCAGAAATTCTAACAGCAGGTAAACTGGCTGGGGTTTACTGGGAGTTGTAGGCCAAAACACCTGGGAACCCACAGGTTGAGAACCACTGTGATAGAGGTTGCTATTCTCCTGGGGCAAAATACCATAAATACCTGTGATGTCACAAAGAGGCTGACAACCCATGAAGCCCACTGACCATCACTTCTTCCTTTTGGTTCACTTTTTTCATGTCAAGAGTGACTTGAGAAACTGCAAGTTGTTTCTGGTGTGAGAGAATTGGCCGTCTGCAAGGACGTTGCCCAGGGGACGCCCAGATGTTTTGATGTTTTACCATCCTTGTGGGAGGCTTCACTCATGTCCCCACATGTTCCACATGGAATCCAATGACACGTCAAGGCATAACTTTCAATAAATCACAAGGCATTACAAGACTCTGGGTTGGAAGCTGAAGGATCCATGTGTACAGGTTGTCATGTGTTTCACTTCCCAGGTGTAAGCACTTAGAAAAGAATGCATTGCTAACTAAAAATCAACATGGGTTTCTCAAAAAGAAGTCATGCCAGATTGACCTTATCTTTTTTGATAGAGTTCCAAGTTTGGTAGATGAAAGGAATGCTGTGAATGAAGCATATCTCAATTTCAGTAAGGTCTTTGACAAGGTCCCCCATGACATTCTCCAATTCCATGATTCTATGATAATTCAAAATATGATGCTGATTTTACACACAATAGAATGTAACGTTTGCAACACGGATTATGCTATAGAACTGCGGTCCTTATCTACCAAAGCAAAGCAGAGTTTATTGATTAGTCCACTGACCGTATCAACATTAAAAACAAAAACAGAAACGCACACAAATAGACAATAATCACTATCCTAAGACTCCCATAATAGTGAACTAACATACATTCAAAGTTGATTAAGTTAAAAGATAATTTAAAATATCATTAAAATGCCAAGGTAAAATTTCAAACCACAAAAGTTAAAAACAAAGGTTAAAACAAAGGTTAAAATAGACCAGCTATTACACAATCCCAATCCAGTTCAGATATCTGCATCACCCCTACAGTTTACCCCAATCTCCTCCAGATATGCAGTTCTCAGCTGTGTTGCTTTATGAAGGAAAATGGCTGTTTGGTGTGTTATCTTAGCATTCTGGCCAGCCATTAAGAATGTAGTTTTGATGTGAGGATCCCAGTGAGTCTTCTGTATAATGAATGATCCGAGGTATTGATTTCTCTCTTTGTTGTACAAAATACAACTAAACAGTACACGTGTAATATCCTCTACCTCTGTTGCCCCACAGATACAGAAATGTTCATTATATAGAACTTGGTTAAACCTTCCATGTTTAACCATTGTATCTGTCTGTTCAAATCTGGTTCTAGTGAATACCCTTCTTAGATGTTTAGGTATTCCTGTCTTTAGGCTGTTTGAAAAGTATGTTTGAAGCGACTTAACCATTTCAGTGAACCGGCTTTACTAAGGGTGGCAATGTCTTTCTGAGCCTCTATATCCTGTATTCGTTGTGCCACTATTTTTGGCTCTAATTCCTCTAGAAGATTTGGGTATAGAATTGGAAGTCTACAACTCCTGATGTATTTTGTCAGTTGCACTAACCAAGAGGACTGATGTTGGTTTTTGGTCTGCTCTAACAGGCACAATTTTGGTAGCCTATCATTTGCCATGGCATTTAGTTTTATCCAATATTTATATGCCCTAATTTTGGATCGACCATTGACTGTATATACTCCTATTTCTGCTCTCACTGCTGCAGCTGGGGTCCTTTTATCCACTCCTAGAAAGTTGCGCCGGTGCTGTGCTTGAGATTGCTCTAATAATGATACCTGGTTTAGGCCCCAGACTTCCTCTCCATACAGGAATATGGGGGTAACCTTGGCCTTATATACTTTGAGAAGCGGGTGTAAGGATTCTGGTTGACTATGGTTTGTTAATTTTAGCAGTTGGTTTACCCGTACTCTCATTCTGGCTGAGCTCCTTTGATGATGTGGGAGCCAAGAACCGGTCTCGGAGAACACGACACCTAGGTATGTAAAAGTGCAAACTTGCTCTATTGGTTCACCATCCAGAAGCCATCTATGTCTATTGGGTCGTTTGCCAAATACCATTATTTTTGACTTCGATTTGTTGATAATTAGGGAGTTCTTATGACAATAGGAATTAAATCTTCTCAGCAACCTACGTAGCCCAACTTGCGAATATGACAGTAATATGTCATCAGCATATAACAGGATGCTAATAGGGGTTTTAAACACCTGGGGCATATGTACCTCTGGGTCCTTCAACTGTTCAGGTAGGTCATTTACATATATATTTACCCTTATTTACCAGTTGCAATCCCAATAAAACATCAATGACAAGTACTTTCAGACACCGCCAGGTAACAACTGCTTCACTTTATTACATTCCAAATCGTTTTCACACTTGTCAATAGTTTAAAAGTAGAAAATAAATCTCGGTTACAAGGATAAGAAGCAGCTGAAAAGACCTTGGCAATAGATGGATTCATAAAGGTACAACCAATATACAAAAACACGGGGGAAAATCATACCAGCAATTTGGCAATGAGATTATCATTGGATGACCAGTGTTAGAAATCTATACAGCTTTTTGATAGGTACGAGTGCAGATCACATTGCCCATTGTCAGCGTCTGAAAGGCAAGCAGATATGTATGTGTGTGTATAGATAGATAGATAGATAGATAGATAGATAGATAGATAGATAGATAGTAGGTATATACATTTTAAAAACCTTTACCTACAAGAACATTCATCTAAATGCACCTGCATACATTTACCAATGGAAGAAAAATCTCATTAAGAAAAAGGTGCATTTCTGGATAAGACCATGCCTGCATTCTGGTTGATGTCTGAGTTATGCTGCTTATGTCACCAATAGCATACCCTCTGTCTAGAAAAGGGAAGTATCAGCAGATGAAAAACATTGAGATTTGAAAAAAAAATCCCAAAAACATATTTGGAGAAAATGGCCAACAGAAAGTAAATCTGCAGGGACATACTGGGAAGTCCCTGTGGGATTTGCAAAGACTGTGGTTCTGAGGTACAGGCAGTCCCTGAGTTACAAACATCTGACTTAAAAACACTACTAGTTAAGAATGGGGCTGAGACAACAGGAAGTGAGAGAAATCTCCCCCTCAGAAGAGAAATCCACTCCTGGAAGAGTTATTATCCTGGGGAAAAGGGGTCTCCACTGAAGCTTTCTCTCCAATCTAGCTTGTTGTTTCCACATTAAGCCAGATTTTCCAAAATCCCATTCTTACTGGGACAGAGAGTGAGGGAAAATCTTCTGAACAGAGGCACAGGCAGCAAAGCAAACTCCACAGGGATGCTAACCCTTCTCTATGCAACCTAAATCATTCATTCTCTCTCTCTCTCTCTCTCTCTCTCTCTCTTGCACACACACACACGGCTGCAGTTACACTTAAAAATGTACTGTTCTGACTTACAAAACAAATTCAACTGAAGAACAAACCTACAAGAACCCATCTTGTTCATAACTTGGGGTCTGCCTGTGGTTGTTAATTGTGTTCTGGTCTCTGTCCTATGTGATTAATGAGTATTTTATAGAAATGCTTTGATATGTATCTCTTATGGAGCTGCATTTTAATATGTATGTTTGTAGAATTCTTATAGTATTTGTGTATTTTTGACTCTGCTGTGACCCACCTCGAGCCATGAGGAGAGGCAGGTAAGAAACACTATTTTTTATTATTATTATTATTATTATTATTATTATTATTATTATTATTATTATTATTATAGTGGCAACACCGTCAGGATTGACTGAGATCCTGTATCAGGAGACATATTGTCAAGTGCTCAGTGCCATCCAAGCAGAACTATGATGTCAGTAGCCCGCCCCTCCTGCAGGATTCACCTTCATCCTGTGATTTGCCCCATGGCCATTTATTAACAAGGGGAAAATGGTGGGAGGCATCCAAGAAATTCCTGGCTATGTACCTGTAACCAGATGCACAATGGCAGCTCCATCCTTTAGGACTCCAAAGGACTCCAACAGTCAATGTTCAGTTCAAGTCCTCCAAAGGACTCCAAATGGCCCAGAAGGATGTGCATCTGATTATGGACACATGGCTAAACGCTCATCCAAATGTACCTTGTGTTCCATGAATGATTGCCTTGCAATGGGTGAAGGCACAAGGTAATCTTGCATGAGGCAGACAGTGAAGCCCCCCTTCCTTTTCAGTTATGACTCTGGATGTCACTAACAAGCTGCCAGCTGGTTGTCTCACTAAAGTTAAAACACTGAAGTTAAGAAAATTGGAGGGCGATGAGGCATGGAAATTCCCTTCAGTTCTAGGATGCAAAAACAAAAAACAAACAAAAACAAAAAAACCCAAAACAAAAAGGCCATGTGTGTTTACAATGTAAGGGCATGTCAAATTCTTTTTCATGGATCTTGGGGGTTCAGAGTAAAAACTTAAGTCAGTCTCATAGACCTAAAGGTGGCCCGTAGCCAGGATTTTGATTTGGGGAGTGCTGAGTTTGATTCGGGGGGGGGGGGGGCTGAGTTTGATTCAAGAGGGGGTGCTGAGGATCTACCTTAACAAACCTTTTGTATCGTTACCCCAATAGGTAAAGGTAAAGGTAGTCCCCTGACATTAAGTCCAGTCATGTCTGACTCTGGGGTGTGGTGCTCATCTCCATTTCTAAGCCAAAGAGCCAGCGTTGTCCGTAGACACCTCCAAGGTCATGTGGCCGGCATGACTGCATGGAGCGCCGTTACCTTCCCGCCGGAGCGGTACCTATTGATCTACTCACATTTGCATGTTTTCGAACTGCTAGGTTGGCAGAAGCTAGGGCTGACAGCGGAAGCTCACGCCGCTCCCCTGAATCGAACCTGCGACCTTTTGATCAACAAGCTCAGCAGCTCAGTGCTTTAACCCACTTGCACCACCAGGGGCTCTATCGTTACCCCAATACCTCCATGCATGTGGGATATATTGAGCATGGTGATCAGATCATGATATGAATAAACATAACAGTTTAAATAATGTACCAGTAAGGCCTTCTTGCGAACCATCCTGAGAATTTTGAGGGGGGGGGGGCTGAAGCCCTCTAACCCCACCCCCAGCTACATGTCTGGCCTAAAGTTTGCGGAGCCTGGAAAGGAAGGGACACCTCCCAAGCCATTTCAATGACCATTGAATGTATTCAGCAATCCTAATGACAGCAAAATCTATTTTTAAAAGAATACAGTCTCCAGATATGGTGTGGTTTGACTACGATGGCTAGATTAAATATCTTTTAGAGCAGGCCTGGGCCAACTTGGGCCTTCCAGGTATTTTGGACTTCAACTCCCACAATTCCTAACAGCTGGGGGGTTGAAGTCCAAAACACCTGGAGGGCCCAAGTTGGCCCAGGCCTGTTTTAGAGTGACCTATTTCTTCCTCAGCTTTGTTTGTCTTTCAACTTGCCTATAGAAGTTATACTAGTAACCAGAAATGTACTTTGACCATCTTACCAAAATTAGTTTTCCATCCTTCAGTTCTCGAACTAGTGAGGTTTCCTTTCCTTCCCATTTCTGCACATGAACAAGTCTTCCACCATCTAGTGTCACAAGGGACTGGAGAAAGAGAAAAAAAAAACCAAGCTCATTCAATTGCCCTGGAAATTGGAGAGATATACTAGGGATGGGAAACTCTTGTCCTCTTGATGTTTTGGTTTGCTTTTCACATAGTATTTGTCCATCATCCAAAAGGTCTGAAAGAAGGAAAGCTATTAATGGTTTATACAAAAAGAGCAATTACTCAAGACTGACAAATACATAACATCCTGCAGTGAATAACCTTCCTATTCATCAGTATTTTGCAAATAACATTGGTACATGCATGCCTTCCTTTCCCCCCAGGATACTTAGAGGCAACGTATTATCATTATTATTTGAAACACAACAAGATTAGTACACAGCAAACAAGATCACTATGCTGGCTACTGTATTGGATCACATGTTGCACACTTCCCAAGTGTCTAGGACTGTGTGATTTATCGATGAATAATGCATGCAAATCTGAGTAGGGTGGCCTTTTGCAGCTGACAGATGGTAATTTTGTCAGCGCCGATTGTGTTTAAGTGCAGGCCTAGATCTTTAGGCACTGCACCCAGTGTGCTGATCATCACTGGGACCACCTTTATTGGCTTGTGCCAGAGTCTTTGCAGTTCGATCTTTAAATCCTCGTATTGTGTCAGCTTTTCCAATTGTTTCTCTTCAATCCTGCTGTCGCCTAGGATTGCAATGATCCATACTTTGTTTTTCTCCACGATCATGAGGTCAGGAGTCTTGTGCTCCAAAACTCTGTAAATCTGAATTCGGGAGTCCCAGAGGAGTTTGACGTGTTCATTTTCTGTAACTTTTTCCAGCTTGTGATTCCATCAGATCTTTGTCGCAGGCATATGGTATTTGTGGCACTTTTTTTTGTGTGTCAGGAGCAAATTGAGAAACTGCAAGTTGCTTCTGGTGTGAGAGAATTGGCTTTCTGCAAGGATGTTGCCCAAGGGACGCCCAGATTTTTTTTTGTTTTATCATCCTTGTGGGAGGCTTCTCTAATGTCCCCGCACGGGGAGCTGGGGCCAACAGAGGGAGCTCATCCATGCTCTCCTTGGATTTGAACCGCCGACCTATCGTTCTTCAGTCCTGCCAGCACAAGGGTTTGACCCACTGCGCCACAGGGAGCACAAGTTACAATGGATCATCTGAGCAACGATATTCAGCCTCTGCGTGTAGTCCACCTGGAATTCCAGGAATCGTTCCAGGAATCGTTCCAGGAATCGTTCAGGAATCGTCCTGGAACGATTCCATCAGCGCTGCCTCTGGAAAATCCTGCAAATCTCCTGGGAAGACAAGCGGACAAACGTCAGTGTGCTGGAAGAATTAAAGACCACCAGCATTGAAGCGATGGTCCTCTGCCATCAACTCTGCTGGGCCGGCCATGTTGTCCGGATGCCTGACCACCGTCTCCCAAAGCAGTTGCTCTACTCTGAACTTAAGAATGGAAAATGGAACGTTGGTGGACAGGAAAAGAGATTTAAAGATGGGCTCAAAGCCAACCTTAAAAACTCTGGCATAGACACTGAGAACTGGGAAGCCCTGGCCCTTGAGCGCTCCAGCTGGAGGTCAGCTGTGACCAGCAGTGCTGCAAAATTCGAGGAGGCACGAGTGGAGGGTGAAAGAGAGAAACGTGCCAGGAGGAAGGCGCGTCAAGCCAACCCCAACCGGGACCGCCTTCCACTTGGAAACCAATGCCCTCACTGCGGAAGAAGATGCAGAGCAAGAATAGGGCTCCACAGCCGCATACGGACCCACAAGGAAACCCATGATGGAAGACCATCTTACTCGTCCAACGAGGGATCGCCTAAGTAAGTAAGTAAGTAGTCCGTCTGCACAATCTTCTTGCAGCAGCTGAGGCTGTGATCCATTGTCCTGCCTGCTTCCTTGCAGAGTCTACACTTGGGATTTGTCACCAACTTTTCAATTCTGACTTGGATGGAATTGGTTTTAATGGCTTGTTCTTGGGCTGAAGAATCAGGCCCTCTGTTTCCTTCTTCAAAGTTCCATTTGTGAGTCACATCCATGTTGTTTCCTTGTCGATTTTGCTCTCAATTTTTTTCCAGGAACTGTCCATAGAGAGCTTTCTTTGGCCATTATTATTATTATTATTATTATTATTATTATTATTATTATTATTTATACTCCTCTTTATCTTCTCCCAAAGTGGTTTAAAATAAAAGCATCAGAATACAATTTAAAATATACAAATATGCAAGCATTAAAACAGGATTAAATATAAACAGTAGGACACCTGACTACCAATCTGAGTGAGGGCCAACCAGACATTACATTTGCTGTAGCACAATTTTGTTAACTGTTTTTTTAAATTGGGGCTGCAGAAGCCTTGACCAGAACTATGAACAGGGAAGGTGAAAAAGAAAATTAACCCATACACAAATGCACTGTCAGGTGGAGAGAATCATTGTGATTCCCTTAAGCCACATCCTCAAGAAGGTCCGAAAATATAGTCAGTGATGCTGGAGTGTGTGGATGGAAAGTCAAGATTAACACCAAGGTTTCTTTGTTAAGTAACGATAAAACAGAAAAAATGTACGCACGCACGCACACACACATAGATGAATGTGTTTATATATAGAGAGAGAAACAGAAATGAAATGTTAGTATTAAAAGTAAGGGGAAATAGAAAATGTAATGCATAAGTAATGTTGTAGTTCAGCATGATGGTAACTGGTAGAAGGGAGAAGAGGTCTGCGCAGGTGTTAGAGGAGGAGGAGGAGCGAAAGCGGATTAGGGAGATAATCATGGCCCCAAGTGATTCTGAGATGTTTGAGGGCTTCTCCGATTGTGAAATGGGGGATGGGGAGGAGAGCAGGGGAGTAAAGCGGGCTACTCGTGATCAAGAGTCCGACGAAGAGATTCAGAGGAAGCGCATCCGGGAAATACTTAGCGCTCCTACAGAGGACGAGGATTTCATGGGGTTTGAAAGGAGTGATGGGTCTGGGAGTGATATGGGAGAGGAGGATGAACTTGATTGGACCCGTGCTCAGGAGATAAGGGACATTTGTAACCAACCCACTTCCAGTGATGAATTTGAGGGGTTCACAGGGGATTGGCAACCGGGGAGCACTTGGCAAGATCTAAGTCTTGACAGACGCTGGCAGAGGTGGAGAGATGGACGCTCAGGTTCAGCTGCGGGGATGGAGGCAGCTGAGAGCAATGAGGAAAGGGTGGGGAGCTCATCATCCTCTGATGAGGAGCTCTAGGATAAAAGTGGGTTCTGTTTGAATGATACTTTGTAGAAGGCAAAGTGTCTTTATGGGACATAAATCTTTGTTACTGCCAACTCTTGAGCTTGGGTCCTTGGACTACAGATTCCTGTGTTCCTGTGATTCCTGCGTTCCAGTGTTTACATTACTCAACGGCTTGACTACGGACCGGTTTGACCAACACTTTTGTCTTTTGGATTTAAACATTGCTAACTTCATGTTTGGACCTTGCATCATTTTGGAACTCCGTTTTCTATCTTCTGTGACTGTGTTTTTGAACTTTGTGAACTTTGAAGCAGATTGCTGAACGTTTCTGTTGACCAGCGTTATAATCCGGGTTATATTTTTGTTGCTGGTATCACTTCGTTTTTGATGCCAATTTACTGCCTTAGTTCTCTGCACTGAAGTTAAGTGCTTTAAAAGACTCTTTTTGTGTAATAAAGCTGTGTTTGAACTCTTTATCTTGTGTTTGGCTTTACTTAAGGCTTCTGGGTCTTGACAAGTAAAGTGACAAAATAGCTAGAAGAAATACTCATGGTTGAGGCCCAGAAGAGAAGAAAAAGTTGAGACAGTTGAAAAAGAAAGAAGGTCAATGGGAAAGAAAGACAAATGAGATCAAAAAAAGGAAAAAAAAACCACAATTATTTTTATTTTTTCTAAGCAAAAGACATTGTGAATGGTACTGCTTTAAAAATAGAAATATGTCTAACAAGACCACCCCTCCGTCCTCATTCTTGGATGTACATTAGACTTATGGATAGACCTAGCTTACTAACAAAACTCCATCATCAACTTCTTCTACCTTCCTTGGCCTTCCCCCTCCCACTCACTCTTATGGGGTAAAAGTGTGAAAATGTAATAAAAAATGTATGACTAAAAAGAAAAAAAGCCAAGGCACATCATGCTAATGTATTGCTAACAGGTGGCAGCAACAGAGTAGAGCCTTGGCAAGGAGTGCTGCTAGCCACAGATGACGACATTTCGAAAGTCATGGCATTTTGCCCTATCCTCAGCCAGGCTCCGCTGCTACTACAGTTCTGAGAACAGCCATCTGCCTCCCTCCACAAAGCTGATAAAGAACAGGCATGAAAAATAAGCTACCATTCAGTCCTAACAAGAACTTAACACCTAGCCCTGCTGTCTCCCCCTGATGGCTTTTGCATCAATAAGACACGAGTAGTTGTTGAATAAGTGGAACGACCTGCCGGAAGACCTCCAACAGTTATGCCCCTGCATATGGAATTTAAAAACCAGTCTCTTCCACCAGGCCTTTCCAGTCACAGGAAAACGTGAATTTTAAACTCATGTCCTGTGTGATTAATGTGTATTTTACAGAATATTAAGTGGACACTGCACCAAGCATGTGGTTTTGCCTTCAGCAGTGCTGGTTTATTTGTCTCTTCCTTCATCTGTTAATATTAGTATATCTACTGTATTTAAATTTTGGTTTTACCACATTGCTACTATTTAATTGTTTTTAATTAGAGTTAACAACATGCAGTGTAAAAGGAATACAAAATAATGAACATTTTACAAACACTTAACCCCACCACCTAGGCTTGAACAAGTATCATTTCCTCTGCCATAAATTTAACACTCTGTCAGCAGAGTTTAGACTGGTCGTCGCACAGCCCTCTCATGCGAGAGGTCTCTAACCCCCCCCCCCAGCCCTTAAAAAATAAAAGAACTTACCTGGCTGCTATTAGCGTAGTGCCAGAGCTCTCCTGGTGCATAGGAATGATGTGTGTTAGAAGAAGTATGCGGGGGGGGGGGGGGGGGGGGGGAGGAGGAAGGAAAGTGTGTCATTCCTCCTGCCCCCGCTTCTCCTGGTGTGTCATTCCTCACCACCAAGAGAGCTTTAGCACCATGCTAATGGTGGCCAGGTAAGTTCTTTTATTTTTTAAAGGGGTTTTTAAGGGTTTTGGGGAAGGGTTTAGGGTGTCTGGGTGTTCTCCCGGAAGGTTCCAGGAGTGCATCTGGACATCCAGCAGCAAAAGCATGGGCTTTTGGGCCGGTGTGGTGACAGAAGTCTGCCCTGACCTAGGTTTTTTTAACCCGGTTCGGCGTGGACTTCTTCCCTGTCTGGAACCGCCATACCTCCAGCGTGAGATTGATTGCCATCTTCCAATTCCTTGCAATTATAAGTCTCGCCACTGTGAGTAAAATAATCACCAGTTCTTTTTTCCCCCTTTCCAACAAGCTGAATATGAGCCAAGAGTGTGATGCAGCAGCTGGAAAAGCCAATGGGATTTTGGGCTGCACCAAAAGGAGTCTAGTGTCGATCGAGGGAAGTCCTGGTGCCTCTCTATTCGGCTTTGGTTAGACCTCACCTGGTATACTGTATCCAGTTCTGGGCACCACATTTCAAAAGAGAGATTAACTCTAAGCTGGAAGACATCTAGAGGAAGAGGATCAAAGGCCATGAATCTCTATGAGGAGCATCTTATAGAGCTGGATCTGTTTAGCCTGCAGAAGAGAAGGCTGAGAGGATAAATGAGAGCCATGGATAATATGTGAAATGATATAGAATCATAGAATCAAAGAGTTGGAAGAGACCTCATGGGCCATCCATTCCAACCTACTGCTAAGAAGCAGGAATACGGTGTTCAAATCACCCCTGACAGATGGCCATCCAGCCTCTGTTTAAAAGTTTCCAAAGAAGGAGCCTCCACCACACTCCGGGGCAGAGAGTTCCACTGCTGAACGGCTCTCACAGTCAGGAAGTTCTTCCTCGTGTTCAGATGGAATCTCCTCCCTCGTAGTTTGAAGCCATTGTTCCGCGTCCTAGTCTCCAGGGCAGCAGAAAACAAGCTTCCTCTCACATATTTATACATGGTTATCATATCCCCTCTCAGCCTTCTCTTCTTCAGGCTAAACATGCCCAGCTCCTTAAGCCGCTCCTCATAGGGCTTGTTCTCCAGACCCTTGATCATTTTAGTCGCCCTCCTCTGGACACATTCCAGCTTGTCAATATCTCTCTTGAATTGTGGTGCCCAGAATTGGACACAATATTCCAGGTGTGGTCCAACCAAAGCAGAATAGAGGGGTAGCATTACTTCCCTGGACCTAGACACTATGCTCCTATTGATGCAGGCCAAAATCCCATTGGCTTTTTTTGCCGCCACATCACATTGTTGGCTCATGTTTAACTTGTTGTCCACGAGGACTCCAAGATCTTTTTCACACGTACTGCTCTCGAGCCAGGCATCCCCCATTCTGTATCTTTGCATTTCGTTTTTCCTGCCAAAGTGGAGTATCTTGCATTTGTCACTATTGAACTTCATTTTGTTAGTTTTGGCCCATCTCGCTAATCTGTGAAGATCGTTTTGAATTCTGCTCCTGTCCTCTGGAGTATTGGCTATCCCTCCCAATTTGGTGTCGTCTGCAAACTTGATGATCCTGCCTTCTAACCCTTCATCTAAGTCATTAATAAAGATGTTGAACAGGACCGGGCCCAGGACGGAACCCTGCGGCACTCCGCTCGTCACTTCTTTCCAGGATGAAGAGGAAGCATTGGTGAGCACCCTCTGGGTTCGTCCATTTAACCAATTCCAGATCCACCTCACCGTAGTTTTGCCTAGCCCACATTGGACTAGTTTCCTTGCCAGAAGGTCATGGGGGACCTTGACGAAGGCAGAGGGGGAGGCTTGTGTTCTGCTGCCCTAGAAACTAGGACTTAGTGAAGCCATGGCTTCAAATGACAGGGAAGGAGATTCCATTGAACATTAGAGAGAACTTCCTGACCGTAAGAAGAGCTGTTCAGCAGTGGAACTCTCTGCTTCGGAGTGTGGTGGAAGGTCCTTCTTTGGATATTTCTAAACAGAGGCAAGTTGGCCATCTCACAGGGGTGTTTTGATTGTGCTTTTCTTGCAGGGCAGGAGGGGTTAGGCTAGATGGCCCATGTGGTCTCTTCCAACTTTATGATTCTATGATTCTATCCAAGTTCCAGCTCAGCACTCTTAGCTCTTGTACCTAGCTGGCCTTTTCCTGTCCTGAGATGCTCCTCCTTCCAATCTCTAGCCCTCATTCAGGCTAGGCATGTGCTACTCTCACTGTTTGTCCTCTGGATGTCTGCCAGCCCAGCTGATTGACTTTGGAGGTCAAGTGTGCAGCTTGTCAGAATTTTTGCACACACTTACTTTAGATAGGGAGCCAATGAGATATTTCCATGGCCCTCGTGAGGCCTATGACACAACTGTTCCACCACTTAATCACTGGGATTTTATCCAAGGTAAATTACACATAAGCAGTTTTCTTTCTTTCATTTGGGGAAGAAGAGAGCTTTGCAATTTAACCATTGAAAGCTGCAAGTCTGACTTTTCACATTTTTTCCTTAATCGTTTCTTTTTAGATTAACATGCCAAAACTACATTTAAAAAACCCCCCGTTACCTCTTTTAATCCCATCCTTCCAATTAAATAGATTTTGTCTTTATTATTTTAAAGCCTTCTGGCATCATCACATATTTCCTATGCAAGATGAAATAATAAGTTGTGAAGTAGTGACATTATGACAAAGCAGATGCTACAATCTGGAAGCATTTAAAAAGGAGGAGGAGAAGGAAAGAAAGCGGTAGTACAGCTTTAACAGTTTAGAACAGGCCTGGGCCAACTTTGGACCTCCAGGTGTTTTGGACTCCATCTCCCACATTCCTACAAGCCAACCAGCTGTTAGGAATAGTGGGAGTTGGAGTCCGAAATACCTGGAGGGAGGGCCAAACTTGGCCCAGGCCTGGAATATATGATATACAATGCTATAGAATATCTACAGTGGCATAAAGACCAGCAAGGAGCATTGGTTTTCTTGGAGTCAGAGAAGGCATTTGATAATATTTATTGTAGTTTTAAAAATAGGGTGTTAGGAATGGTGGGAGTTGGAGTCCAGAACACCTGGAGGGAAGGCCAGAGTTGGCCTAGGCCTGGAATAGATGGTATAGAATGCTATAGAATATATGCAGTGGCATAAAGAACACAAGGAGTGTTGATGTTCTTCGATGCAGAGAAAACATTTGATAACATTCATTGGAGTTTTATAGATAGATGGTTAGGAATGATGGGAGTTGGAGTCCAAAACACCTGGTTGTTGTTCATTCATTCAGTTGTCTCCAACTCTTCGTGACCTCATGGACCAGCCCACGCCAGAGCTCCCTGTCGGCCGTCACCACCCCCAGCTCCTTCAAGGTCAGTCCAGTCACTTCAAGGATGCCGTCCATCCATCTTGCCCTTGGTCGGCCCCTCTTCCTTTTGCCTTCCACTTTCCCCAGCATAATTGTCTTCTCTAGGCTTTCCTGTCTCCACATGATGTGCCCGAAGTACTTCAACTTTGTCTCTAGCATCCTTCCCTCCAATGAGCAGTCGGGCTTTATTTCCTGGAGGATGGACTGGTTGGATCTTCTCGCAGTCCAAGGCACTCTCAGAACTTTCCTCCAGCACCACAGTTCAAAAGCATCGATCTTCCTTCGCTCAGCCTTCCCTAAGGTCCAGCTCTCACATCCGTAGGTGACTACAGGGAATACCATGGCTTTGACTAGGCGGATCTTTGTTGCCAGTCTGGAGTGAGGGCCAAAGTTGGCCCAGGCCTGGTCTATAACATTCAAAACCATGGTAATGGAAACTGCTTGTTTAAGATCTGATAACAAGAGAGGGAACTTTCACAAGCAGGAATTCAGTGCTCCAGATGAGAATTTGGTAGCTTCTGATCAACTAGCACTGGAGCCAAAGCTGATCTCTTTCTTACCTTGACGTGTCTGTCATCTGCTGTTGTTTCGTCAAATTCCTCTCCCAGTTTGAAACTGATCTCGGTGCTCTTGAAGGTGCTCTGCGTTTTTACAGTGATCTTGTCCCCGTCGACCTCAATAATGGTCGTAGGCTTTGTCATGTTTGCGATCTGCCTTGTGGCAAAGCCCACACCTGCCAGAGACAAAATACAAATATTACTGTCATCACAGGTGTCCTAAAAACAGTCGTGATGAATGATTTATTTTAATTAAATAAAAATAAAAATTGTGAGAGTTGGAGTCCAAAACACTTGGAGGGCTCAAGTTCGCCTATGGTGGCATTATCCCCAGTCTGCATGACGGATCACCAAAAGTAATGGGCGTTGTCATTCAACAACATCCAGGGACATCATCAATAATTAACGGCTACAAATTACCTTGGTGGGAGCTTTGGTTTGTTGATTTATTTCCTGCATTTTTCTCTCCATAATTATAGGCAAAAAGACTTAATTTGAGAGGAAAGAACAGGAAAAATGTCCGAGCTTGCCTTGCTTAAGAAAACACAATTAAATCCACGGCGTCGCTATAGGTTGGCAGGCAACTGGGGGCACATACATGCACCAATAACATGGATGTACACAGGTTGTACACGCCTGGCTCGAGAGCAGTACGTGTGAAAAAGATCTTGGAGTCCTCGTGTCCAAAATTGACACCCCCCCCCCCCCCCCCCCGCCATTGGCTCTAGTTTTTGAGATGCAGAACATACAGCATCTACCAGATTGCCCGCTTATTGAAAACCATGACAAGCAGATGCAAGAAACTAGAGCAGATTCAGTCTATTCAATGCAAGGTTGTCAAACTCATTTACATCAAGGTCTGTGTCTCCTTTATGGCTGCCTTCAGAGGGTGATCAAATCCATGGAGAAATCTGGGGATAAAGAGGGCTACCTATATATATTTGAGAGGAAAGAACAGGAAAAATGTCCGAGCTTGCCTTGCTTAAGAAAACACGATTAAATCCACGGCGTCGCTATAGGTTGGCAGGCAACTGGGGGCACATACATGCACCAATAACATGGATGTACACAGGTTGTACACGCCTGGCTCGAGAGCAGTACGTGTGAAAAAGATCTTGGAGTCCTCGTGGACAACAAGTTAAACATGAGCCAACAATGTGATGTGGCGGCAAAAAAAGCCAATGGGATTTTGGCCTGCATCAATAGGAACATAGTGTCTAGATCTAAGGAAGTAATGCTACCCCTCTATTCTGCTTTGGTTAGACCACATCTGGAATATTGTGTCCAATTCTGGGCACCACAATTCAAGAGAGATATTGACAAGCTGGAATGTGTCCAGAGGAGAGCGACTAAAATGATAAAAGGTCTGGAGAGCAAGCCCTATGAGGAGTGGCTTAAGGAGCTGGGCATGTTTAGCCTGAAGAAGAGAAGGCTGAGAGGGGATATGATAGCCATGTATAAATATGTGAGAGGAAGCCACAGGGAGGAGGAGGGAGCAAGCTTGTTTTCTGCTTCCCTGGAGACTAGGAATAGGATGCAATGGCTTCAAACTACAAGAGAGGAGATTCCATCTGAACATGAGGAAGAACTTCCTGACTGTGAGAGCCGTTCAACAGTGGAACTCTCTGCCCCGGAGTGTGGTGAGGCTCCTTCTTTGGAAGCTTTTAAACAGAGGCTGGATGGCCATCTGTCAGGGGTGATTTGAATGCAATATTCCTGCTTCTTGGCAGGGGGTTGGACTGGATGGCCCATGAGGTCTCTTCCAACTCTTTGATTCTATGATTCTATGATATTTTTAATACATATATAGCAACCAGTGTTATTTAGTTTTTACCCAGTTTGGGTCCCTGGATGTTTTTGAATGACAACATCCATTACTTTTAGTGATCCATCATGCAGACTGGGGATAATGCAGCCATGGGCAAACTTGGGCCCTCGAGGTGTTTTGGACTCCAACTCCTACCGGCTGTTAGGAACTGTAGGAGTTGACATCCAAAACACCTTGAGGGCCCAAGTTTGCCTATGTGTGGGATAATAGGAGTTGTAGTCTAGCCTTTGGAAGTATGTGGCATCAAAGGACCTGACCCAATGGCGTGGTCTGAATCAGCGTCCTAAAGATCCCCAGGAAGAGGCTTCATAACAAAAGCCCCTTTCACACAGCTGTATCAAATCTGCATTGAATTGGGTTACATGGCAGTGTGGAATCAGATAACCCAGTTCAAAGCAGATATTGTGGATCATCTGCCTTGATATCCTGGGATATATGGCTGTGTGGAAGAGCCCAAAGACACAAAGAAAACACCCTTTTGTTGCTGTTGGGTTAGGCTGTGAGACAGAACTGCTCCAAGGTTCAGGTCCAGATCACCTGGCCAACCGCCTCTCCTCATATGAACCTGCCTGGACACTGCAATCATCATTGGGGGAAGCCCTCTTCTTGGTCCCACCTACAGGAGATCTGAAAGGACCCATCCATCGCTCTCCTTCTCCTTTAGGAAGCAAATAAAAAAGCTTCCTATGTACCCAGGCGTAATGGGATGCGCATGTATCTGGCTTTATGAAATAGGCAATAGAATCTAGGCATGGCTTTTAACTCTGTTTTTATTGACATTGTGTAACTTGTTCTTACTGCTTTTTATGTGACTGTTCTATTCTCGAAATCTTTATATCGTTTTATCTGAATTTGTTTAATTTATTGTTGTATTATTATAGCATTGAATGTTTGCCTTTTCTGTCATGAGCCACCCCGTGTCCCCTTGGGGAGATAGGGTGGGAGGGAAATACAGTTTTGTTTACTTACTTAGAATCATAGAATCATAGAATTGGAAGAGACCTCATGGGCCATCCAGTCCAACCCCCGGCCAAGAAGCAGGAATATTGCATTCAAATCACCCCTGACAGATGGCCATCCAGCCTCTGTTTAAAAGCTTCCAAAGAAGGAGCCTCCACCACACTCCGGGGCAGAGAGTTCCACTGCTGAACGGCTCTCACAGTCAGGAAGTTCTTCCTTATGTTCAGATGGAATCTCCTCTCTTGTAGTTTGAAGCCATTGTTCCGCGTCCTAGTCTCCAAGGAAGCAGAAAACAAGCTTGCTCCCTCCTCCCTGTGGCTTCCTCTCACATATTTATACATGGCTATCATATCTCCTCTCAGCCTTCTTCAGGCTAAACATGCCCAGCTCCTTAAGCCGCTCCTCATAGGGCTTGTTCTCCAGACCCTTGATCATTTTAGTCGCCCTCCTCTGGACATATTCCAGCTTGTCAATATCTCTCTTGAATTGTGGTGCCCAGAATTGGACACAATATTCCAGGTGTGGTCTAACCAAGCAGAATAGAGGGTAGCATGACTTCCCTAGATCTCGACACTATGCTCCTATTGATGCAGGTCAAAATCCCATTGGCTTTTTTCCGCCACATCACATTGTTGGCTCATGTTTAACTTGTTGTCCACGAGGACTCCAAGATCTTTTTCACACGTACTGCTCTCGAGCCAGGCATCCCCCATTCTGTATCTTTGCATTTCGTTTTTCCTGTCAAAGTGGAGTATCTTGCATTTGTCACTGTTGAACTTCATTTTGTTAGTTTTGGCCAATCATCTCTCTAATCTGTCAAGATCGTTTTGAATCCTGCTCCTGTTCTACTTACTTATTACTAAGGCAGGCATGGACCAACTTGAGCCCTCTCCCAATTTTTAACAGCCTCAGGCCCTTTCTTTTTCTGCTTAAGCAGCTGAAGGGAAAAAAGAGAGGGCCTGGGGCTGTTAGGAATGGGGGGAGTTGGAATCCAAAACACCTGGAGGGAGGGCCCAAGTTTGCCCATGCTTAGTATGATGTTAGGAAGGATTGCATTGGAGGGTCCAAGTTTGCCCATGCCTGTACTAAGGTATGGAAAAAGCTAGTCTTCAAGAAGGGGGTATGTGTCAGTCCTTGGCCAGAGAAAGGAAGGCAAAGGAGACAGCGAGAAGAAAGGGAAAAGAGAAACATTCCCCCCCCCCCCCCTTAAGTGTGGTGCCCTCACCTTGGAGGGAGGGAACAGTTGCCAGTCCTCCGGGTGGTCGGACTTCCGTTTGGGTGGTTGGACTCCTGTTCCCTGTGAGCAGACAGTTGCCACAATGGGAGTGGGAGTGCAGTGGGTAGAGAGAGCGCATTGAGTTGCTGTGAGTTTTCCAGGCTGCCTGGCCATGTCCCAGAAGCATTCTCTCCTGACGTTTTGCCCACATTTATGGCAGGCATCCTCAGAGGTGGAGAGATTTACTGGAAACCAGGCAAGTGGGGTTTATATCTATCCCTGTTGAATGATGTCCAGGGTGGGAGGAAGAACGCTTGTCTGTTGAAGGCAGGTATGAAGGTTGCAACTCATCTGTGCTCTGTAGCTTATGGAGAGGTTGATGAGTAATGCCAACCCCCTCTTTCCTGACCAACTGAAGTCCTTGTGAAGGGTTCACCTCATTCATGGCACCACCTTGACATTTATATTTTATCTTTCTAGATTCTATATTGAAACAGTACTTATTGCTATTGCACTTTATGAGGCCTGATTGTTTACCCTCCCTTTAGAGTCTATTTTATACATGCTTTTAATCTCAATCTCTTTGTTATTTTTATTGTACTGTGTTTTTTATTATTTATATGGCACTAGCTCTACCTACCATGCGTTGCTGTGGCCAACCTTCCCTCCCTCTTTCTCTTCTTACTTTCTCTCCTTCCCTTTTTTTCTTTCCTTCTCTCCTTCCTTCCTTCTCTTCCTCTTCCCTTCCTCCCCCCCTTCTTTCCATTCCTCTTTTTCCCCTTTCTTCCTTCTTTAACTATTCTTGGACTGCAACTCCCAGCAGTCCTCCTGATTGATCTATCTACCTATCTACCTCTATCTAATCCATCTATCTGGAGGATTGCTGGGAGTTGCAGTCCAGGAATAGGAAATTGGAAATATGCAGGGATTGGGATGCTCTCAAAGAAATCCAAGGAGAAGAAAGCTTGCACCTTGGAAGCAGTGCATTTGGATCATCCTCCTCTCCTAGAGGGCTTGGTCTAGGGGATGCTGGGAATTGTAGTCCAAAAGAGTGTGTGTGGATATGCTATTGTGTGTTTTTTTTGCTGGGGGGTGGGGGAGTCATTTTTGCGCATGCACTGTAATGTCTTTTTTTTTCTTTTGCTTTTTTGGCTTTTTAAGTCCCTTCTGCTGTGTTTTTCAGTGTTTTTATGAGTTATAGTCACTCCTTGGCTTCATAGGTGTATTGTTTCCAAATTTGGTGTCAATTTGTCCAGTGGTTTTTGAGTTATGTTAATCCCACAAACGAACATTACATTTTTATTTTTGTAGATTGAATATTTGCCTTTGTATTTGGAAGCTGCCCTGAGTCCCTTCAGGAAGAGAGGGTGGGTTTGAGGTATATTATTACTATTATTATTATTATTATTATTATTATTATTATTATTATTATTATTAATTGCCCAGTTTGACTAGAATTGAATAGCCTTGCAGCTTCAAAGCCTGGCTGCTTCTTGTCTGGGGAATCCTTTGTTGGGAGGTGCAACATTCACACTTGTCTCCAACAGATAAGGGTTCTTTCTCCTACCCTGGACATTATTCCCCAGATATATACTAGCCGTCCCCTGCCACGCATTGCTGTGGCCCAGTCTGGTGATCTGGAAAATAAAGTAATGAGAAAATGTTGGTTTCCAATATATGTAATGTCTTGATGCTTGTGGATAAACAGTATTTCTTGTTGTTTGTTTGTCAGTGTTGATGTGGGGAGTGTCTGGTTTGCCTACTCTGGAACATGCAACATATCATTGTCCTTCTTTAGGGGTCCCTTTCAAATCTATGGTACTATATCTGTGTGTGTGAATCATATCTATGTATATATATTTATGACTGGATGGCTCTTTGTCAGGAGGGCTCTGATTACATTTTTTTTGCCCTGGTGAAGAGAGTTGCACTGGATGACCTTAAGTATTTTCTGTTGGTCACGGGGGTTCTGTGTGGGAAATTTGCCCCAATTCTGTCGTTTGTGGGATTCAGAATGCTCTTTGATTGTAGGTGAACTATAAATCTCGGTGACTAAAACTCCCAAATGTCAAGGTGTATTTTCCCCAAACTCCATCTGTGTTCATATGGAATATTTGTGCCAAGTTTGGTCCAGATCCATCATTGTTTGAGTCCACAGTGCTCTCTGGATGTAGGTGAACTACAACTCCCAAATTCAAGGTCAATGCCCTGCAAACCCTTCTAGTGTTTTCTGTTGGTCATGGCAGTCTTGTGTGCCACATTTGGTTCAATGCCATAATTGGTGGAGTTCAGAATGCTCTTTGATTGTAGGTGAACTACAAATCCCAGCAACTACAACTCCCAAATGACAAAATCAATTTTTTTTGTTAGGTGTTAGTTGTCTTGTGTCCAAATTTGGTGTCAATTGGCCCACTGGTTTTTGAGTTCTGTTAATCCCACAAACAGACATTACATTTTTATTTATATACTAGCTGTCCCCTGCCACGTGTTGCTGTGGCCCACACGGGGGTTCTGTGTGGGAGATTTGGCCCAATTCTATCATTGGTGGGATTCAGAATGCTCTGTGATTGTGAACTATAAATCCCAGCAACTACAACTCCCAAATATCAAGATTCTATTTTCCCCAAATTCCACCAGTGTTCACATTTGGGCATATTGAGTATTCGTGTAGAGTTTGGTCCAGATCCATTATTGTTTGAGTCCACAGTGATCTCTGGATGTAGGTGAACGACAACTCCAAAACCAAAGGACAGTGCCCACCAAACCCTTCCAGAATTTTTTGTTGGTCGTGGGAGTTCTGTGTGCCAAGTTTGGTTCAATTCCATTGTTGGTGGGGTTCATAATGCTCTTTGATTGTAGGTGAACTATAAATCCCAGCAACTACAACTCCCAAATGACAAAATCATTTTTTGAGTGAAGGACATACATTGGGTTGTTAGGTGTCTTGTGTCCAAATTTGGTGTCAATTTGTCCAGTGGTTTTTGAGTTCTGTTAATCCCACAAACGAACATTACATTTTTATTTATATAGAACAGTGTTTCTCAACCTGGGGGTTGGGACCCCTGGAGGGGTTGCGAAGGGGTGTTAGAGGGGTCGCCAAAGACCATCAGAAAACACAGTATTTTCTGTTGGTCATGGGGGTCCCTGTGTGGGAAGTTTGGCCCAATTCTATCATTGTTGTGGTTCAGAACGCTCCTTGATTGTAGGTGAACTATAAATCCCAGCAAGTACAACTCCCAAATCTCAAGGTCTATTTTCCCAAAACCCCACGAGTGTTCACATTTGGGCATATGGAGTATCCGTGCCAAGTTTGGTCCAGATCCATCATTGTTGGAGTCTAGAGTGCTCTCTGGATGTAGGCAAACTTCAACTCCCAAACTCAAGGTCAATGCCCACCAAACCCTTCCAGTATTTTCTGTTGGTCATGGGAGTTCTGTGTGCCAACTTTGGTTCAATTCCATTGTTGGTGGGGTTCAATGCTCTTTGTTTACAGGTTAACTATAAATCCCAGCAACTACAACTCCCAAATGGCAAAATCAATCCCCCCGCCAACCCCACCAGCATTCAAATTTGGGCATACTGGGTATTTGTGCCAAATTTGCTCCAATGAATGAAAATACATCCTGCAAATCATTATTTACATGGCAATTCATAATGTTAGGGTTGGGGTGGGGGGGAGGGGGCTTGAGGGGCTTCAGCCCCCCCCCCAAATTCTCATGGTGGTTCGCGAAAAGGCCTTACTTGTGCATTATTTAAACTGTTATGTTTATTCATATCATGATCTGATCACCATACTCAATATATCCCATATGCATGGGGGTATTGGGGTAATGATACAAAAGGTTTGCTAGGCTAGACCCTCTTTCACTCAGCCTCAGCCCCCCCCGAAACTCAGCCCCCCTGAAACCCCCCCTGAAATTTTTTTAGCCCCCCGAAACGAAATCCTGGCTACGGGCCTGCGTTAGGGTTATGGTTGGGGGTCACCACAACATGAGGAACTGTATTAAGGGGTCATGGCATTAGGAAGGTTGATATAGAAGAAGATAGATAGTCCAACACAGTGTTTCTCAACCTGGGGGTCGGGACCCCTGAGGGGGTCGTGAGGGGGTGTCAAAGGGGTCGCCAAAGACCATCAGAAGACACAGTATTTTCTGATGGTTATGGGGATTCCATGTGGGAAGTTTGAGCCAATTCTATCGTAGGTGGAGTTCAGAATGTTCTTTGATTGTAATGAACTATAAATCCCAGCAACTACAACTCCCAAATGTCAAGATCTATTTTCCCCATACTCCACCAGTGTTCACATTTGGGCATATTGAGTATTCGTGCCAAGTTTGGTCCAGATCCACCATTGCATGAGTCCACAGTGCTCTCTGGATGTAGGTGAACTAAAATTCCCAAACTCAAGGTCAATGCCCACCAAACCCTTCCGGTGTTTTCCATTGGTCATGGGAGTTCTGTATGCCAAAGTTGATTCAATTCCATCGTTAGTGGAGTTCAGAATGCTCTTTGATTGTAGGTGAACTATAAATCCCAGCAACTATAACTCCCAAATTACAAAATCAATCCTCCCCCAACTCCACTAGCATTCACATTTGGGTGTATTGGGTATTTGCGCCCAGTCTGGTCCAGTGAATGAAAATACATCCTGCATATCAGATATTTACATTATGATTTATAACAGTAGTAAAATGACTGTTATGAAGTAGCAACAAAAACAATGTTATGGTTGGGGGTCACCACAACATGGGGGACTCTATTAAGGGGTCACGGGATTAGGAAGGTTGAGAACCACTGGTCCAACAGTTCCAACAGACCTCTATGCAGATACCCTCCCTGATTGACTGTGCAGCTGAAAGGCCATTCAATGCTAATCAAGTTGGCCCATTGCAACATTCACACTTGCCTCAAGCAGAGTAGAATTCTTCCTCCCACCATGGACATCATTCCACAGGGATAGAGATAAACCCCACTTGCCTAGTTTCCAACATACCTCACTACCTCTAAGGATGCCTGCCATAGCTGCTGGCGAAACGTCAGGAGGGAATGTTTCATGGCTAGGCAGGCCGGAAAATTCATAGCAACCCAGTGATTCCGACCATGAAAGCCTTCCTTGGACAGCACAGAGAGAGCCTTGTTCCTCCCTCCCTCGCTCTGCACGGCCCGTCCTGCGCATCCCAGGGGCCCTGCCTGCCTGCCTGCCTGCCTCCCTCCTGCCCTTACCAATGGCTTTCATGTAGTCGTCGAAGCCATTGCTGTCCAGCAGGTTCCAGGAGCCCGCGAAGGCTTCGGCCATGTCCGTGCCGGAGCCTGCCTCTCTCCTCCGCCACCGATGGAGACGGCAATGCGTCTGCCTGGCTGCCTCTCTAGCTGGGGGCTCTGCCCAGGCGCGGTCAGACGCTTTAAATAGATAGGGCGGATCACATGAGAGAGAGAGAGAGAGAGAGAGAGAGACAGCAAGAGAGTGAGTGAAGGACAAAGAGTGTGAGGGAGGGGGAGTGAGAAAAAGTGTGTGTGTGTGTGTGTGTGTGTGTGTGTGTGAGAGAGAGAGAGAGAGAGAGAGAGAAGAGCCCTTGTCTGAATCTCTGTGGCAATGGTTCTCAACCTTCCAAATGCCTTACGACAGTTCCTCATGTCATGGTAACCCCCAACCATAACATTTTTGTTGCTACTTCATAACTGTAATTTGACTAGGTTCTTGTGGGTTTTTTCGGGCTATATGGCCATGTTCTAGAGCAGTGCTTCTCAACCTTCCTAATGGTGTGACCCCTTAATACAGTCCCCCATGTTGTGGTGACCCCCAACCATAATATTGTTTTCATTGCTACTTCATAACAGTCATTTTACTACTGTTATAAATCGTAATGTAAATATCTGATATGCAGGATGCATTTTCATTCACTGGACCAAACTGGGCACAAATACCCAATACACCCAAATGTGAATGCTAGTGGGGTTGGGGGAGGATTTATTTTGTAATTTGGGAGTTGTAGTTGCTGGGATTTATAGTTCACCTATAATCAAAGAGCATTCTGAACTCCACCAGCAATGGATTTGAACCAAACTTGGCTCCCATGACCAATGGAAAATACTGGAAGGGTTTGATGGGCACTGACCTTGAGTTTGGGAGTTGTAGTTCACCTATATCCAGAGAGCACTGTGGACTCATGCAATGGTGGATCTGGACCAAACTTGGCATGAATACTCAATATGCCCAAATGTGAACACTGGTGGAGTCCGGGGAAAATAGATCTTGACATTTGGGAGTTGTAGTTGCTGGGATTTATAGTTCATTACAATCAAAGAACATTCTGAACTCCACCAACCATAGAATTGGCTCAAACTTCCCACATGGAATCCCCATGACCATCAGAAAATACTGTGTTTTCTTATGGTCTTTGGTGACCCCTCTGACACCCCCTCGCGACCCCCTCAGGGGTCCCGACCCCCAGGTTGAGAAACACTGTATTAGGAGGTTGTGACGTTTCGCATGCATCTATGGCAAGCATCCTCAGAGGTAGTGAGGTCTGTTGGAATTAGGACAATGGGTTTATATATCTGTGGAATGGCTGGGGTGGGGCAAAGAGCTCTTCTCTGCTGGAGCTAGGTGTGAATGTTTCAACTGATCACCTTCATTAGCATTTGAAGGCCTGCCTGAGCCTGGGAAAATCTCTTGCTGGGAGGTGTTAATCTGTGCCTGGTTGTTTCCTCTCTGTTATTTTGCTGTTGTAATTTTAGAGTTTTTAATACTGGTAGCCAGATTATACCATTTATTTTTATACCATTTTTATTTATTTATTTATTATTTAAACTTATATGCCACCACTCCCCTGGGGCTCGGAGCGGCTTACAAGAATAGCTAAAATCTAACAAAGTTTAAAAGCAATTTAAAACAATTTAAAAACAACAGTATCAAACATTAAAAGCCTGTCGGAACAGGTATGTCTTACATGCCCTGCAGCTGTGGACAAGTCTACATAGGGACCACCAAACGCAGCATTGCCCAGACACGCATCAAGGAACATGAGGCACTGCAGACTACTTCAACCAGAGAAGTCAGCCATATTGAAGGAACTAGTGAAAGTCATTTCGGAACCATTGGCAACCATCTTTGAGAGTTCTTGGAGAACGGGAGAAGTTCCAGCAGATTGGAGGAGGGCCAATGTGGTCCCAATCTTCAAGAAGGGAAAAAAGGATGACCCAAACAATTACCGTCCGGTCAGCCTCACGTCGATACCAGGCAAGATTCTGGAAAAGATTGTTAAGGAAGTGGTCTGCAAACACTTAGAAACAAATGCAGTCATTGCTAATAGTCAACATGGATTTATCAAAAACAAGTCATGCCAGACTAATCTGATCTCTTTCTTCGATAGAGCTACAAGCTGGGTAGATGCGGGGAATGCCGTGGATGTAGCGTACCTGGATTTCAGTAAGGCCTTCGACAAGGTCCCTCATGACCTTCTGGCAAGGAAACTAGACCAATGTGGGCTAGGCAAAACTACGGTGAGGTGGATCTGTAATTGGTTAAATGGACGAACCCAGAGGGTGCTCACCAATGCTTCCTCTTCATCTTGGAAAGAAGTGACAAGTGGAGTGCCGCAGGGTTCTGTCCTGGGCCCGGTCCTGTTCAACATCTTTATTAATGACTTAGATGAAGGGCTAGAAGGCATGATCATCAAGTTTGCAGACGACACCAAATTGGGAGGGATAGCCAATACTCCAGAGGACAGGAGCAGAATTCAAAATGATCTTGACAGATTAGAGAGATGGGCCAAAACTAACAAAATGAAGTTCAATAGTGACAAATGCAAGATACTCCACTTTGGCAGGAAAAACGAAATGCAAAGATACAGAATGGGGGATGCCTGGCTCGAGAGCAGTACGTGTGAAAAAGATCTTGGAGTCCTCGTGGACAACAAGTTAAACATGAGCCAACAATGTGATGTGGCGGCAAAAAAGCCAATGGGATTTTGGCCTGCATCAATAGGAGCATAGTGTCTAGATCTAGGGAAGTCATGCTACCCCTCTATTCTGTTTTGGTTAGACCACATCTGGAATATTGTGTCTAGTTCTGGGCACCACAATTCAAGAGAGATATTGACAAGCTGGAATGTGTCCAGAGGAGAGCGACTAAAATGATAAAGGTCTGGAGAACAAGCCCTATGAGGAGCGGCTTAAGGAGCTGGGCATGTTTAGCCTGAAGAAGAGAAGGCTGAGAGGAGATATGATAGCCATGTATAAATATGTGAGAGGAAGCCACAGGGAGGAGGGAGAAAGCTTTTTTTCTGCTTCCCTGGAGACTAGGACGCGGAACAATGGCTTCAAACTACAAGAGAGGAGATTCCATCTGAACATGAGGAAGAACTTCCTGACTGTGAGAGCGTTCAGCAGTGGAACTCTCTGCCCCGGGTGTGGTGGAGGCTCCTTCTTTGGAAGCTTTTAAACAGAGGCTGGATGGCCATCTGTCAGGGGTGATTTGAATGCAATATTCCTGCTTCTTGGCAGGGGGTTGGACTGGATGGCCCATGAGGTCTCTTCCAACTCTTTGATTCTATGAGTCTATGATTCTAGGATTATTGGAATGTTTTTTCTCTCTTGATAATTGCTCTGTGCATAATGAGTACCTTAAAAACAAAAGAACCAATGAAAGAAATCACACCAAATTTGGCAACAAAACGTCTCACAACACAAGGAGTGACCATCACTCAAAATTATGATTTTGTCATTTGGGAGTTGTAGTTGCTGGGATTTATAGTTCACCTACAATCAAAGAGCATTCTGAACTCCACCAATGATGGAATTGAACCAAACATGGCATACAGGACTTCCATGACCAACAGAACACACTGGAAGGGTTTGGTGGGCATTGACCTTGAGTTTGGGAGTTGTAGTTCACCTACATCCAGAGAGCACTGTGGACTCAAACAATGATGGATCTGGACCAAACTTGGCACAAGCACTCAATACATCCAAATATGAACACAGATGGAGTTTGGGGGAAATAGACCTTGAGATTTGGGAGTTGTAGTTACCGGGATTTATAGTTCACCTACAATCAAAGAGCATTCTGAACTTCACCAATGATGGAATTGAACCAAACATGGCATACAGGACTTCCATGACCAACAGAACACACTGGAATGGTTTGGTGGGCATTGACCTTGAGTTTGGGAATTGTAGTTCACCCACATCCAGAGAGCACTGTGGACTCAAACAATGATGGATCTGGACCAAACTTGGCACAAGCACTCAATACATCCAAATATGAACACAGATGGAGTTTGGGGGAAATAGACCTTGAGATTTGGGAGTTGTAGTTACCGGGATTTATAGTTCACCTACAATCAAAGAGCATTCTGAACTTCACCAATGATGGAATTGAACCAAACATGGCATACAGGACTTCCATGACCAACAGAACACACTGGAATGGTTGGGTGGGCATTGACCTTGAGTTTGGGAGATGTAGTTCATCTACATCCAGAGAGCACTGTGGACTCAAACAATGATGGATCTGGACCAAACTTGGCACAAGGACTCAATACATCCAAATATGAACACAGATGGAGTTTGGGGGAAATAGACCTTGAGATTTGGGAGTTGTAGTGGGATTTATAGTTCACCTACAATCAAAGAGCATTCTGAACTTCACCAATGATGGAATTGAACCAAACATGGCATACAGGACTTCCATGACCAACAGAACACACTGGAATGGTTGGGTGGGCATTGACCTTGAGTTTGGGAGTTGTAGTTCACCTACATCCAGAGAGCACTGTGGATTCAAACAATGATGGATCTGGACCAAACTTGACACAATACTCAATATGCCCAAATATGAACACAGATGGAGTTTGGGAAATAGACCTTGACATTTGGATTGTAGTTACTGGGATTCATCGTTCACCTACAATCAAAGAGCATTCTGACCCAACGACAGAATTGGGGCAAACTTCCCACACAGAACCCCCATGACCAACAGAAAATACTTAAGGCCATCCAGTCCAACTCCTTCACCAGGGCAAGAAAATGTAATCAAAGCCCTCCTGACAAAGAGCCATCTAGATAGATAGATAGATAGATAGATAGATAGATAGATAGATAGACACAGATATAGTATCATAGATTTGAAAGAACCCTTAAAGAAGGACAATGATATGTTGCATATTCCAGAGTGAGCAAACCAGACACTCTCCACATCAACACTGACAAAGAAACAGCAAGAAATACTGTTTACCCACAAGCAGGCACGTAGCCTAACAGGTGCGGCTGGTGGGGATGAGAGACAGGGCCTTCTTGGTGGTGGCCCCTCAACTATGGAACTCCCTTCCACTGGAGATCAGAACTGCCCCTTCTATCTTAACATTCAGGAAACAGGTGAAAACTTGGCTTTGGGGATTGGCATTCGACGAATGAGCCATGATCCGGTGATATGGATGGATGACGACGAATAATGATTTTTGATGATTGAC